ATAAAATGTAATTAAAATACTTAAAATTTACAGATTGGAAATCACCTGCAATATTGAATGGAATCCAGAAAATTCCCCATCCCAGAGATGAAAGAATGAAGAAAGATAACAGTTGAAGCAGCTGCTTTCCAAATTCCACCTTTTTTACAGTTGTGACATTCAATCAAAGAAGTATTTTATTGCAGTAAAGTTTACAGTTTCACAGTTCTCCATCAAAAGGGAGACAACTGTAAATCTAATTTAACACAACTTTTAAGTGAATGTCAATTGACATTTTCCTTTTTTTTTTAAAAAAAAAAAAAAAAAAACAACTACCGGTAGATACTTTAAAAAAAATAATTTTAAAAAATGAAAGAAACACAACTTAATTCTCAAAAACACTTAAATTAAATAATAGCCAAACAAATTAGCCTTAATTACCATCAATGAAATGAAAATTCTTTTTCCTCCAGCTCCTTAGGATGACGATAAAGATATCACTTTCCGTATTAACACAAATTGAATTTCCTGTTTTACCACAAATTAAACTTCAACACACACCAATATCTTTTGGATTCCAAGATAGAGAGAACAAGATTAAGTATAGAGCGGATGTTTATATGAGAATCCAGACAACAAGTGCTAGAATTAGATATATCAATCAGACACATACCTAAGATATAGGAAGAGTTCTGTAAGCATCTTCACATATAGACCCGAGGTGACGTAAGACAATCAGCATCTCCCTACCAACAGACCTACAGTAATACAGTCACCCAGCATGCACCAGTTGTCATCTACAGAACCTCAAGATTCCTACAAATGTCGGACAGTATTTACCCACATTCCTAAAGTATTGACAATTCTCTAAGTCAACGACAAGTGTACTTCCCATGAATTATGATAAAATGAAGTTCTACTGATTTACGCAAACACAGATGAATCTTAGAACTACATACTTTGTGTATCGTCTGCCTAACTGGACAGTTGAATCTGAGAACTACATAATTTGTGTATTGCCTGCGTAACTGGATACTTTTCTTTTGAATCTTAGGATTCTTTTTGGATTAAATGTGTCTATTTGGAAATTTAATTCATATATGCATATTTTCTTTTCAAAGAATTACTGAGATTTTTAAATGACACGCTCAACTGTAATTATCTATACCCTTGTATTAAAATGTCTAAAAAAAAATTTCTAAAAACTTGGACCTAAAATTGAATGAAGAGGCAGCTGGCACCTCATTCAACCTAGTTATTATAAAATCATTCAGAAAAATGAGTTGTTTGGTTAATAATTTACAAGAAACATAATCTCTTAACAATTCAATTACTCAGATTGTCACTAGTTATCACAGTAATTTATTGAAGTTTAGAAAAATAATTTAGATATATTCACTGAATGAAGTTCTGCCTTTCTGTTATAATTGCATAACCAATTAAAATTGATATTTTTGAACAACATGATTTGGCAAATCCCATAACATGTATCAGTTCTTTCTAATTTCAGTCTCTCAGACCTAGGAATTAATCTGCCTTCCAATCTCCAAAGAGAAGTATTTCAATGGAAATCTAGTGACATAGACCAAATAATAAGAAAATCTTTACAATTAAGTTGTTCATTGTAAATAGTCATTAGGTTCCTTTATAGAACAAAATACTCCACTGTGGTAGTCATCCAGTTAATTAGTGTATCTCTTCACAGAATGACACAAAAGTATAGGTTAATCAGAACTTGTAGCATTTTTTTTCAAAACAAAACCAGATGCTGACTTTCAAAGCTGAATTAAATTTCTAATAATGCAAATAAACAGAACTTGTTTATCTCATAACACAATCTGAAGTCCCTAATTTCTCACAGTAGAAAATTTCAAAAATATTTGGATTCATTCACATTATCTTTTTAAGAAAACACATTTTCTCAGTCTGGATAGAGCGTATAAATGTTTACAGGATAAGATTTCAGACACAACCATATGTCACTTCTTTGTACAAAACATGGCAATTTCCTGATTTCATTTTTTGATAGCTAAATTTTAGATTAAAGAGGACCAGTTCTCTAAGTGATTAAAATTTCATTCTCTAAAATTTCATCAAGGGTAGCTTAATTGAGTCAGTATAAATATTCATCGACTGGTTTATTTCTGAATATCACACATTAGGCTATGTAAACAGGATGTAGTAATGTAAAATCTTAATCATGATTCTGATCCAAATTTGATATCTGATTGGGATACACTTCAGTTTTTCAATTCACTTTTTACCTCTAGATAAAAAAAAATCTCAAGTAGCAGTTTATTAATCTAAAAATAAATTTTAAGAAATTCTCACCTAACATAATGAATCCAAACTGAAGTGATATATAGCCAATGTTACAAAAAATTGTTTGGAAATGATAAGACTTTTATATTAATTTCAAGATATCTTCTTTCCGGACAAGTCAAAATTTGTTACTGTAAGAAAAGAGGTGAAAGTGCTTGCGTGGGACAGACCAGAACAAAATTGTTTTTCAGTTTCAAGTTAAGAAGCTGGTTACATTACATTTTGAGCACTCATATTCAGTAAATTGAAAAAGATGAAAATAACGATTAGTGATTGATCTCAATAAAAAAAACTCCACAAACAATACAGATCTGTGAACAGGGCATAAAAAACACAGACCCCCAGAAATTTCTGAGGTAGCATCAGGTGTCTAGCAGGAGTAGGCATCCCCTGTCAACCGGTCACACCTGCCATGAGCCCTAAGTGCTGATCAGGTAATGGAATATTCCATAGTCAAATTTAGTAAAAAAAAAAAACACACACAAAAAAAACCAAAGGCCTAACAATTGGTATGAAAAATCTTGGCCAAAATATGACCCAATTATAGGTTATATTTGCTAACAAGGTAATTATAACAACCACAGAATTTACGAAATGCTGACTTTAAACAAGGTTGTTGAAATCCCTGTAACATCAACTTATCTGTCATAGCTTACTCCAATTTGAAAATTGATTGTACTCATAACATGCTCTTGAGTATTGAATAACTTGGGAGATGTAAACCCATATGCAGGTGATATATTACTACAAAATAAGGAAAGTTGATGATTGAAAAGCTGAAGTCATCTCGTTTGTCATACAGTTTAGTTGTTAGTTGACCCATATCACCTATAGTCATTAAAACATCCCATTTGAAATATGAAACACATGTGGCAGTCTGTTCTGCAGTGTCTTTTTTTTCAATTTCACTGAAGCATATATACAGCATTAGCTGCACTGATCCCATTTAAATTAGAACTCAACAATCTCCACACAGAAAGTCCCAGTGACACACAATTAGTTCTTATAACCTATAATTACAATAACACCATGATGTCCTCAAAGCACTGACTTATAATTAACACACTCAGAACCTTAATAGACTTAATAATAAAAATCCACACTGCATGGTCAGCACACAGACAAACCAAAGTTATACCAAGTAAATAAAATAATACAGAGAATTAATTTATGATGCTAAATTAGTTCAATCTGGAAAAAATAAAATGAATAAACATGTTAATTATTTAAATATTCTCACCAATCAGTAAAAATAAGTTATGTTAGTAGTAAGATGCAATGAATCTTGATATAAGTATTCAAGTTTGAATCCTCTTACAGAAGAATAAAAGGTACTTAGTACTCACAGTTAGCGTGTCAGTTACGTTTGGCTAGAGTTTCTTCACATTCAGTGTTTGTGTGTCAGTAATGTTTGGACAGCTTCTATTCCCTGAACTCAACAGAAAACAATAAGTAGTAGTAGGCTGTTTATAAGCTGGGAAAAAATGAAAACAGAAAACATATGTGCACTTGATGAAAAAATGTTAGGTTTCAGCTGAATTAAATAGCTAAGTGAAAAACCTACTTCAGTAATAGGGGTTTACAGTTCAACACAAAGACAAAGAAGCATGCCGATTTGGAATTTTTTTTTCCAGTCCCTGGGAAAACTCACTTAATGTATCATGGAGTATCAAGAATTTCAAACAATAGAGAAAAAAAAAGAAACACCTACATATTTTTTTTAAGGTCAAACATGACCCTTATTCTATCTTGTTCTTTAAAAACCTAAAAATAAAGGTACTTATCCTGCCTCCAGAATTTTTTTTTGAAATATAAAGCCATATCATGTTGCCTACTGACATGATATAGTTCATATACCCCCACTACATGACTACTGACCAGTTATGAATTCCATATATCATTTTCATTTGATATCGCAAGGAGCAATAATAACTGACTCCACATGAGCATCAGACATTTACAATGTAAGCAATAGCTAAGGAACTGTAAATTTTGCTTGTGATTTAAAAATTAAAAAAACTTCGTTTAAAAATTGACAAGATAAAATCTTAGAGGGGTAATACAGGAATATATAGGGTCCTTGAAAAAATGCATATTGGGCTTGGCTTAAGCCTTGTCTGATATGATTTTTTTCAAGGTCCCAATATTATCCTCTGTCTAAATAACTAATTAATGTATTACTGTCCAATATGTGAATTAATCTATATGTGAATTAATGATTAAAAGAAAATACTTTTTACTGGCAGTCAGGTATACATCTCTTAACATTCTAACAAAGATAATGAATTCTTAGTCTTAAGATGTAAAAAGTAAGTATAAAACATTTCACATTTCTAACTACTGTAACACTGTATAACATTACACACGTATATTGGTCTCACTGATGAATCATCAGATCCGGTGATTATAACACGGAAGAACGATTACACTAAGGTAAATATTCCACAATCAAAATGAAACTACACACAAATATTGCAAGAATAGACCTTAATTATCATCATACCTGATAATTCCAGGTAAAAAAAGATGGACTGTTATAAAAGACCTCCCCTGTAAGTAAACAGTTCATTGTAAAACTTAGTAATGTATAGACAACTTTGCACTGAAGCATGGTTCAATTACACATTCATAGAACCTCTTCTCTTATTTAAAAGAAGAACGAATGTATATTTTACAGGAATAAGAGGATTTTGCAGCATATGTCAGAGTCCGTGTTTGTTGGCCTAAATTATAAATTTGGGACATCAGAACAGTTAGCCATGAGACGAGATGTAGTGGACATCACCGAGACATTGATGAATCGAGCAAGAACTCGTCACGATCACAGTATCTGGATGAGTGGAAGCCAGCGGGAAGGAATACGAAAAATGAACTCCGATATAGATGTTATGTACTGGCAGAATAACTATCGAGTAATCTGGGACTCATCTCAGTGCCGGAATTACAAGTATTATGGACAGACACTGATTCTCTCCGACTGCTCAGATAGTCTGCCTGGACACACCTTACTCCAGTTACTGACCCTGCCTTTAATAAACACTGAGGTCATGTCTGCCCGGATCAAATTATATGGTAGACATTATATATCTAGTTCTAAATACAGACAGATCATGTGTTCAACAATAATACCTAATTCAATTATACATGGGCCATGTAGCAGTGGTTTTTTCGCAGAGGAAGGGGGAGAATATGATATTGCACACTCTTTAACCTCAGACTTTTGGCCTCCATCTGCTTATCAATGGATTACGAGATGCCACTCTCTGTCATGGCCCCCAGCTCCTGTTGTTGATGATATAGTCAAAAGTGGATGTCACTTTGTACCAATAGGACCCAAACTAGGATATCATGAAGATCATGAATGGAGAATTTCTTTTTCTGTTGCCGAATATAAGCTACTGTGCTCAATGAACCACTGCCAATTCTTAACATATGGTTTACTTAAACTATTCCTAAAACATGTCATTAACAAAGGATTGAATGAAGAAGATAAATTACTCTCATCTTATAACATGAAGACAGCAGTTTTCTGGGTGGTACAACAGAACACAATACCTCAGTGGTGTCCACAAAATCTCCTGGAATGTTTCTGGGTCTGTTTCAAACTCATCCTAAAATGGGTGTATGAGGGAGACTGTCCTAACTTTTTCATTCCCCAAAATAACATGTTTCGAGCTAAAATTTATGGTGAAGCACAAAAGACCTTGTTTTTTAGACTCGAAAGTTTGTATAAGAAAGGAATAGGATCTCTGCTTCTTTGTCCCTCTGTCCAGTATATTTTGGATATCTATTATGATCCCAGACATCCCGTTTGTACAGATGAACACAGTATGTGTGCTGAGACAAGGTTTGATTTAGACCTATTGAATGAGATACAGAGGATTGATTCACCGGGAATACCTGACCTTAAGTTCTGTGTGAGGTACCTACTCACAGCAGAACAGCTGATAAGTTTACCCCTGACCAAGTATCATACGGTAACATTACAGAGACTTCTAGTTGTTATACTTCAGAAAACAGCTTTTATGTTACATATGAACACTAATACAGGCAAAAACAAAACAATGTATAAAGCAGATAAAATCTCTTGTCACATGCTGAAATTAGCAGCCAAGTTTGGTTACATTTCTGACATGTCATTCATAGCCCTGTATTATTACAAGACACTTAGATACATGGAAGCTTTATCTATTATAGAGATGATCAAGGTCAAGTTAGCACAGCCATATGTGATGTATATGTTTAATGTAGAGGCAGAGATGTACCTTGAGGCTGTAGGGGGACAGTCCTGGTCTACAAAGATAAGACAGGCCATAGCACGAAATATCAGACTTTACACTGATGTCCAGTACATCAGTGAACTGATTCCAGAACAACAGGTCAAAGAGCTCCACCAGAGACCAGACTTAATACTACCCCTCTACCCACTGTTACATATGCTGGAGTTCCTAAGCTACAGACATTCTAATGTAACAAGGGCACACACATCTCTACAGGAACTAGAACTCCTACTTCACAATGATGAGGGGGAGTTGGTGGGTCTGAACCTTAGGGGTACAGCATGGCAGATCCTTGCGATTTGTCAGCAGGTCACAGGGAATCTTTATGCTGCTCTAAAGTCGTACCAACAAGCACTGTCAGAAATTCCATTCAATGAAATACGAAATATTACTATGATAAGAATTATGATAGTGATATACAAACTCATGAAAGAATTTTAAATATAACTGTTATAGATAACAAGGAAGAAGCTGGGAAATTTGTCAACAAATGACAAAGAACCTCTCTGCAGCATTATACACTCACATGGAATGTCTCAACTGCCTTGTGTGGAAAACATTCAAGTTGTGATGATATTTCATCATTGTTTACTGATATATATACTAGTATGCTGATATATGTACTTTAACTTATATGCTGGTACTTTAATATTACATGTATGTGCTAATACTTTGACATTATATGCAATCTAATTAAAATTTTGTATGACTTGTATTTCAGTCCTCTACTATAAGACTCAATATTTGTATTGAAGCATATCGTATAGATGAGCAAAAATAATTAGATTGATAATTAATTGTATATATTTTACAGGACATTCTGCAAGATTCAACCTGATCTGATTGACAGTTGAGGCATTCCATACACCCTTTAATCTTACTGAGAAATAAAAAAAAAAAATTTTGTTGGGATTGATTTTTGTTAATTCTCATGGTAAGAAGAGGTCCTCCACGTAATGCAGGGGATGGAAAGTTAATACTAGGGAGACACATTTGGTTGGGAGAAGGGGGATGAAAGAATGCATGCAGTTGTTGATTCTTGTTGCTGAAAGAACACTCAGAACAGGAGCCCCAAGGGCCTAGAATTGTTCTTCTGATAAATTGTACAACCTACCTCTTCTATTTTAAGCCTCTAAGTATCCTATAGATTAAGACAAAGCTTCAGAATTCCAAATCTAGGCCAGCATTGATTGAAATACTCCAAGGACCCAAACTGAATCAACTGACAAAGTTTGATGATTCTAAGCCTCTTATTATTTGAAATATTTAGGTATTGCCTTATTCCAAAAAGTAGGTCATAGTGACCTATTTTTTAGTTGACACATTCTGAGGTCTTAAGATCCCACACCTGACAGAGTTTGAGGGTTCAAAGCCAATTTAGTATCTGAAATATTAAACTAAAGCCATGAAATTTAAAAAAGCAGGTCATAGTGTCCTAGTATTTGGGTAACACACTCCGCACCCAAGATGCACGAACTGACAAAGTTTGATGATTCTAAGCCAATTAGTTTCTGTAATATTGAAATATAGCTATGAAATTCCCAAAGTAGGACATGGTGACCTACTTTTTGGTTGACACAATCCAAGGGCTTAAGACGCATCAACTAAGAAAGTTTGATGATTCTAAGCCAATTAATATTGTTATATAGAAACATAGCTATGAACTTTCAAAAGTAGGTCATTGTGACCAACTTTTCGGTTGACACACAAACAGGACCCAAGATGCATCAACTGACAAACATTGATGATTCTAAACCAATTGGGTATCCGAAATATTGAAATTTACCCATGAAATTCCAAAACTAGGTCACAGTGACCTACTTTTTGGTTGATACACACCAAGGACTCAAGATGCATCAACTGAAAAAAGTTTGATGATTCTTAGCTTCAAAGTGTCCAAAATATGCCCTTTAAACTATTTAAAAATGAATACCTGCCAAAAAAAAAAGGTCACTGTGACCTCCTTTTTGATAAATATACCGGTATTTTAAGGCCACAAAGTGAATCAACTTACAAGGTTTGATGATTCTTAACCTCTTAGTATCTGAAATAATGACCTTAAATGTTGAGAAAATGATTTGCCATAAAATCAGAAAATAGGTCATGGTAACCTACTTTTTGGTTGACACACTTTAAGGCCAAATGATGCATAAACTGACAAGTTTTGATGATATTAGGCTTCAAAGTGTCCAAGTTATGCATCAAATTCAAACTGAAAATGAATACCTGCAAAATTCAAAAAGTAGGTCACCATGACCTTCTTTTGAGTAAACGTGATATGAGGTCCAAAGATGCATCAACTGACAAGATTTGATGATCCTGGGCTTTATAATAGGCAAAATACCAAAGTTTTAACAAAACATACTTTTTGGTCAACTTTGAAGTGACCTTGAGACCACGCCCTTTGCCCCAGGGTGAGGCCTTGAAAACATTTTAATCTACAACTTATCTTAATCCTTGTATGTAAGTTTGGTGATAATTTGCCCTGTGGTTCTTGAGAAGGATGTTTTAGCAACCACTATATTTGTTTTTATTTCCCATATTATCTCCCTTTGTTTATGGGTCACATCCCTATTTTTAGTATAAAAAAGAGCCCTTTGGTCAAGGATACTCTGTGACAAATTTGACAAAAATTGGCCTATGGTTTCTTGAGACATGGTTCATAATCCAAAAAGTTGATGCACACCACACAATTGGCCATAGCATTAGCTCTTTAAACCTTTGGCTCATAGGAGTTAAAAATTTACATGCAAATCTCTTCATTTTTGAAATCAGAAAATGTGTCACAATAGTCAACTGTAGCAAAAAAAATCATAAAAATACATTAATAGAGGAACATACTTGGTTCAATGGAACCTGATCATGACCTTAAATAAAGGTCATTTACAGGGTACTCAATGTTGCAGATTTCCTAAGTTTAAATTTTTGTCCTCTGGACAGGACTTTATATTGCAACAGAGAATACTGCAACATTAATTAAGGAATGAATTTAATAGCTACTCAAGTTATACTATTAACCTGGGTTGGGTCAATTTACACTTCACAAACTGTTAAGCATAGTAATATTAGTGTAACTTAGGTAGCTATTTAATTTATTCCCTATAATTTAATTTTCTCTCTTAGAAAAATAAGTAAATTTCTCCTTAAAAATGCCTTCAATTTGTAATGAGCATATTTTAAAAATAACGTTAAACAGACTGAAACGTATTGATGTAAGCGATTGTGATGTAGGCAACACAGTACTGGTTTATATGATATAAACTATTTTTTATTCAATCAAATGACATGGATGTACAACCAAAATTAAATTATTGGGGCCATCTTTAAAGAATTGTTTGCCCTGTTTGCCATCTTTAAAAAATTGTTTGCCCATGAGTCTGAAAAGGGCAAACAAACATTATTTTAAAGATGGCCTGATATTAAAATCATTGCTTACCGTCATACAGCACATTGGTGTATCAAAATTTTCTTCATATAAATGCTTATATATATACAAGGTATCTGCAAATTAACACAAAATTAAATATATTTCATTATAGTCAACCCAAGAAAAGCTATGGAAAAGTAATCAGATACACATAAAATTAATACCCATTAATCTGTAGAGTTTATACATGTATGTATATATAGATCTCATGATAAACTATATCCTGATGAATAGTGTTTAAAACAACTATAGTAAATCATTCATTATTGAATATAACAATTTAAAATTTTCATTTGTTTTTTTTTTAATCCTTGAAATTGTAAGTGCACTGATTAGAAACATCAATGTGACAAGATGAGGACTCTCAAAGCCTTACCTCTGTTAACCTTTATAACTTGTGACCTTTATCTGATTGACCTTTAACCTCTTCAGCATCTGCATTGCTAGTCTCCTTAAGCCAAAGACATCATCAATGAAACATATTGACCGAGGTTAAACCAATGAATTCAACATTGCAATAAGCACTAAATTCATAACATTATAATCAAGGGTTGGATTGTAGAAAACTCCTCTGCTTCAGAATCTGATACATGTAATATTTATAATATCATTTCACTCTGGACAATCATTATACACAGCACAGCTGTATATGGTCTAAAAATATCAGTCACTGTAACATTAATTATTTATCTCCACTACACAACAGAAACTTCAGACAGTTGTGATTGGACTATCTCCTTAACTGACCACTTAAACCAAGTCCACAAACTGTGAAAAATACAAACAATGGACCTGAAGACAATTTAAAAGGAATTACTAACAAAGAAAATTCAACAGTATAATTAATGATGTAAGATTTACTAGTTAATCCCTGGCTTTTATTATGGAGCAGACTAAGAACACTTGTCAGCATTAATTCTATGATCTCATTGTCATGTCTATTGTGATCATCCACAAACAACAATTCTAATCCAATAAATACTAAAGTTGTTTCTCAGTGACAATAAGCTAAGTGGAATTTTACCATATCTGGGTTTAATTACTCTTCCTCATAAAACAACAGTGTGTTGTCTGTCACCTCCTAATTAAGAAAAATGGTTAATAAAATTAAACTGGAAAATTGCCACAATAATTCATGGGCAATGGTTTGTTCCATGGATATCAGTCTGGGTAACTGATCAGCATGCAGTGGTCAGGCTGGGGTCCCGGGTATGATTCCTGCTCCAGCCATATATTTTCTCCTTTCTTGTTAAACATAATATGAAAGACAACTCAAATACTATATGTAATACAACTAGAAATATTTCTAACTTCAAATACACTGTAATGTCTGATGCTTGACATATACCTGACATTTGAGAATATTACTTCCATTCAGAAACAGCATATTTTATTAATTTACAGGATTCATGCAAAAAAAAAAAAAAAAAAAAAAAAAAAAAAAAAAAAAAAAAAAAATCCTCCAGAGTGAGTTCCTGTAAGTATATGCCATGCATTTTTTTCTAAATAATTTTCTATTGGGAATTTCTTAAAATCAATTTTTTATTTAAAAAAAAAAATTGAGAATATTGAGCCATGACCTATAAAAAATTTTATAATAGAAGAAGCCATTGACAATGAATAAGCCTGATAAAATAAATGAGAGTGTTCTAACTTTATGCCCTTTCCAAATCTGCAATATTCTAACACTTTTGATAAATAATTAAGAATATTATACATGTACAGCTTTTTGCATGTAGTCTGAGAAAATCTGTCACCATTTCAGTGGTCAATAACATTTCAAACTGCATCTGGCAAAAAGAAAAAAAAATGGAAATTTTCAGCTTTTGTAATTTTTTAATCATGATTTTTTAAGTGAAACATTCACTCATTAAAATAAACAAGTACACATCCACTGTTTGTGGCAAAACAACAGAAAACAATTTATTCTACAGTTAACTTTATGAATGAAATGTCAATGAAGTCAGAAATCCACAGGTACACTTGAAAAATGCACCATGCTATAACAATTCACTTACACTTTATTCCTTTAATTCTTTCATACTTTGGTAATTAATTTCTTATACATTTTTAAGTCACATAATTCTATATTTTAAATTTAATTTTTTCCCAGACAAATATACAGTCGTGCAATGATGGTCATAAAGAGGGATAACTCCTCTAACTTTGTTTCAGAGGCGTGTTTACAATGTAGCACATATATAACACCACTATACTACAGTAAATCAGGCTTATAGTGAACAATACATTTATAATGAACAGGCTTGTAATGAATTCATGCTTACAGCAAAGTGATTTTCATTCCCCATGGTCAAAAAAAGTATTGTGAACTTAACAGATATAACATATATGTTTAAATCAATTTGAAAGCAAAACTGTTGGTCCCAGGCACTTAACTATAAACATGTTTTACTGCGATAGCAAATTTAGGGAAATTGGAATTGATTTAGGAAACACATTTACATACATTGTAAAAGCTGGGCTAAGTTTAAAACCTGCCAGAAATTTATTAAAAAAAAAAAAAACAAAAAAAAAACAAACAAACAAACAAACCGAGAAATATGAATAAAAATGATTTCACACACTAAGTTTATTCATATTTGCAAAGAATTCATAATGAATTATTTTGATTGCAGCTAAAGGCCAAACTACTAATAAGAGCACCAAGGTAAAAATGAACACAAGTACTAAAAGAAAGTCTGCTCTATCTGTTAATTATCTTGCATGTTCTCTGACAAATCACAATACACACACATCCTCTCACACTAATTCAGAATTATTGCAGTACATGTATTTGACAACACTAAGTTTACGTTTTCTTGAGACCCTTGCTCCCCTTCTTGTTCTTCATGGCTGCCACATCCACCTGATGGAACTGTAACATGTCTGGTTTTCTGTTTACTATCCCCTTTATTTTATTGGACCCCGTGGATTTCTTCTCTGTTCCCTCCTCCCCACCCTCCTGCGTTTCCTGACCCCCTGTCTCCCCGACTACCACTCTCTTTGGACCACCCCTCACTATAACTGTTCCTTTCCCTCCCTGGATAGATTGTTCTCCCTCCCCACTTTTCTTTCCCTTCTCCCCAACCTTAATACTACCCTCACCCTGTGTACTTTTCCCTACAAAATCCTTGGGCTGCATTATGTGGAATTTCTTAGCCAAACCTGGCCCTAAGGCAGTTGTGGTTTTCTTCTTTGTGAAGCTATTTGAGTCATAAATATGGAATGTAAGTTTGCTGGGAGACACTTTTTCACTCGCTTCTTCCACCTCTTTCTCAACAGTTTTGATGGGTGTCCCCCCTCCCCCACCTTTCTTTACAATATTTTTCATAGTCACAAACTTCATGTCTGGATTATTAAAAGAAATCTTCCCTTTCTTCATTTTTCCTTCGCTGTTCTGAGTTGATTCTTTTGTTGATTCGTCTCCTTCACCTGCATCTGTCTGTAATTTTTCTGCACTGTCTTCCAAGTCATTTTTACTCTCTTTGGTTGTGCCATCACTTTTGACCTTCTTAGGTTTCTTGGTTTCCTTGTTTTGTTTGCCATCAGATGCAGTTGAATTCTCTTCTATCTTCACTTTCTTAGCCTTCACTTCTTCATTCTGTCCAGGATTCTGTATATCATTGCTGTCTTCCTTGACACTTTTCTTTCTTCCCCTCTTTCTTGGTGGCTCTATTCCATCTTTCTCGGATTTCTCTTTATCATCTGGTGAGGATGTCAATAAGGATTTCTTACCAGCCTTTGGACCAACTTCTTTTTTAACATTGCTTTCACTCCCTTTCTTGCCTTTTGAGGCTGAATCAGAAACAACTTTGGCCACTCCCTTTGATGTACCACTTTTGTGTGTAGAAGCAGTAAGAGCATCCCTCTTGCTTCCTCCTTTTTGTGAACTTTTGGTCACTTGTTTTGATTGTTCCTTAACGTCTTGAGATTTAATACTTTTCTTTGATTTCATGTTACCTTTAGCTGTTTCTTGCGGTCTGCGTTCCATCTCGGATGCTTCCATGTCAAGCTCTTGAACAGAAGCAACCCCAATGTCTGCCTCACTGGAAGATGGCTTCTTCTGTTTAATAATTGTCCAGGAATGGTTCTTCCGCCTGTGTTTCCTCTTCTTTCCACGAGGCCAACCCCCCTTTTTACGTCCAGGCATATCAAACTCTTCTGTTGTAATTTTTCTGTCCTCCTCTTGTTGAATAAGTCGCTTCATCAACACAGCCTCTGTGGCTTTGTCTTCCTCCGAGAGCACCCCATTTGATCCTCTTTCTTTCTTTACTAAACAGAAAGCCTTGAAGTGGTTCATCAGAGATTTGGGATAAATAAAACCTTTGTTACAATAAAAGCAAGTGTGTCTTTGTTTTTGATGAAATACTTCATTAACATTAGATTTGATCAGTTTGATGTCCTTGAACTTATCCTTCTCGTCACATTTTTTCACGTGTCTCTCTAACAGAGAGATGGTTTTGAACTTTACCCCACAGCCTTTGCACTGTTGTTTATCTAGGACTTCTGAAAATTCTCGTCGACGGATATGATTTCTTGGATTGTAGATCACAAAATCTCGTTTTCTCCTAGACTTTTTCTGCTGGATGTTCTCCGACACCTTCATCAATTTTACAGCCTTGCTTTGTTCAGTTTTGATTTTTACTGGTGAAACAGATTTCCCAGCTGCTTTGCCTTTAAACTTCATAGTTATAGCACTTTTACCTTTAACTTGTATATTTATCTTCTTTTCCACCATTTTTTTCTTCTCATTAGGTTTTATAGATGGAAGCTTCAGTGTCTTCTGCTCATTAACTTTCTTCTCCTGAGATGCCTCCATTTTGTCCTCAACTAATTCTACCTTCTCAGGGGTGACTCTCTTCTCAGAAATGGTTTTCTTGTCTGGAGTAACTTTCTTCTCTGGGGTGGTTCTTTTCTCTACCCCAACTTTCTTCTGGACAATATTTTTCTTCTCCACTGGAGTGGTGGGTCTCTCGCTGACTTCACTCACTGTTTTCTGCTCCGGACCCACTTCCTCCGAGTTCACAGATTCTGCTCTGACAACCTTGTCTTCCTCCTTGTCACTTTTAGCAGAAAGTTCCTTCATTCTAGAATTAAGCTCCTTAATATTCACTTGACTGGGTAGTTTGGATGGACTCTCAAACTCCCCGTTTTCTGTTTTAATTGGTGTTTTACGTTTGTAGTATGATTTCTTCTTTTTGGGAGATGGTTGAGGAGTGGCACAGTTAATGATATGAACTCGGAGTCTGTCCACACTTTTAAATGACCCTCTGCATCGAGTACATGTGTAGGATGGTCTATTAATAGCTCTCTCCAAGGCTTTTCCAGATGACCCTAGTAACCCTCTATTGCATGGTTTGGAGTAGTAAAGACTCTCTATCTCATGTCCTTGTTCCACTTCCATGAAGTCACAGTAGATAGATGGATGCTTCTTCCACTGGTGTCGGAGTAACCTATCAAAGTCTGGATAGTGTCTCTTGCAGACAGAGCACACATAAGCTGTGTCTCCCAGCTTGCCAAACATGATGGTCTCATAGTTGTAGAGTGGACTTCTTTGAGGAGAGTTGCCTGCACTGGAAGACTTTGGCTTTTTCTCTTCAGTTCTGCCCTTAGTTCCTCTGGCCAAATCAAGTCCCTGCAGCATCAAGTCATGGTCTTTGTTATTTGTTTGGTCTGAGTCTGAGTCCGTGAACAGGTCCACTAGTAAGATTCCAGAATTACTGTCATCACTGCCAGTGTCCTCAATCTTTGGCTTGCTGTCTGACCCATCTCCAACATTCATACCTACTGTGGAGTTATAATCAGCTGAGGCTTTAGGACCATTCAAATTGACATCATCATTTTGTTTTTGCAACACAGAATCAGTCTTATTATCTTCTTTCCCTGTTTTATTCTTTTCAGCTTTCTGGAGATCACTGTGACAGATCACTGTTAAGCCACCTTTCTTCAGTTTACTATACTCCATGATTTTAAATATATGCCTTCTTGGGAGATGCTCACTTTCACCGTTTTGCTGGTTCTCCTCTAAGCTCTGGTCACCACCTTCAGATTTCACACATTTCTCTGTTTTTTCTGTACTTTCTTGTGATTGTTTTCTGTTCCCATTAATGTCACTGGGACTTATACTACTCACTGCTGAAGTCTGAGAGTCTTTAAGTGGTGTAGACTTCATCTCTGAAGATTCCTTTGTTACAACACGTTCCTTTAACTCTTCATTTATTTTGTTCTCCGTATTTAGTGGCTTATCATCATCTGATGATTTCTTAGGAGTCTCTTTTTGATCAAGCTTAACATTAACATTTACTTTCTTATCATCGTTTTCCAATGTCTCCGTGACTCCCTCCTTCGTGTTCTGCTCTTCGGAATCATGGCCCAGTTTTTCTTTTGTGTCACCAGTTTTGTCTGCTTCATCTTCCAGTGGTGCTATTGTAATTGTTCCATTGTCCTCTTTAGTTTCTGCACCAGAAGGTTCTTTTTTTGGAGTCTCTGGCACCAGCATGGCTGCTTCTTTTCCTGAGAAAACAGAGGTAATCTTCAGCATGGGAGATTCACTCCTTTCTGATTTGGCTGGAGAGTTTGTTACACTGCTGTCAAATCTGTTACCCCAGATACTGTCTCTGCTATCATCCTTACTGTCTTTGGAGTTTCTCCTTCTGGTACAAAGAGCTGGCCCACGGTCATCTAGAGAATTCTCATCAATATTCACATCAAAATAATTTGGCACTTCTTTCTCATACTTCTTCATTAGCTCTGATGGATCTAGTGGGCAATATTCAAAGTTCTCCTGCAACAACCTGGGATTGTAACTAAGTGGAAAGTTGTACTGGTCCAAAGCAATCTTACTGGGTTCTTCCACCTTTTTTTCTTCTTCCACATTCTCCACATCCACCTCCTCTTCCTCCACCTCCCTTCTACTGTGGGCCTCCAGTGCCTCCTGTCCCCCATCCAGATAACAAGTCAGGTTCTCTGCGATATTGTATGCCACATTAGCAAAGAAGGCTGCTATAAGCTCGGGGTTCTCCTCTACCACATTGGCTGACTCTGAGCTCCCTTCCGAGTTAACATTACTGTTAATTTCATCATCTGGTTCTTCATGAGCAACACGACGATGTCGGCACATGTTCACATACTCTGTGAATCTCTTCTTACAAATTGTACATGAAAACTTGAATCTGGAGTCTATTCCATCCTCAATCCTGGTCTTGGACTTCTTTTCTTTTTTAGCCTTTGTCTCTTTGTCCCCCTCATTTGAGCTGCTGCAGGTGCTCCCTCTGTCAGATGACTTGCTGTTCTCGTTTTCGTAGCTGTTATCCAGGTACTTCTGAGCCTTAACTCCCAGCTTTCCCTGCTTCTCCAATAGCTTCAGAAGCCTCTCCCTGTGGACTGTGGGGTGGAGAAGTCGGATGTGCTTCCTCAGAGCGCCGACGTGAGAGAAGACTGCCTCACAATGACGACATGGCACCTTACAGCCGATGTGAATGTTCATGTGCTTCTTCAGATTCGTCATGGAGGGAAAGGATTTGTCACAAACAGTGCATTTGCAAGGGCGATCATCTACAAAATGAAATAATAACAGAAATTAAGGGCCAATGAATTGATTACGAAAATGAGAAAAATTTAAGAATTATTTGAGTTTACATGTAGACAACAAAATTTAAGCTCATTTAAACCTTGCACTAAAGCAAGCTTTTAAGAAGAATACGTGAAATAGAAAATAACTGGATATTCCCACTTACCTGAATGAACAGCTTCATGCTTGACCAGATTTGTGGAATACTTGAATTTCATTGGGCACTGAGAACACATGAATGGTCGCTTGGGATCTCCACTGTCATTAACTGGTTCTATTTTGATCTTCTGTTTACTGGTTCCTACTGTGTTGTTCCCAGAAGTTTTTCCCTCATGGACTAGTTGATGGCGCACCAGATTCATTTTAAACTTAAAGGTCATATTGCACAGACTACAAGCAAACGTTTTAGCATCTGGAACTTCAGAGTGTTCCTTTGTGTGGTCTGTAAGTTCAGGAGCCTTATCAAACAGCTTATTGCACACATTACACCTGTATAATCCTGGATAGAGTCCAGACTCAGTAAATTTTTCATCTGGATTAATGTCAGCTAAGGACTCATCAAGATTTTCCTCAGTGTTACTGGCTGTGTCTGTAAATGATTCCTCTTCAACTGTTTCACTAGCAGAATCATCAGACTTCTCATCGTAATTTGTATCACCATCCTCCAGTTTTATATGAATATTCGTATGTATCCTGTTCACAGCTTCTTCTCCATTTTCCTGAACTACTGCATGATACTGAGAGGCCACTGATATCATGCAGTTGGTTATGGCAGCCTTACTTAGATACTGGCAGTTGATGTGATTGCGTAGATAGTGCCTCTTTAAGCTGAATTTGTGCCGATATAGTCCTCCACATATATTACACTTGTACATGCGGCGGTTATTGACACTTGTAGCAATACGATTTAAGAAGCCAAACTGGTATTCCCTCCTTTTTGGAGGGTACTTCCAATTATCCTCAATCTCCTTTATTTTCTTTTTATCGGCCTCAAAGAACTCGGATCCACCATTAGACGTGCTGTAGACCTTGATCGTGTCCACGTCCAAACTATTGAAGATCTGAGTGGTAATGGCTTCCGTTGTGGGATCCTCCGTCACAGACTCTTGAGAATCCACACTTCGCTTTGTTCGTTTCTTTGGAATGAGTTCTGCCAGAGACACCTCTTCCACATCTCCAAATATCTTCTTCTTTTTCCGCTGACGTTTTTCACTTATCGTAACATTCTCTCCTAAACCAAGGCTAGAGTCAGATTTAGATCTTTTAGTGGTCTTTTTCTTGGGGCTTGTTGTACCTTCAATATAAAAAAAACTAACTTAAATTTACAGCTGAATAAATAAATAAGCCTTATCATTTCTAGAAAATGACATAGCTATCTTTTACATCATAAAATAAATCACAGTATTTATTGTTGAAAATGTAATAAAATTCATAAAACTCAAATAATATCTTTTTACTAAATAATTCAGTTAATTAAGTTCAGTTATCATGATAACATTTGATAAATTTCATTTCAAATCACAAAAAAGATGTACAGTACTACTAAGGAAAGGACCTATTAAGTTGAAAGAAATTGTATACAATCCTTTTGTATACATGTATATTATACAATAAAATATGTTCAAACAGACTTAGTTAAAAATTTGGTATTAGAGAGTTAAAAATGCATTATCATTTCACCTTGCAACCCTGTGTGATAATAATGTTGTAATAATAAATAATGACAATAATCTTTTAAGTACATTATGTATGTATTAAACCCTTTACCTTTGGTCTTGCTGGCCTCAGTTTTACTGGAATTACTGTTCTTTTTTATGCGACTTCTCTCAAACCAAGTTAGGAGTTCTTCACCAGCTGGTATGTCCTACAACAAGAGAAGAAACCTCAGTGTATCATCAGACAAACAAAGCAAATAAATCACGACTCTAGTGATTAGTTTGAATTGTGTTCATTTGAAATTTATTTAGTCATTATTTCACAAGACTGTCTGAATGAACAAATGAAATTCTAATGTGGAGTACTTAAAAATTAAACACTCCAAGGATGCTGGAAAATTGAGTGTGTGATTGGGTACAATTCTATTGGGGCTCAAAAATAAATAACAATGAAAATATATATCTGAATCAGAGTTTTGCAGTTCATAACAATGTACATGTCAATTATGATGTAAAACAAAGATAATATTCTAATGAAAACTCAACAGAAAATTTATTTTCTTGTTACTACAATTTGCATATTAACATTAAAATTACTGTTATTATGTCATACAAAGCTTCAGAGGAAATGTAATCTCACTAATCTTGTATAAAAAACTTTATGCTTAATTGTTCTGATGATGACTCCTTAGTTGAAAAACTAGTCAACAAAATAAATCTACTTTTACATTCTCATTCTTACATTCAGACAAAAAATGCAGGAATGGGGACAGGCCTCCTGCAACCACCCCCACCCCCAATTCCAAGCGTCTAAATGTTATGTTCACTTGAAAGGAAGTAGGGTGCATGTAAATAAAGTTTCCAGAACTATATTTGTATCAATTTGGAAGTTCTCAATCTATTTTTAGTCCAATGTAGAATAAATACATCCTTATGTTCACCTGAAAAGTCAAGTGCAAGGTGAACATAATGTAAGGTTTTTTTCTACAACGTTGTATCTCAGCCAGTAAGAGAGCTAGAAATTATTCAGATAATAATAGGTTTTATTAGATAGTAATTGAATCATATTTTTATGAAGATAATAGCAATGAATATTGTATCGTGAATAGTCCTATTGCTCATGTGAAGTGCAATGGGCCTTAATCCATGACTGAATTGCTATCTCTTTTCTCTTTGATGACCAAAACTAATTAGAATTTAGCATTTAAATACATTAATCATTTGGAAATGTTTTCAAAGTTCCTCCTGAACTGACTGTACTTAATGTGATGGCCTTGTAGAACACCCGAGTCCCCTCCTGAACCGACTCTAGTTTTACTTAGGCCATAATATAAATAAATTCCTAGATTCTCATCCCCGCCCGCCTCAATTTTTTTACCCCTGTCTTGATTTTTTTAAATTCTGTTTTATTTCGTCTTGATTCTGATCGGGATCGGTATTCAACTACCATTCAACTTTCCTTTTAAATCCCTCGAATGTCAGCATGTTTTTTGACAGCTGACAAGATCAAGAAGATGGTAATTGCTGTAATATATATGTACTATAAAGTGATCATTGGTTGTGAAAGATTGGTGATGATACATGTATGTATTAAGAGATATGCATATTTAAATGGACCTCTTCTGTGACTTTTATTTGGGCATTATAGATAAATATGCACTGATTGATCAGGTCAGCAAACAAGAGGCCCATGGGCCTTGAATCGCTCTTCTGATAAACTGTACAACCTATCACTTCTATTTGAAGTATCCTGTATATTTACATAAACCCTTGAAATTCCAATTCACACTCTGAGAACCCAAGATGATTCTAAGCCAATTAGTACCTGAGAGTTGGTCATGATGACCTACTTATCACTTGTCATTCTCTGAGGACCCATCAACTAAGTTTGATGATTCTAAGCCAATTAATACCTAAGATATTTTTTAAAATTATAATCATAAAATTTTATAAGTAGGTCAAAGTGACCTACTTTTCAATTGTTTTACTCCAAGGACCCAAGATGCATCATCTGACAAAGTTTGATGATTCTAAGCCAATTAATACCTGTAATATTTAATCAAAGCCATAAATTTTCAAAAGTAGGTTACCATGACCTACTTTTCAGTTGCTGTACTCCGAGGACCAAAGATACATCGACTGACAAAGTTTGATGATGCTAGCCAATAAGTACCCAAAATATTTAATAAAAGCCATAAATTTTCAAAAGTAGGTCACAGTGACCTACTTTTCAGTCAACCTACTCCGAGGACCAAAGATGCATCAACTGACAAATTTTGAAGATTCTAAGCCAAATAATTCCTGAAAATATTAAATACAGCCATAAAATTTCAAAAGTAGGTCACCGTAACCTACTTTTCAGTTGTTGTACTCCGAGGACCCAAGACGCATCAACTGACAAAGTTTAATGATTCTAAGCCAATTAGTACCTGAAATATTTGATTAAAGCCATAAATTTTCAAAAGTAGGTCACCGTGACCTACTTTTTAGTCGACCTACTCCCAAGACCCATGACGCATCAACTGCCAAACTTTGATGATTCTAAGCCAATTAGTACCCGAAATATTTAATTAAAGCCATAACTTTTCAAAAGTAGGTCACAGTGACCTACTTTTCAGTCAACCTACTCCGAGGACCAAAGATGCATCAACTGACAAAGTTTGATGATTCTAAGCCAATTAGAACCCGAAATATTTAATTAACGCCATAAATTTTCAAAAGTAGGTCACTGTGACCTACTTTTTAGTCGACCTACTCCGAAGACCCAAGATGCATCTACTGACAAAGTTTGATGATTCTAAGCCAATTAGTACCTGAAATATTTAATTATAGTCAGATAAATTGAAAAATAGATCACGGTGACCTACTTTTCAGTTGACCTTTTTTGAGGACCCAAGATGCATCAACTTACAAAGTTTTATGATCATAGGACTTAAAATGTCTATGCCTCTAAAACGCTTTGAAATCGAATGCCTGCAAAGTTCAAAAAGTAGGTCACTGTGACCTACTTTTTAATGAATACGTTTCATGGCCCCAAGATGCATCATCTTACAAGATTTAATGATTCTAAGCCTCCCCGTATTCGAATTAATGACCTTAATTGTTTTTAAAAAGATTAGCCATAAAATTCAAAAAGTAGGTCAAGGTGACCTACTTTTTAGTTGATGTACTTTGAGGACCCAAGATGCATCAACTGACAAAGTTTGATGATCATAGGCCTTAAATTGTTCAAAATATGCCTCTAAATCATTTTGAAAAAGAATGGCCGCAAAATTTGAAAAGTAGGTCACCGTGACCTACTTTTGAGTCAACATGATATGAGGTCCTTAGATGCACCAACTGACAAGATTTGATGATCCTAGTCCTTATAGTAAGCAAAATATCAACATTTTAATAAAATGTAATTTTTGGTCAACTTTGAAGTGACCTTGAGACCACACCCTTTGCCCCAGGGTAAATCCCCATGCAAATTTTAATCTACAACATATATTCATCCTTTTGTGTAAGTTTGGTGATAATCTGCCCAGTGGTTCTTGAGAAGAAGATTTTTTAGCAACCAGTACTTTTGTTTCTATTTTCCTAATTATCTCCCCTTGTTAAAGGGTCACAACACCAATTTTAGTATAAAAGGGAGCCCTTGGGCCAAGGATACCCTGTGACAAATTTGACAATAATTGGCCAAGGGGTTCTTGAGTTATGGCCCATATTCTAAAAAGTTTACGCACACCACACACCGCACAAATGGCCATAGCATTAGCTCTTTGAGCCTTTGGCTCAGAAGATCTAAAAATCTGCACAATGGAAAAAATAAAAAAATATAAAATAAAATCTGCCTGCCTGCCTCAATTTTTCAAAAAATTTGGATTAGAATCTGGGAATTTTTTTTATTATGGACTTACCCTTATGGTCTTGTAGAACACCTGTGTTCCCTCCTGAACTGACTCTATTTTTACTTACCCTTATGGCCTTGTAGAACACCTGTGTTCCCTCCTGGACTGACACCAGATTTTGCTCCTCCAGGTAGCGGGCACAGTTGACATAGCGGGTCCAGTCTCCTTTGTTAGGGTCTGTGGCATTTATTATGTGAATGAGTTCACTGGTCTCCAAATCATAAACCTAAAATTTCACAAATATATCAAAACACAGCAAAATCTGTATTGATCAGACAAGTTCTCAATACATACATGCTGGTAGTCTGTATGTATAGGTATTAAGAGTCAGGTTATTATAAAAAAAAAAAAAAGAAGACCTTAACAAGAGGCCCAGGGCTCACCTGAGCACTATGGCTAGAAAAAAGCAGAAATTAGTTCAGTCTTGAAAGGTTGAAAAGTTTAAATATAAAAGTGGTTCGGGGGGGGGGGGGGGGGGGGAGGTGGTTGATTTGAACTAACTTGAATCTATACTTCATAGGAATGCTTTTGAATTGATATGACAAATAATGGCTTTGCTGTTCTTAAGAAGAAAATTTTTATTGATATACCCTTTGTATGACTATGATCCCCTGTTATGGCCCCTCTATTCTCCTGGGGGGTCATGAATTGAACAAATTTGAATCTACATTACCTGAGGATGCTTCTATTTAAATATGACCAATCATGGCTTTGCTGTTCTTGAGAAGAAGATTTTTAAAGATTTTTCCTATGTGTTCCTATGTAAAACTTTAATCGCCCATTGTGGCCCCACCCTACCCCCGACGGTCATGATTTGAATAAATTTGAATCTACACAATCTTAGAATGCTTCCATATAAATATCACCGATCATGACTTTGCTGTTCTGGAGAAATAGATTTTTAAAGATTTTTCCTATGTATTCCTATGTAAAACTTTGATCGCCCATTGTGGCCCCACCCTACCCCCAGGGGTCATGATTTGAACAAACTTGAATCTAAACTACCTGAGGATGCTTCCATATAAATATGACCAATCATGGCTTTGCTTTTCTTGAGAAGAAGATTTTTCCTATATATTCCCATGTAAAATTTTGATTGCCCATTGTGGCCCCACCCTACCCCTGGGGGTCATGATTTGAATAAATTTGAATGTACACTATCTGAGGATGCTTCCATATAAATATGACCAATCATGGCTTTGCTGTTCTTGAGAAGAATATTTTTAAAGATGTTTCCCATATATTCCTATGTAAAACTTTGATCGCCATTGTGGCCCCACCCTACCCCTGGGGGTCATGATTTGAACAAACTTGAATGTTCACTATCTGAGGATGCTTCCATATAAATATGACTAATCATGGCTTTGCTGTTCTTGAGAAGAAGATTTTTAAAGATTTTTCCTATATATTCCCATGTAAAATTTTGATCGACATTGTGGCCCCACCCTACCCCCGGGGGTCATGATTTGAACAAATTTGAATGTACACTATCTGAGGATGCTACCATATAAATATGACCAATCATGGCTTTGCTGTTCTTGAGAAGAAGATTTTTAAAGATGTTTCCTATATATTCCTATGTAATACTTTGATCGCCCATTGTGCCCCCCCCCCCTACCCCCGGGGGTCATGATTTGAACAAATTTGAATCTACACAATCTTAGAATGCTTCCATATAAATATCACTGATCATGGCTTTGCTGTTCTTGAGAAGAAGATTTTTAAAGATTTTTCCTATATATTCCTATGTAAAACTTTGATCGCCCATTGTGGCCCAACCCGACTCCTGGGGGTCATGATTTGGACAAACTTGAATCTACACTACCTGAGGATATCTTGATGTATTTTGTGTACAATTTTTTGAATTAAAATCACATGAAAACAGTGGAAGGGTTTGCATTTTTAAACACTTTTATCAGATAATACTCTTTTTGTAACCTTGGCAACATTTTTTCAACAAAAATCATTGTTTTTATTAGGGCTGTCATGGTTCCAATTTTTTCGGGTCGGGTTGGTCCTGTAAATTTTTGGAACAAAAATGGGGCAGGGGGAATGTAGCTATAGCAATATCATTCATCAGGCTGATTAAAATACAGAATTTTGCACACAGTATCTCAATGTAATTTACATGAAATTTAAATGTTTATATACAGAACTATGGAGCTTAATATGTAGTCTGCATGTGTGCCATGTTTCGCTGAAATCAGGCCAAAACTTTATAAGGAATATCATTTTGAGGAACTGTCCAGAAACAAATAGACAATGATCACCAATGCAATAGCTCACATTGTAGACCTGTACTGACCTCCCAGGCATATCTAAAATCTATCTTCTTCCTTTCATGTTCCTGGACAATTTCACCTTTAAATGGTCCAAACAGAGACCCTTGTTTGACATCACTTGTACACCAGGCACCTACAGATATACAGACAAGTCACAGGTAATCATAATAAATGTACAAAGGACAAAATAGTTATTTGTGTTTCTCATTTTTCACATTCAATGTCCACAGAGATGTACTTTTTCATATAACAGTACATGTAATGGTTTGAATGTAGTTTATCAAATGAAACGATTTTCCTCACCAGTTATCCTTCTGTCCACCTTAGAGGGCTTCAATTCTACCCCCTCTGGTGCCTTGATGTGACTGGGAATGTTTCCATACACCATGGTAATGACCTATAACCTCATCCTGAAATCAACAAAGAATACTGAATATCTGTTAACAACAGTCAAATCCTCTCTGTCTTCTGTGAACATAAAAACGTCTTGATCATCAAGTTACCAAACAACATCATATATCTGTATCCCTATAACAACAACCTAACATTTGAGTGATACTTGAACAAATAGCATTTCCCTTTTGCACCATAGGAAAGTGTTGAAAGGAAAAAAAATCAAGACAATACAATTTACATTTTTTTCTTCTTCATTCATACCAAAGTTGATTAAAATTGGGTAAGCCATATTACAGAAGAAGCTAAAAATGTTTAAAAGTTTGTCAGTACTAGCAATGCATAATCTTACAACAAACACTGCACATTTATGGATGGGAAAAGATAGCAATAGTGACTCAGCTGACATAAAATCACCTGAAAATTCATGTGCCTTTAACTTTGTTAAAATAGTTAATTAAAGGTTGCTATTTTTTCTCTGATTATTAACTATATCCTTTGCATCAGGTGAGGTATGAAAATGAGTTTCTCCAATTCGATTATCCTAGCATCATGGCTAAAACATGTTTCTCAAAAAAGTACAGAGGAGAATCTTTCACTTTAATGGCAGTAACCTTGACCTTGTCCAATGTTTGATCTACGTTTTCACTATTTCATGAATTTTATAGCTCTGAACCTGTGACCTTGTTCATATCATCTTGTTCAGGATCATTATACTACTCTGGTCAAAAGTTATCTGTTTGTAAACTAAAAGCATTTGTTTCTTCTGTCTCTCTCTTTGGAAGATTCCTAAGTTAGGGGAGAAATGAAACTATTCATTTTATAATATTATATAACCAACATCACTTGATTATTAAGGAAATAAAACTTAAATAGATCTTCATGCATTAGGAATCAGTTCACTTCCTACTACACACTATAAGCAGTATAAAAAACAATAACAGCATAGTGTGTCACATCTTACAGACAAAGGTCATTAACCAGGGAACTACTGCATAGAGTCTGCATATTTTTATATTAATTAGAATTATGAAGTGTGCCTATTCATTCAGTACAGGTTACACTAGAACTACATTGTCACATGATTCCAGGACAAAATTTATTATGATACAGCTGAGATGAGCTGTCATTAATGTTCACTATATATGCACCTTATAAACCTGATATTATGGGATGCTTACCCACCCATGGCACCTGATCCCTCCTCTGTTTTCAGTGGTTTGTGTTGGCTCTGCTCACAATTTGTATTGTTTTAATGGACTTTTGAGAATGATTACTGTCCGTTATATTCACATTTAATACATTAGATTCCCTTCTACAAAGAAGAGTCTCTTCTCTTACAAGTTCCTTCTGAAGATATTTTTCATTTAGAGGAATTAGCACTTTTTTTATTTCTAAAGTTACAGAAATATGATTAACCATCCATAGTTTATGTTAAAAGTGCTTCAAGTTAAAATGTTGTTACTACATAATTTGGATGTGTGCGTTTTAAAATGCTGTTTAGCCAAAATCTCAAGCATGACTACCAACGCATCAATTTATATGGCTGTTACCATAACCACAAAATACAAAGGTCCTCCCAATAAATCAAAGACTTCTGCAATGATTTGAAATATTTTTATTTTTCTAATACTATTCATAGTTAAATATTATTTAGATATAATAATTACATATACAAATCATTATTACACTAAAGAGAAATTAATATTTTTTTTTTAAGTTTTACTGATGGAGGATCTATATGCAAGGAAACTACATAACATCCTTAAAAGTGATCAATGCAAAACCTGTTGGTCCTTATAGACAGAACTTGTAGAGGGCTGCAGGGCATGTGCTCTGTGTAAACTGAATAAAGAATCAACAGCATAATTATGTACATGCAAACAATTCCTTTTAAAAATGGATACAGGACCACCATAAGCTAGAACATTTATGCCAGGCATACACTTCTGACAGTTCAATCTATTCTATTTTTAAGTGTCTGCCATGTTATTTGATTTTATAAAATATAATTATGCATTTTCAATAATTGACAAACTTTGCCCCACCCTAGGGCCTGAACCCTGAGCCAGGAACTTCATAATTTTGTTAGAGAGCTTAACTTGCTCATAATAATCATGCCAACATTTTGAAAGATTAATGTCACGGACTAAAGATGATTTCCAAAGATTGTATTTTTATGGTTTTTACCCCAAGTCTCAGGCCCCTGGAAGGCAGATACTACAAAATTCTCAGTTTTGTTTAGATCCTAAGAATTGTGTAGGAGGACAGACCTCCAGTCACTCTCCCTAGAAGTAAGGTGAAGGAGGAGATTAAAATAGGCTACGTTTTTGAATCCTCTCCTTAGGAATAAGGGGGAGATGGAACTGAATAGTCTATGTTTATGGATCCTAATCCTAGAAATAAGGGGGAGATGGAACTGAATAGGCTATGTTTTTGGATCCTCTCCTTAGGAATAAGGGGGAGATGGAACTGAATAGGCTATGTTTTTGGATCCTCTTCCTAGAAATAAGGGGGAGATGGAACTGAATAGGCTATGTTTTTGGATCCTCTTCCTAGAAATAAGGGGGAGATGGAACTGAATAGGCTATGTTTTTGGATCCTCTCCCTATGAATAATGAGGCTGAGATGGAACTAAATAGGCTATGTTTTTGGATCCTCTTCCTAGAAATAAGGGGGAGATGGAACTGAATAGGCTATGTTTTTGGATCCTCTCCTTAGGAATAAGGGGGAGATGGAACTGAATAGGCTATGTTTTTGGATCCTCTTCCTAGAAATAAGGGGGAGATGGAAATGAACAGGCTATGTTTTTGGATCCTCTCCCTATGAATAATGAGGCTGAGATGGAACTAAATAGGCTATGTTTTTGGATCCTCTTCCTAGAAATAAGGGGGAGATGGAACTGAATTGAATCCTCTCCCTATGAATAATGAGGCCAAGATGGAACTAAATAGGCTATGTTTTTGGATTCTCTCCCTATGAATAATGAGACCGAGATGGAACTAAATAGGCTATGTTTTTGGATCCTCTCCCTATGAACAATGAGGCCGACATGGAACTAAATAGGCTATGTTTTGGATCCTCTCCCTCAGATAAGGAGGCAGAGATGGAAAAGGCTATGTTTTTGGATCCTCTCCCAAGGATTACAATGAGGTGGCCTCCATCAACAGAGAGAAAGAGAGGACCTATAGAAACATACTGGAGATGGTCTATAGAAAAAGAATTAAAAAGAGAAGGGTGGACATGGGGAAAGATCTAACAATGGTCCCAGGAGAGGCAGCAGTGAAAGGCATTATGTGCAGATCAGCAGAGGAGGATTAAGTAAGTGTAATAAGAAGGAGAAAATGCTCCAGACCAGGATTCGAACCTGGGTCCCCTGAATCACTAGTCATAGGTTCTCTATCAAGCTATCTGGCCACCAGCGATCTAACCTGCCTGCTTCCTTTAAGTTCTTCACCCCCAAAGACACCAACCCTTCCCTGGCAGGTCTTTCACCTGTCACTTCCAGAGCATGGTACCAAAGGTATACCTGGCCACTTGCGATCGAACCTTCCTGCATGGCCACCACATAGTTAAGTAACTAAACTTGATGACATAATAAAAAGTACCTATTTTGCATTTGTAACAGGGATACTCATTAGTTCCTATAACAGACAATCAAGTGCCCCATCTGAACTGAGAAACATGGACTCTAAAGTTGTTCCATCAATAGTATCAATGCGTATGTTTAACATCATGGTAAGATAACACTGAAAATAACTTGCTGGCTATTGATTTACTGGAACACTTCCTGTTGTAAAACTTAACAGTGTAACTTTTGAAATTCTCAATGAAATTATTTAAAACACACAATTGTGAGATTGATAAATTAGGTTTCCACTAGCAGATACAGTATTTGTATAATCAGCATATTCCATCCTAAGTGATGAATATTCATGAAACATAAACACACACACAGCCATAGAAGGAGTAGCATGCATGTTGCATTTCAATGTGTATCTTCCTCAAAATCTGTCTACCTGAGAGACAAAGCAACTAAATTCCCAACATTTAACTGAGCTACAATAAAAGATATATTATAAATGCAGAATAAGAGAAAGTGTCCACCTTTTCCTTCTATAGAACTTGATATAGATATCTAAAGTTGAATGACACCATCAGCTATATGTATGAGGCCTATATAAAGAGGGACAGACTTCTCAGGTAATTAATCTATCAATCACTCCGCTTCTGTATACATTATATATATACTCAGATACAGTTTAAATGACCAGGTATTGTGGTATATCACATACTCTCTATTGATCAAGCCCAACTCTATACTGTCGAAGAGCATGCTAATTCATGCACTTCCTGAACAAAATCCTAACCTGGCCTATTTTTTAGAAATTTGTCATGTATGCACAAATATCAATTTGACATGACCAAGATCAAAAATAGTTTCCCAACGTACCTACACATAAAACTCCTATCCTTGCAAGCAGAAACATCCTACCTATATAGTAAACCAGTAGTGATGATCTCTTACAACTAGATTAAGTTTCACTGAACCATTTTTACTTCAGATCAGTCATTGAAACTTAAATTTGTAAATAGGACCACTTTGAGTGTTTCCAAGAACATGACCCAATTTTAAAGAACTGAAATTCAAACTTCTACTTTATTTACTGATCAATAATAAAAACATTTCCAATACTCAAATTGAAGCCAGTCAGTTTTTCACAAAAGATGTCCATAAGAGACATGCAATTTTCAAACAAGTATAGACTAATAAAAACATTTTCAATACTGCAATTAAAGCCAGTCAGTTTTTCACATAAGTTGATGTCCATAAGAGACATGCAATTTTCAAACAAGCAAAGACTATTTATAAACAGATGTACTGTAGGACCTGTTCAGATTACTTGGCTAAATTATTGTGAGAGACCATTCAAACATGGATACCCTGTTGTCTAAATGAAGCCAGATTTTTCCAGTTTTCAATGTTGCTTCCTCAACTTCTGCATAAAATTGTGTTCCTCAAATAAAGTTACAGACTTGATAAAAGTCATCATCAAAGATTGTTGTGTTTGAGACTTTCAGGAAGGGAGCAAGTTTTTACAATGCATTAACACTTCCATTTCTGTTTGATAATACCCCCGTCTTTTATTGTGGACCTGAAACCGGGCTCAATACACATGGTATAACAGCCCAATCCCAATGGCAGATGCTTGAAATGTGATAAGTTTTACTGTTATATCGTCATGATCAATCAGCAGATGTCAAAATATAAATTCACTGATATGTTCAAATTTCCAATACACAAAGTATTACTTCCATCTTTGTTGTATAAATCATTAAATTGTAATGGTTTGGGCCATGGATATTGGCCTGGGTAGCTTAGTCGGTAGAGCACCTGACTAGACATGCAGGGGTCCCGAGTTCAATTCCCGGTCCACCATACATTTTATTCCTGTTACAGATTTGTTGCAGTTGATCACCCCTGGACTTGCAGGTGAAAGTCCTGCCAGGGGCAAATAAGAACTTGGATTGTGTCTTCAAGGGTGAAGACAATTTAAGGAGGGAGGAATGTAATGGTTTGGGCCATGGATATCGGCCTGGGTAGCTCAGTTGGTAGAGCACCTGACTAATGATGCACTGGTCCCGGGTTCAATTCCCGGTCCAGCCATACATTTTTTCCTTTCCTGTTACAAAATCTTATATAGGTCTCCATAAGACAGGCAGGATTTCAAACAGATGACTTTCAGTATTTCAATTTCACATTTTGTATTTATACACTCAATAAAATTCTAACCACATTTCACTATTATGCATGTGCAATTCCTTTTATTTATTTAATTTTTGGAATCTACTGTTTACCTTCATAAAATATTTCAGAACTGACCTTGACGAAATTAATGAGAATCTTCAGGGCTCTCACACCACTTTTTGGTGCATGAGCCAGGGCCAATAAAGTTAGAAAAATCAGTGTCCCTTTTTTTTTGGGGGGGGGGGGGATATTAGGGAAATCTTAAACATTAAAACTCATCATTTTTTTTTTTGTGTGTGTCTGTTTCGTATTTTAAATTTACTTTCTGTTTCTTTACTTTTTAATATAACTGAATATAATTTTGGGGGGTTGGGGGAGTGGGGGGAGGGGCAATGGCAATTGGTAAAGTTAATTCATTCAGTTCAGAAGAATGACCATTCTTCTGAATTGGGAACAGGGCCTATCAATGTCCCCAGTTAGAGACAACTGAGAGCTCTGATCTTATAGGTATTGTAATCCCAAACCCTTCAGATTTTGTAATTTGAGTTATTTAAAAAAAAAAAAAAAAAAAAGAAGCCATCTCTATGATGTTATTTGTGAAACAGCATGGGTTTGTTATATATGTTATGTTTTAATTCAATTCTGAATTAACATATATTCTTACCTTCAACCGAAACAGATATTTGTCAATTTAATTGAATCATAAAATCAAAGCATACATTGCAATATTTGTATATTCATGGGCAACTTTTTTCCATTAAAAATAGATGCGGGTAGTAACGACACTTGTTCAGAATACCATATCGGAATCCTCTGATATTATTGAGACCGAGGTGTTCCTGAGGAGGTTGGATAATCTTCATTTATCAGAATAAGGCTTACAACAATTCCGATTATAATTATCAACAATAGATTAAAACATTGGTGATTTTGAAATATCATCACTCCTGATGAATTAATGCTGAGCTTAATTCATGTTCAGGTAAAACTAGTTTGAATAGTATTATTTTTTTTTTCCTTATAAAGTCTTTACATAAACATTAAATTCAACCCTCTGTAGCTTTTAAGAAATAAGAAATGTCAGTACAGTTAAATCAATCTGGATAAAATATGAGAGACAATAAAATCTATACTGTTAACAACTTCTATACATATTTAGTTATTCTATAAATCAATATGACTCTTTGCATCCCAAACTGAGCGACGTCTTCTCTTGAAGTGTTAATTTTTTGTCATCTGTCGATTTTAGAAAAACAAAGACAAGACTAAGCGCTGCTTAATGTTGACAAAATAAGAAAGAGCGGGGAAATACCTGTACATATTTAACAGACTCCTTTATCTGTGGTTAAGATTGCGGAACCTCAGATAAACTAGCACATCTACCAGTGACTGTGGATTTAACACACAGAAAAAATACTGCTGTTTAATTAAATGCAAAAATTACCTGTAAATGTTAAACAAAGTCTAAGAGTGTAGTTTTACAACCCCGTTTTTCACTTTATCTGAAGATGACTTTCATATTGGACATCTTCCTGTTCTACCATACTAATTCAAAGAAACGTCTATAGGAGTCTAATATCCTACATACATGTAACTCGGCGGCCATATTGCAATCCAAAACGGCGACCTAGCTTTCAAAGTCGACCAGAGTTATTCGATCGCCAAAACATTTCTAACCCAAACTTCGCTTTTCTGTTGCCTTCATTACAAACAACAATGTTTATTCTAGTGAATGATGTGCTTATTTTGCATGTTTTATTATTATTTTCCGTGTTAGGAGCATTAACTCGTTCCTACCTATCACACAGATACAGAGTCATTCATCAGATTAAAACACCCCACTCTTTGTTTGTTATTCTAAAGTTTACTAACACTACAAATAAAAGTGCATACATTCACGTTTCTCACGATTTATTATCACTTTTCATAACACTTAAACCCATCTACATTAAATATAAACACAAACAACGTGCCATGCAAGATGCAACTTCTCCAAATAAGAGTCATTAACGAAAGTAAATAAAACCCTCTCAAATGTCAAGAGTTTTCATAAATACAGCAAAATTCACGTGAGAATAGGCGAAATATAAAACAATAGTGCTATACCTGTGGTCGAAATCCTCTAAAACTGGCCTAAAATGACGATTTTCTGGGTCCAAGTTTCAACTTTCATACACCACATGGAGAAGATAGTCGTCATTCAATGTAGATTTCTGATTGACTGGTCCAAATAAGGGGGGTTGAAATCATGCACAGGTTATGGTCTCTGTTGAAATCATTAACATACGGAGAGGTACTATATTGTAGCCATCAATTGAACAAATTACGAAAATTAAACATTTTGATTTATTAAATATTTTATTCTTAACTAAAAACAAACATCTTGTTGAAGTTCTTTAGAACCTGACGCCCCTGATTTGATCAATAGCCGCGTCCAGATTATTCACTGAAGTGATACCTTTGTCCTCCAATTCTCAAAATACAATGTAAGAAGAGGTACATCAGGTCCCCTTACTGAAGAAATAACAAAATTATTCTGCTTATTCTCTAATTCATTAATTAGGCTCGTGATATAAGCTGTGTTTTTAATTGGAAACACGATGTATACATGGTATAGTACACATAAGCGATGTAACTCATTTAGGGGCTCCATCTTGACACCTTGTATTTATAATGTCACAGGTACTAACTCGAGGCCTCTGTCTTACAAAACAGAATATTTCATATGTAACACAGGACACAGGTTCTTAAATATAACATTCTTTTTTAACATATCGTTTGTAGATACATCTCTCATCGATGAGTTTTAAGTAACTGAGTTAGATTTTTATCACCTTCGGATTAAATGAAAATTGGAGTTAAAGGGAAATAAAGAATGAAAATGTATATAGATTCAGAACACGTCACACATAACCTTAATTACAAATAACTTGATATATTATATAATTCATTTTTAGACACTGAACATTTCGAGAAAAAATTCTTTTTATGAACATTAATATATCATAATTTGACGAAGATCATGAATACGTACAATCAAACAACTATTCAAATGTAATTTTCAAATATATTTATACATTTATAAATACAACGGTGGTGTTTTTTTTTTTTTTTTTTTTTTTTTTTTTTTTTTTTTTTTACAATATTTGAGTGGGAAAAATAAAACACATTACTTTTAATTTAAATAAGTAACTAAAGAAATGAAAGAATTATTTTAAAAAAGAGAGAGAGAGAGAGAAAAAAAAACATCTGATTGACACGTTAAATTAAAATAAATATTGCATGTAGTTGAGTGTAACATTCAAAATTTTTACCCCAAGAAAACCATCGTCAACCGAGGCGCAGCCGAGGTTGACAATGCTTTTCGAGGGTTGAAAATTTTCAATGTTATACACTCAACTACATGCAATATTTATTATATTATACTGAGTGTTTTATACAAACACATATAACATTGAACCTTGCGCGCATAAATTCTGTAACTATTTTTTGGAATATCACCCGTCGTCAAGCAATGTTGACTGTTGCTATGCTGGAGGGCGTGGCTTCATCATTCAGCGGGTAATAGTGTTTTTTAACAAATGTTTCTCGACGAATCAGATTCAATTAATTTACATGAAAGTATAATAATGTTTTTCATGCACAAATATCATAAGCAACTAAGCGGAACACCTAATAAAAAGAAAACTGTTTATAATTAGGTGAACAGGCAAATACATTGAATTTTTATAGATGGAAATCTCCTGATGTCCTTCAAAACTGTTAATTCTTCTCTCAGATACATCTGCAACGGGCTAATGTCAAAAGTTAAAGCAATATGAGATGCAACTTTGATGTCAGAAATTTTAGTTGCAAAATTATAATTAACTATTTCAATGACAGAAAAAAAGTTTATGAACTTCAGGGCCCGGTTGTTCATATTTGAGATGGAAGAACTATTTAGAAGCTTTGATTGAAGCAAAATTACATTATTGTCGTCCTGTACAATACTCATTTCTTATATAATACATAGGCGTCGGAAGCAAATTGAAAGTGGGGTGGCTAATTGAAAGGGGGGGGGGGCTAAACCAACGAAAAAAGGTAAGCCCCAATTTTCAATGCTTATATTATGTCTATCTTTGAAAAAAAAAGTGGGGGGGGGGACGCTAAGCCCCCCTTACTCCCCCGGTTCCGACGCCTATGTAATACTGTATATTTCATTGTACAGAATCCTTGATTATAAAACAATTTGACACTTTATTTCTGTCTAATTGATCAAAAAGGTATAAATTACACACAAATTAAAATAACATATTTTAACAGCAAAATAAAATTCTCAAAAATGCAGTTCATATTGCTTTAAAAAAGTTACATTTCAAGGATCCATTAAAATTAATTAAGTAAAACTTGTCTAATCCGGCCACCACTAGTTCCAAAGAAATTGGCCGGATAAGACAACATTCCGGACAGACAACATTTTAAACAATTGAAATTACTGAAAGGGACCTGAAGTTAACATCGTATTAGACAAGATTTCGGAATACACAACATCCGGATTAGACAAGTTTCACTGTAGTTCCATGTATACCGAGAAAATACGACATAATATCTACCTTAAAAGACAAATATAAGACCAAGCATTATAATGAATTAAAACATACGCACTATTATGTAGTATTGAACAGAGCAATGTATAAAGTGATGGAAGTGAGTGAATGTATATGAACCAATATTTGAGTCAATGTTTAATACGAGTCGATGGTAGAGAGTGATTGTAAAAGTCGATGTCAGAAAGTGAATACGAGTTGATGGTAGTAGAGCGTGATGTTGAAGTCGATGTTTCAGTCGATGTCATAAAGTGAATACGAACCGATGGTAGTGGGTGAATGTTTCAATCGATGCCATGCAGAAAGTTAATTCCAGCCAATGATGGAGAATTATAGTAGAATAGAATTATATAAAAAGTATGTGTGTGAAATACATGTAAGTATGTATGCATATAGATAATGTATATATAAACAAATACTTTTGCTCAGAACTTATGTAAATGTATATACACTAGTGTATACTACTATAGTATCTGGTTTCTTCCCCCTTTTTTACGTCTGTTTTTTTTTCTTCCATTCATGCAACTCTTTCTCTCTTATGTATAAGTATATTGCATTACATGTATATGACTGAGTATTAACAATGTACTTTGTTTTTGTCCCTTGAGGACCCTTAATTGGTCAATAAACTAATTGATAAAGAGGAATTATAAGCTGATGTATGAACCGATGGTAGAGAGTGAATGCATGAACCGATGGTAGAGAGTGAATGCATGAACCGATGGTAGAGAGTGAATGCACGAAGCGATGGTAGAGATTGTGATTGTGATCCAATGCCAGAAAGTGAATATGAGCCGATGTCAGTATAATGAATGTATCATGTTGTAAATTTTGCATTTACCTCCCCCTAGTAAATTCAAAATTTACAACATGATAAATGTATGAACCAATGGTAGAGAGTGAATGAATGAGCCGATGTGAGAAAGAGAAAGTATTGTTATGTTGTAAATTTTGAATTATACCAGGTGGCAGTAAATACCACATTTTCAACATGACAACTAGTAAATACAAAATTTACAACAAGACAGTATGAACCAATGGTAGAGAGTGAATGAATGAGCCGATGTCAGTGAGTAAATTACGAACCGATGGTAGAGATTGAATGAATGAGCCGATGTCAGAAAGTGAATGTATGAACCCATGGTAGAGAGTGAAGGTGAACCGATGCCAGAAAGTGAATGTTTGAACCGATGGTAGAGATTGAATGAATTAGTCGATGTCAGAAAGTGAATGTATGAACCCATGGTAGAGAGTGAAGGTGAACCGATGCCAGAAAGTGAATATGAGCCGATGTCAGAAAGTGAATGTATGAACCGACTGTAGAGAGTGAAGGTGAACCGATGCCAGAAAGGGAATGTATGATCATGAACCGATGGTAGAGAGTGAAGGTGAACCGATGTCAGAAAGTGAATGTATGAACCGGTGGTAGGGAGTGAAGGTGAACCGATGCCAGAAAGTGAATGTTTGAACCGATGGTAGAGATTGAATGAATGAGTCGATGTCTGAAAGTGAATTTATGAACCCATGGTAGAGAGTGCATGGATGCTGTCTCATTTACCTTTGTTTTGGTTTCTTTGCTCCCTTTTGGATACACGTATTATGTACACTTGATGAGTTTGACCAGGCACATGGAAAGAAATAACACCAAAATTTGAAGGACTGTGCCCCTTTTTTTGAAATTCGCGTCTTGTCCGAAATTAAGTTCCTCCCATCAAACATTTTATAATTTTTTTAAAAATAGTGTATATAATTTCAACACATAGGCGTCGGAACGGGGGGGGGGGGCTAGGGGGGATTAGCCCCCCCCCCCCACTATTTTTGCAAAGATAGACATAATATAGGCATTGAACATTGGGGGCGTAGGTTTAGCCCCCCCCCTTTCAACAGGCACATTGCAGTGTATAATCAAATAAGGGCAAGTGGTAACGTTTGAAAAAAAAATGGTACTGAAAGAAGGTCGATCCATCAGAACAGCAGTATGGTGTCACGCGCAACATGTTATTGGGCACTGTCAGGTCGCAGGATGATTTGAAACCCGATTTCAAATGAATAGATGTCATTGTTCTGGAGAATTTCGTCACGGCTCCAAACTCTGCGACATTTCCATTCCGGATCTCCAAAGCTGTGTGATATGTCCTTTGATGTAATGTAGACAGAACATTTCTTCAGTGCTACCAAATAGCTCTAAAAACTGTCACTGACAAAGCATATGTCTCGCATATTATGTTAAATGGCGTTGCTAAAGATTAGCTGATATAAAGTATGCGGGATTTCTGTGTGATATATGGTATAGCTGTTTCTGCATGAAGCAGACACGTTTCCTCACCCTTTTACTCGGGGTAGTACTAAGAGTTTTCTACTCAGTGTTTATAACTGGCAAATATACAGATTAGAAAATAATTAGCCTCTAACAGTTTGTATACTTGATATAAGCATTTAATTATTATATTTGCTTCAATTTGCGTATGGTTTAATTGTTGAATTGGTGGGTGGGGTTCAGAACTCAGTTGCAACTAGTCTCCCAGTATTCAAGTTTTGGAGCTTTTTTTTCCTTTTGAACAGCTTTCTATCGATGACCAACTACTTTTCATGGTACGAGTAAAATCTTCACCAAATGCCGTTTTATTTGACCATTCAAGAAACATTAATGTCCGAGTAGGCATCAGAAGCCCTGATGGTAGTGTATATAGGTAGGAATTACCTTATTTCAGAATGGATATGCTCTGCGTAAACTTTTACCCTAGTCATTCGTCTGGAAAATGGTTATTGCAATTTAAGCATCCTTCAGGGACGGATCCAGGAATTTCAGTAAGAAGGGCGTGAAAAATATTTTCAGATGCAGGCCGCCGCCTTGAGGCCCCCAGTAGGTCCAGGGTAAAGCCCTGGTGGGAGTCCACAGGGTGAAGCCCCTGGAAGATATCCTGAATTTTGGAGATTTTAAGAGTAAAAATTAATCTTATAATAAGCATCTATATATAGAAAATATTTTCAGGGAAATTGAATACATGTATAGAGAAATTTTTGAGTTAGAAAGACAAATGAAAAAAATATTTCTCAAAAATGCGCTGGTATTGACTAAGCTTGGAAACTTAAAGAATTCTTCCTGATCGACTTTCACCATTTTTACCTATAAAACCCCCCCCACTCTCTTAATTTCCAAGGTTAATGAAGGCTTTAAAAAAAACACAAGACAATTAAAGTGGCTACCTCTTTATTCGAATGACTTGAAATTTTTGGTATCAAGTAGCCATGCAATGGCAGGTTCGTACTGTGGAGATCGCCTTTTAGGTAAACCATTTCTCCCGTAATATTGTTTGCTTGAAAGTAGGGGACTAACGATACGACTAGAGTGTATCGTGATATATCATGATACACTAGGGCTGGGACGATATATCGATTCTGTGTGAGGACGATACGCATATCGATACATATGAAAAATATCGAAATATCGCCGAAACAATTCTGACTTATGTTTTTCTTTGTTTACTTAAAATTTTGGGTTTAATATATCAAATAAATATGCTAAATGTAAATATGAATAAGAAATACATAATAATCAACACCACTTGAGCAAAATAATTTTGTTTTTCAACAGATATACAATTTTTATAAATAAATTATTCTTATTTGTGAAGAAATGTTTTGTTCAATTCAATACTAAAAAAAAAGATTTTATAACCAATTTAACATATCGTGATACATATCTTATCGTGGTTCAAATATCGTGATACGTATCAATACAGAAAAAGTTGTATCGTCCCAGCCCTATGATACACTGGGACTGTATCATAATATTTCACCTGAAAATTCTTTTATGGTTAAACTGAAAAGAAATAACATAAATTGCTGGAAAATGAATTATATCGTGATTTACAGATATAGGGCTTTTGAACCGCAATACAGTACTAATGTTATGCATGTCGTGATATACTGATATATCGTTGCACCCCTACTTGAAATCAAGCATGATCCATGTAACTTTAATCAATAAAGAGTATCAAATTTTAAATTTTATAAATATATCTATATCAATTATGACTGATTTTCCCTTAGTTCTTTTGAAATTCCTTTATTTATAAAATAGCAACTCTTGGTACACATGTAACCCAACTGGGTGTGGGTTGCCCCTGCTAAATCAGTCTTAAAGAATTCAGGGAATTTATATCCCCCACCTAGACACAGTAGTTTATTTGAGATACTAGTACATGTATTATCCAGAAATAAACTGTAATAATATACAAGTTTGTGACCTTGACACTTGATTCTTTCAACTCAAAATCAATAGGGGTCATGTTTTTGTTAGAGACAATACTTAAATGAATCTAGAAAGCAATTCAAACCCATATGAACTTGTGGGCTTGACCTTTCACTAGTCCCATGGAGTTATGATATGGAATTTCATTGCAAAAAACTTAGAATTATCATCTAGAAAGTAAAAAGTACCAATTCTTTTATTATTAAATTTGCAACCTTGACCTAAAAATCAATAGAGTCTATTTTAGTTAGAGTCATCATCTTTTAAAGTTTCACTGCAAAAGGAACTAAATTTATTTTTGAAAACTATTTTAAACAGTATGTGAATTTTTGATCTCGATCTTTCAATTTCAAAATCAGTAAGGATTTTCTCCAAGTCATAGAGACCTTGGCATCAAAATCAATAGGAGTCCTTCTTAATTAAGAGGAAGTTATCACCCAAGTTTAATTACAAAAGCTTATATAGGGCTACAATTATCATATGGAAGCCATTTTATATACCGGTAATATATGAATTCTGACCTTGCTTTGAATAACTAGAAGTGTCATAATGCCACGAATGTCCTCACAGGCAGCCAAAATTTCAAACTGAAAATTGTATATTGCACATTTGTAGCCGAGATAATGATTAGAAATTGTGAATTTTTAAATGTTTTCGAAGTTCAAGGGGGATAACTGTCAAAATCATCGGATCAGGACCAAATTCGAACTTGACCTGTATACCTGCATATGCAATTTCTACCTTATACATACATATCTACGAAAGCTAGAGAGCAGAAACTGAAAATTTCTTATTTTTTTTTCTAAAATCAAAAGGGATAACTCTGTCAAAAATCAACACACCATGACCAAATTCAAACTTGACCTGCATATTCCTATGATGTATCCATTTGTCAAATTTGAGTTAAATGTGTGCAACTGTTGCCGAGATAATGAACGGTAAGTCAATGATGATGGAATGATGGAACAGGGTAACACTATATACCCCTGGCCATTTTATGGCTGAGGCATATAAAAAATCAATACGGATCTTCTTCAGGTAGCTATGATTTAAAATTTCATTGGAAGAGTTAGAAGACTTTTAGAGATATCACCCAGAAGGAAAGTGTTAGACAAAATGACAGACAGACAAACAAACAGACAGCTAGACAGATCGACAGACAGACCCAAATTAATAAACCTGGTTAGAAATCCCAAACCTTGAACCTAAATGCAGGGAGTAACTAACCTACTATTGATACATGGATATAAGTCATAAAATGACCTTCTATACCTTGGTTTACACATTTGTTATATACATTTAGTTTTCTTGTGATATCAATGTAATTAATTGAGAGCACAACAAATTAGTTGTAAGGTATATTCAAAACCACATTTGCATTACAACATGAACAATTTCTAGAGAGCAATGGAATAATTTGTACCATCTGAAATCGAGATAAAGTGATATTTTTACGAAACATTGATGAAACTCATGATAAATGAACATTTTATATAAATAACACCTTTCCAAAATGTCACATATTGAACAAATAAAAGGAATCAACACAAATTTGATTTCAGCATGTCATTGTGTTTCCTGTAAGTCCCAAATTTTCAATTCAGTCCTTCTTGATTGTTTGTCATTGGTTCCCTTCATCTTGTTGTCTAGTAATTTCTTGAAGTGGGCGGAGCTGGAGGCGGGGGTTGTCGAGGAGGGGGAGGGGCTTGTCTATTCATGCCTGGAGGGGGTGGTGGTCCCCTCATACCAGGAGGAGGAGGTCTCATTCCAGGGGGTGGTGGCCGACCTAAAAAATGACTCTTTTCACAGTTCAATTTGTCATGGAAGAATTTTGGTTACATGGGTTTTGTTATGGGTCAGTTATATATATTTAAATGAGAGTATAAAATAAGTATTAAAACCAGCAAAATTGCTCAGACCCCCAAAAGGGGTTTATATATTGCATTTTACATACCATACATGGGTGGTGGTGGGCCTCTCATCCCTGGGGGTGGCCTCCAGCCAGGGGGAGGCCTCATACCAGGAGGAGGCGGGGGCATACCCATTCCAGGGACACCAGGGGGAGGAGGCATATGAGAACCTGCAACATGACAACATCATAATTATGTATTATACATTCATTAACATTATACTGTAGACATTTACAACAAAAAGCATTTAAATCTGACTTTAAAAATTGTGCAATTTTAAAGCAAGTTTTTATCATGCTGGAATGAAGGAAAAGTTGCTCTAGTTTGTCAATCATAAATTCTGGTACACTTCTTTTGAATGCATTCTTCAGATACATATTCCCATATTTCTAATGCAAACATCTTGTTATTTTCATAACTTTATTTCTGTGCTAAATAGGGCTGTGTATTGAGCAAAAAAATTCAATACGATATGATACAATATTTTATAATGCAATATCCAATATATTGCATTCTTTAACAAGTCTATCAAAAAAGTCTTATAAATCATTTAATGCATGAATTTTATAAAAACTTATTGCTTTATAACCCATTTTGAAGGTCTTGTCTCACTGTCTCTAAAAATTACACTTTAAATTCAAACTTCGAATGACTGTAAAACAACATATTAAAATAGAGTTATCTATGTATTTTGTAATATTTATCTAAGATGTGCTATCTCCTTAATCATTACATGTATATCATTACTGATCAATTTTAATTCAAAAGAGTGAAAATATAACCTTTGCTGATTGAAATTCCCAACTTTTTCAGCGAATTATGAGAAAATCTGCCTGTCTGATACGTATTGTGATACGATACATTCTTAAATATCGATACGTATCAATATATTGATACAGCCCTACTGCTTAAGCAAGTAGTTTCAGTTTGAATACAAATAACATCTTTTATTGGCTTTTAAAGAACTACAACTCTACAACATATGAGCTAGACTGAAATAGGAATAGTTCATGTCCGTCCTCTACAACTTATCAGCTAGACTGAAACATGAATAGCTCATGTCTGTACACTGAGTGTACATTATGCAACTCTGCTTGATAACACCTATACACATGTGCTTGAGATGTACATGTACACACATCTGCTTGATATGTTTGGTATACACACCTGCTTGAGATGAGGGTGGGGGTGGAGGGGCTTGTGATTGATTGCTTGATACAGGTGGAATCCCTGGAGGTCCGGGGCGTGGTGGAGGGGGGTATGGCATCTGACCTGTGAAAACAAGAAACTGTTTTATTTACCGGAAGTCATTGTTGTACATGTATAACTCTATTCACTTACATGTAAAAGTGATCGGAGTAGTGTCCATATTGGATACCTCAGAATTACTTAGAAAGGTCTGTATCAGTTCCAATCATCCCAGTATATAATGTTAAAGAAAATTATTTCTAAATTGCTTTCTCTGGGATACTTACCTTGCTAACGAGGATACTGTGGCATGATTTGAGATACTCTACCTTGCTGGGGAGGATACTGTGGTATGCTTTGAAATACTCCACCTTGTTGGGGAAGATACTGTGGCATGATTTTTGATGAGATACTTTACCCTGCTGGGCAGGATACTGTGGTATGCTATTGGTTGAATACTCTACCTTGCTGGGGAGGATACTGTGGCATGCCCATGTGTGGGGGCATGGGAGGGGGAGGCATTGGCTGCTGCATGGGCATCATTGGAGGTGGCATGTTTCCTGGAGGCATTCCTGAAAAAACACAGGTGTATATTAACTTTACAAAAACAATAGACCAATCCTCTTCACAAATGAATGGAACAATTTGTTTTTCGTAAAGTGTTTGAGCAATTTCATCCATATATGCAAACTCCTTTTTATCTCTGTATATGATTCAGCATGATTATATATATGAATCTTTCATGTGGTGTATTTTTTACATCATACAAAGATGGTATTCATGTAGAATAAATTTTCCTACCACCGTATTTTTGCAAAATAATTATTTGGTGTTTATAAGCCAGAAAAGAAATCACAAATTTTGATAACTGTTGTATATAATCTCTAATAATATACAGTCTAGTCTTGTTAATCTAGATGCCAGTGTTTCTGACCAAATTGTTTGGATTAATGAATGGTTCATATTACTGAAACACACTTTTTATAAATGGTAGATAAACATGAACTATAAATGTATTGTCTTTAATTTATACCACAAAATTTTTATTTCAAAATGTTTAACATGCATTATATAACTAAACTATTATACCTATAACATGCATTACTCCATTACTCAACATAATATTAGAACTCTACTTACCAATCTTATCAATAAAATGATTCATTGTATTGACTGGATTTCTTTTGACCTTTTACTATCTTAACTTTCTCTAAAAATATGATGCACAATTTAATTCTTTGGGCCTTTCTGAAGCATTGTGTAAATAAGAAAACGACCTAATTATCTGCTCTTTGTGTAATGGACACTGGTATTTATCTCTGTTATAATACTCATGTCTTCTTAACAATTGAAATTTAGTCCTCTTGAAAATCAGTTGATTGGTCAGATTCACCATCCAGATTATTTAATTTTCAATGAAAATTTGGGTTTGTTGTAAAATTTGACTGTATGGATCCGAAACACGGAGTTCAAGATAATGATTAATGATATAAATTCACACTTGAAAATTCTGTTCCCCATAAATTTGGTCCTGAAGATGAAACTTCCGGATTACTGAAAATCCACTATAAATATACCACAGAATGAAATTCTTTTAAGGCATATGGTCATTTCAAGACATTTGTAATTATGTGGAAAGTTTCTGCAAATAAAAAGTGATTTATCGTACCTGGCATAGCTGGCATTCCTCCCATGGATGGGGGAGGAGGAGGGGGAGCCATATTTGAGGAGGCCATTGGTGTAGGGGGTTGTTGTGGAGGGGGAGGAGCATCTGCAAACAGCTGATGAGGTCTGTCTGTTAGAGACAGTGGGTTCTGCTTGGCCATGAATCTCTCTGGAATAAAGTCATAAAAACAGCTTTCTTGATGCAGTTTTCCTTAAAATTTACTGCTATACTTTGACATTAGGCATTAATTTTATTAAATCTAAGGAAATAAAAGCTGGACTCCTTTTTTAATTGTTTTGAAAAATGCATTTTAATAATGATTTACCGGTAAGTAAAAATATGGATTTTTTATAAAGAGCAATATATGATAAGTATCTCAAATGGCCCCTAAAAATGAACATCTTAATTTTACTTTGTATTTACATGTAGTTTTACTTTGCACAGCTATACATGTGACTTTTATTCGTAATTTTCAATTTGGTCAAATGCCATTAATTTAGAAATATGACATCATAAAGTTCACCTTTTCCGCCATTTTAGCATATTTTGTATAAAACTGCTTATTTTCAAGCAGTTTTTCTTCCAGAAAATATTGAGTGCAGACTTGAGCAAACTTTATATTTTTACTGACAGAAAATTTTCGCATATTCAAAGCTGCGCTCTATGTTTCCCATAAAAAAAATTCAAGAAAAAGCCACATTTTGTCTTATTTTGATTAGATTGCAAAAATAGCATCATTTCTGATGTCATTAACAGCCTGTGAGTGCATATAAATGTGAAAAATGTATAACTACTAGCACTATAGTCAATGAAGTACACATAGACTTATATATTGACACACTGGTTCACTGTTGTAGCATCCATTAATGTAAACACAGTACATCATGTAAAACATGCCATAGCAAAGTGCCGAGGATGAACAATACTGATTGAATATAAAAGTAATTTGTTATATCCAATTAGTTTAAAACTTGTTGTAAGCATGAATTCATTATATGCATGTTTGCTGCAACAATGTTTTATTGTATTCTTCAAAAAGTATACTGTTTGAGGAATTCAAAGTCAATTAAATGAATTATTAAATATGAAAGGGAGAGATGTGTAACTTTACCACTTTGAGATTATATACAGAGTTGTCTAACCTGCAGCTGAGCCATGTCTTTCTCCTTTAGAGTCCTTCTTGAAGGCAAAAGAGATAGAAATGGCCCTGTTACACAGGAACTGTCCGTTCATGGCCTCCAGAGCTGCATCTGCTGCCTCAAAACTGGCAAAGTTGATAAAGGCATAGCCCTTAGAGTTACCAGTATCGGGGTCACGCATTATCTGTAAGCCAAACAGGGATACTGTATTCAGGAAATGTCTTGTTTTTTTGTTTTTGGTTAACAAGAGTTTCACTTTTTACACCTGTAATTTTATTTTCATCTGATAAAAATAAATCATTGGCATTTAATATCGTAAGAGATTTTGTATTTTGAGAATAGAAATATCTAAGACAAGTATTCCAAGATTGTCTTGTCACACAAACTTGAAATGCGTTACAAATCAAATGAAAATGGAAAAAGTAGGAACATTTAGTTCCATCTGGGAATTCAATTCAATTGATATACATGTAATAACTATTTTTATATATATATTTGTTTTCATGACTTATGGTAATTAGTAAAAAGTGATTTTAGATGGTTTTTAAGCTTTTCAATATTTGTTCAATTAGGAAAGCATTTACAAATTTTTTACCTCTAGAAAATGTGCTGAATATTTACCCAATTGCAGAGAATTATAAGCTGATTTATAGAATTCCTTACCTTAGGGGTTTGTAAAATGACTCCAAAAGCACTGAATGTGTCATACAGTAACTTCTCATCCACCTCAGGGTCCAGATTCCCAATAAAGATGTTGGCTCCTACATCTAAGTTCTTCTGATGAGCTGAAGCCTACAAAATAAACAAAGAGCAGTGAACATTTGTGTTGTCTTCTCAAACTCTACAACTGTCTTAGTGTTAAATCTAAAGCAAACTAGCATGGCGCGGCGCCATGCCCTTTTCTCTCGACGCCATGCCCTTTTTTCCAGCGCCATGCCCTTTTTTCCTTGCAAAAATAAATAAATATGCCTAGCAGAGGCAAGATGGACTGGCGGCTTTGTTTATTCAGTGCATGCTGATTAGCCCCTTTGTTTATTTAATGCACGCAAAGGTGTGAATTCAGGACAGGAAATCACTTCTCGCTTGAACGCACACAGCCACCTGGCCAGGTAACATGCCTCAGGCTGTCAGGGTATAAGAGATAACACGAGAAAATATCATTTGATTGCATTGATTATGCAAGAATTAGCCCAATGTCAAAGATAGATTAATTTGTAAATTAAAATGTTACACATTTTAAATCAGGATCGTTTTTTTTTTTTAAATTGAAAGTAGAAAAACAGAGTTGATGAAGAAATGTGAAAAATAAAACTGCTGATGAATTAAGTCAACTTACAATGTACCAAAAAAAAACTGAATATTATGTGTGAAATGGGCTAGGAAACAACAAAGTATGAAGTTAGTTTCTTTCAAAATGTTTAATGATTCTGTGTTCTAACTTTTTGAGTTGACACCCTGAGGCTCAATGTTTCTAAGCCAGAAAAAAAGTTTTAACCCAATTTATATATTATTTCAAGTTTAATTTTTTGGTATGATCAGTTTTCACTTGATTTTTTTGGTAGATTATTTTCAAAATGAAGAGAATCCCTCTACATTTATTATCCAAGTAGTCCCCCCCCCCCCCCCCTTGCAATTTTGTTCTGTTATTTACCTCATACACAAATAACAATATAAAAGCAAGGAAAAAAATTCATACCCCAAACTAAAATACTTTTTGGGCAAGTGACAAAAAAATTCAGACCTATTACTTTTTAAGCATAACCTTGATAACCATACTAATTTCTTGATTAAAAATTTGAATTTAAATTTGGCAATAATTGCCTTCTCAATGTGTATTAAATGAATTAAGCTGACAGATTTATAAATTTTTCTTTTAGATACTTGTATGACTAAAGATTTCAGTATTAAATAATAATTTAAGTACATAAACATGATAAAGAAAATATTTATAATTTCAAAGACGTCAAAAAAGTGCCCTCATGAAAACTTGTCGCGGCGTAAAGTGCCCTTTTGATTATTGGATTACCATGTCCTTTTTAGGGTCTGGATTTAACACTATGTCTGTATTTCAAAGTAACCCAGAACAAATAACACATGAATAAATTAAAAACTCTGTCCAAATGAATTTCACTTATCAAACATCTAATTTAATTTAAAAAAAAACCTCACTAAAATAGCACTATTCTCATTTTAATTTTTAAATGATGCAACTGATGAACGGTGGGTACACTAAAACATGTATGCCTTGTGGAAAAATGTTACCCATTAAAGATTTATTCCTTACCTTATTGACCCTGATAGGTTTGCCGTAGAGTTTAATCATGTTCATTATTTTTATTGCATAATCAGCATCATCCTCTCCCATGAACTCCACAAAGCCATACCCCTGATGGGACTGTGTGACGCGGTCCTTTGGCATGTGGACATTCACTAGAATCAAAGTACACTTGGTATTATACAAGCTTGTCAAATAATAAGATCCATCACAAGCCATTCTCATACATGCCTAGAAATATCAGGTACCTTTGTAATGACGTGAGATAATTTGACAAAATTTGTAAATTAAAAAGCAACATGAGAAAACAGCTGCTTAATTTACTTGTCTTTTTATATATCAGTCCTTTGGTCATCTGTTAATTCTCTTAATGTACACTCTTAATCATTTTGAGAAGTATATCATAAATTCATAACATTACTATTCAAAGAATGTAAATATTAAAATATCAAATTGTTCTTTCAGTTACTGTGAGTGCAGTTCAAAGGACCAACACTGGTAATTGTGTATATATGATAAAAGGCAGGCATGCTTTTTTGTGGGGAAATATTTTCCAAGGTAAGTAACCATCTAGAAAATGAACAAATTAAGCAACAATGAAACAGAAGTAGATAAAGTATTGGCATCTACTTATTAAATGACTCTTCATTTAAATGTTAAATTCAGATTTTGTGTTGAATATATCACTCAGTGTCAGATTATTTATGTCCTTCCCAGTTGAGGACATATTATTTACTTTTAATATTTTAAAGGACAGATTATTTTTTATTACCGAAATTTGCAAGCCCCCCCCCCCCCCCCCCAATTATAGATTCTGTAGTCCCTTCGAAAAAAAGTACCAAATAAGATTTAACATATTCAGAAAATTAATTGTTAAATCTATCTGAATGAAATCGTACTAACAACTGCTGAGATGCTTGATTAAATCGTGCAAAGGGTCTTTGAAATCATTCTAATAATTTCTTTCCTTACTTTATGCTATTATTTAACATTGCATGGTAATGCCGCCCTAAAAGATTGACCTGTCCGAATTTACCCATCTGCCAGTGCATTTTATTTTGCTAATATTTGAAGAAAATCTGGAGGAAACAATCTAAAACATTGATATATCAAGGATTATCTATGAAATTCAGACATTGATTCCAAATTAGGTTACTTAGTAGTCAGTTTCGTGCTGATATTCTTTCCAAACAGTGCTGAAGTGACTAATGTCCAGAATTATCTGGATACACCCTTACAGAAAAAAAGTGGAACTGCAGGATAACTGTACACACCTTGTGTGCATTGAGGCATGGATATTGCTTCACATTGTGCTGAATTATTACCAATCAATTATCTTGTTGACCAGATCTGACCTCTATAATTTCATTCAAGAAGTAATTATGTGGTCACAAATCATTTGTTCTACATAGCCCAAAAACTTTTAGAATTTTTAGTACAAAGTCTCTCATCAAGGAGACGCAATTTGATGAATTATTTTTACATGCATTGTTTTCAGAAGAGTTCAAGGTTGAATACTATCATTGCATCAAAGTGCGACTTTTTTTACATACTGAAAAAATAACACATTTAAGATAAAAAAAATTGTGATAAAATAACTAAATCAAGCTTTTCTGAATAGCTTTATCTAATTCAACAGTGTTTTCCCTTTTTTCCAAAGTAAAGGGTTAAAGATGATGATCAATTGTAACAGGCTAAGGGTTAATGTTTATGAACAGAATCTCTGTCGACCTTACAACAATTATTTTTTTAATTTTTGATTTCTAAGCGGCATTTTTATGAATTGAAGCGGTCAATTTGGCCGGTAGCCAGTTCTTAGGGAAAACACTGAATTCAAGCTGTATAGCTAAATCAATAGACTGTGCAATTGTGCTGGACCTTTATAAAGTATCTTACCAACAGGTCCTGCTTGTAGAAAGAGTTCCCATAGTATTGCCTCAGATACTTTGTCATCTAAACTGCCCACGTAAACCGTGGCATCTAAAATGTTACAAAATGTTAAATTTATTATAAAAACATACTGGTTTTGTCAAATAATGCATCAAGGATATAGGATAAACATCTTTTTTCAAAATACTCTATATATGATTAAAAGAGTAATTAAAAATTCCAAAATACAACAATCAAGACTTTGGGAGAATTGTTTATATGCCCAATGGCAAAATCTCCATCTATCGTTTTTCTAATGTTTTAAAATTGTAACTGAGAAAATTCGAGCCTATCAACGCTGGAGCAACGTAAAGCAAAATAATGCAATAACACGTTTTTCCGAAACCAAAATGAATAAAAAACAATAAACAGACCTTGATTACGCTCTGCTATCGGACCAGCAGCCATTGTGTCTTATTTGGCTTCACTTTTCCATTAGTTTTCCATGTGGGTAAACCGCACCGGATGTTTGTATATAATGCCGCTAGATGGCGCTAGTTTGAGGGACAAGAAAAGACAAACTGTACCATATATGAGTCGAGTTGTCACTTCTAGATATTTTCCAACTAATACACCATTTTGAAATATTAGGAAACTTGCACACAAAGACACTGACATTAAAATAGCCCAAATATATCGTTGATTTACAGTAGACATAATAAATAAAAAAACGTTGGGTTTTAACAATAAACACTATCATAATGCTTGACCTATATATTTATCTGTTTATATTTCTAAGAGTATTGTTAACATGTTAATGCTTAATTAGAATTAATGAAAAATATTTTTTAATCTTTACTTATACGTTTATAATTCCCAGAATCACACACATTCCATACAATATGAATGTAAGATTCTTTTGGTTTAACCTATACACATCAAATAGGAATGATAACAGCGAGGGAATGTACCCTTTCACTGCCAACAAAAACTCATACAGTACCATATATCTACCTGTTCTTTACAATATTTCACGGTTTTATTTCTAATATCGCCATTCTGTGAAGAAGATGAAGAAGAAAATAAGATGTGTTTGTGTAACCCCGATGCCCCCACATGACAGCTCATTGCCAAGGTTTAAGTTTCTCAAATGCTAGTCAAACTCCAAGGTCAAGAGGTCAAAAATGGTGTAACCAAAAGAAATATTTTGTAACAAGGAATATACATGTGAAAAATGAAAGCGCTTGCAACAACCATTCAGAAATTATAGCAAAATGTTAAAAGTTTTTTTTACACAAGGTAAACACATTAATTGTAAATTATGAAAGTCCTAGCAACAACTGTTCAAAAGTTATGACCAAGGTTAAAGTTTTTGAAAAGTAAGTCAAACTCAAAGGACAAAGTCCAAAGGTCAAAAAGGTTTCTAATAAAAGGAATGAAGGTTTTGTCACAAGTAATATACATAATAAATACGAAAGCCCTAGTACCAACTGTTCTTAAGTTGTGGATAAGGTTAAAAATTACATTTTTTGATCGGTTCTGAATAGAGGAAATCCAACTCAACCACCTTACATTGATATTGATATCAACAACTACAAAGCAGTACTTGACATCAGTATGCAGGAATTTACGTGTAGAGGAAATACAGAAGGCCATCAGAAAGATAAAGGACAACAAAGCAGCAGAAGTAGATGACTTCCCAGCAGAGTTACCAAAAGGTTACATTGAGGCAACATCAAATGTTATACATAAACTGATCAAAGACATTTTGAAAAGTGGACTTATTATAAAACCACCGAAAAGGGAGCTGAAACAGAGTGCAACAACTGGTGTGGAATCAGTTACCCACAGTAAATGGTAAAGTGTTTACCCGAGTGCTTTTGGGGAGAGTGAAACAACAGGATGGTGCACAACTGAGAAACATCATGGACGGGATCAGGTGCTATGGAGGAGTAAGCTTCCCATGTCGACCAGTCACCCGCCGTGTGCTCCTTGGCATGATCGGGTAAAGGAAAGAAATTTCAGTGTGTAAATAATGGCCTAACAATAAGTATGAAAAACGTCAGTCAGCCATTTGACTTAATGATAGATTGTATTTGCCGAGGTCATTGTATCGTCCATAGAACTTTCGAAATGATGACTTCAAACAAAACGTTGATATTCTAAGTTTCATAAACTTGTTGGTTAAAAGCTTGCCTCGTTTAAAATACTGATTGCTCTTGTGTATCGAATCAACTGGGAGACATAAACCCCATTTGCAGTTGATAAGGGTATATTGCTACATAAGTAAGGGAAGTTGACGATAGAAAAGTTGAAGTCATCACGTTTATTATAAAGTTTTGTTGTTAGGTTACCATTAACGTCTTTTTCTTGTAAAATATCCAAATATAAAACAGATGTTCAGACTCTGTGGTATCTTTTATTTCAAGCTCACTGGGATATATCGAATCGACATATGAAATGAAGTGACTATTGTTAATTGATAGTACGTCGTCGGTATGTCTAAATGTCGAGTTAAAGGCCACAGCAAGTGTTTTCTTCTTCTCATAAAGAAGTTTTTGAATAAATTCTGCCTCATATGAATACGAAAATAGGTCTGCTGATAACGGGCGCAATTGTTTTTAAAATCAGAATGCTTTTTAACAAAATAATTTTGCAAATAACCAAACAAGGTAAGTATATTTACGAGTTCCATTTTTATTTAAAAAAGCAGCTGTCTAGGATGTCAAAAAGCTTGGACTTAAGATTATCGTGGAGAGTGGTTGTATAAAGTGTTGAAAAATCGTACTTTTTGATGTTATTGATTTTTGAAAAAAATTTGAAATTTTGATTTGAAATTTTCTAAAAATTCCTTGGAGTTTTTAAGTATCCACGTCTGATTTACACCACTTCTTGAATATACTGTTGTACAATACTCCTGAAGTATTATGATATTCCTTCACTGCTGTTAATATTTTAGTGAGGAGTAAAGAAAGAGGCTTTGTAGAACATTTACTGGAACCTGCTATGTATCTTTGTAAGGATTTTTATGGAGTTTCGGAATCCAGTGAATGAACATTAAAATTCATTTTGATTGTTGGAAATGTTAAAAATATTTAAAACTGACAGATGGTTTTGAAGAATTTAGAAAGTGAGCTATGAGTATAATTTGAATTACTACTTGCAGAATGAAATCCTAGTTCCTCTAAAATACAATTCAAATAATGAGCCTTTCAAACAAAGACAATGTTGTTACCTGCTTTGTCAGCTAGGACCAGTACAAACCGATTGTGTAATCTATTTTTTTCACTTCTGCATTGTGGAAGACAGAAGGATACATGGTTTTCATATTGTTCTTCAATCTCTTAATGCGCGATTTCAACATCCATCTGATACTTCTAATCCATTGTGACAGAGTGTCAAGGTCTTCTTTTCCATATTTTGCCCATCGTCTAGCATAATATTCTGCAGAATTTACAATATTTATGAAATTATGAAGCCGGTTGAAAGATCGGGGTTTTGACCCTTTTATAATAAGTGATTTATGGTCCTAAAAGCAACAACTTTAAAACCTTCTAAATTCAGGGAGCCCCGATCTTCAATTGGCGACAAAACTTCATTTCTATTATGAATTCTGTAGAGGATTTTTGCAAGACGATGGGTGAAATATGAAGGGGAAGACCTGAACTGTTTGTCAGAATGGGTTAAGTGTTTTAGAGATATTAAGGAATAGTATTAGGAAGTTAAAAGGAAAATATGCAAACCATATACCCGCCATTCACTAAAGATAAAAAAGAATTACAAAGACTACATGATTGATATGTTATGGTTCCAGCAGAGAAGCTTGTAACAATATCGTCTTTGTTTGAAAGGCTAAATATTACAATTGCATTTTGGAAAAACTTGGTTGTGATTCTGCATCTGGAAATCCCAACTTATACTCAAAGTCCACTTTCTGAGGATGAAGTTCTTCAAAATCACATTTCCGTTTTTAAAACTTTTAATATTCCAGTCAACGAAAGTGAGTTCCATCTAACCTACCTATACTGGATTCCTTAAATTCCTAAAAATCCTTTCAAGCAAAAATACATTGCCGGGTTCAGTAAGTGCTATACGAAACCCTTATCTTTACTCCTCACTAAAATATTAACTGCTGCAAAGGAGAAACTTTGGACGTACTATTCTACAGCATATTCGACAAGTTGTGTGAATCAAATGTGGATTCTCAAAACCCCCAAAGAACTTTTAGAAAATCTAAAATCACAATTTTTTTTAAAAGTCAGTAAGATCAAAACGTATGTCTTAACGAACTTTAAACAAACACTTCCCACGATAAATCAAACACTAACTAGGCTTTTTAATATCACAGGCAACTGCTATAAAAATGGAACTAAAAATTTTCATATCTGGTAATCGGTCATCAATAAAAATTACTTTTTTATGAATCACTTTGATTCTACACACAAGTACTCTGAAGTTGTTATTAAAAGGATGCTGGAGTTCCTCATTGACATGATTTATGTAGTCTTCGGAGACCAGGTCTTCCAACAAACTGTTGAAATTCCGATGGTCACTAATTATACTCATTTTTAGCTGCCTGTTTTTATATTACTATGAAGAAGAATTTATTCAAAAACTTCTAGATTGAAAGAACAAAACACTTACTGTGGCCTTCAACACGATATTTAGATACATGTATATGGACGTTTTATCAGTTAACAATAGTTACTTTCATTCATTCTCAGTATATCCCACTGAACTCGAAATAAAAGACATCACAGAGTATGCAATAATTTTGTTTTACCAACTATAGACTAAATTCTATGGAAAACGAGATGATTTCAGCTTTTTCATCGTCAACATTTCTTTTTACTGCTATTCAACTATGACCTGTAAATGGTGTTTATGTCACCATCTTATGAGGTACTGAAGAGCATGCTCTTTGCATTTCGAGCTCTGTGAAATCAACATATCGATGTATGAATGAAAATGAATATTGTTCATCGATTAAACATAATCAATATATCTAAATATCAAATTTGAAGCCACACAATCAAGATACTTCCTCTTTTTATGTAGAGTTTTCGAATAAACACTGCTTCATAACATGAAAAATGGAGATAACGAAAATAGCTTATTAAGGGACGCATTAATTAATCGTGAGAATTCCAATAAATTCTTGAAAGACGTTGTCTCCAAGATAACATACTAGTATATAAAGATAACGAACAGTATTCAAGCCCAAAAGTCCATTCAAACAATACAAATCAGGAGCGGAGCAAACACGGACCTCTAAAACATCAGAGGTGGGATCAGGAGCCATGGAGTGAGCTCCCCCTGACGACCGGTCACACCCACCGTGTGCTGCTTTTCATGATCGGGAAATAACGGAAAATCTGTCAACAATTCAGTATGTAAATAATGGCCTAACAATTAGTATAAAAAACGTCAGTCAGCGTTTGATAGATTGTATTTGCTGACAAGGTCATTGTATCGACCATAGAACTTAAGAAATGACGACTTTAAACGAGACTGTTGATATTCTTGTTTCATCAACTTGTTTGTCAATAACTTACCTCGTTTTAGAAATTGTAGATACGTATGCTCTTGCATATCGAATCGACTCAGAGGTATAAACCCCGTATGCAGGTGATAATGGCACATTGCTGCATTAGTAAGGGAAGATGACGATTGAAAAGTTAAAGTTATCACGTTCATCATGAAGCTTTGTTGTTAGATTAACATTAACGTCTTTTCCTAGTAAAATATCCAAATATGAATCAGATGTGTTAGACTTATGGTAAAAGACATAAAGTCGAAAGTAATCAAAGTTTATTATACAAAAATACAGACTTTAACATCCTTCACAAATAAATGGATTGGCTTTCGCATTACAAGTGTACTGAACTCCGTTGGTTTCCCCGTCCCTCGGTGAGCACGTGCACTCCTCTCTAAGCTGACCGTTGACGTAAGCGGCAAAACCCGCTGAGCCGACAGGACGGCACGTACCGTAGGCGTCCCGACATGCTAGTCAAAACACAAAATTTAGGGACATATATGAAATGCTTTTGAAGGTGCTTTTTTTAATGAACTGAAAACCATATGAAAGAGAGCATGTACTGGCTTAAAAAGTATCCACATGTTCAAACATCACGTTATTGAAAACTTAATGAAAGGAATATTCCCTAAATACTTTACAAAAGGAGAATAATTATGAGAAATTATTCAAAAGTGCAGTCTATCGATACAGGACGTTTGGCTTAAACGCTATAGACCAAGGAGTATGTTGAGACTTTGTAGGAATTTATCGGTGAACTACTTACACGCCCCAACAGTCATGGTTACATATTTGTTTTCCTGAGGAGGGTCTGTGTAGCACTGCTTCTTGAAGCATCCATCGTAATGGTGTTCCTCCCAGATGCTCCCCAAAGGATGACAAATCATACCATCACCTACCCCCTCCTGGCATCCTACAATTGGGAATGGAGAATTAAAACAAAAGTGAAAAGAAGCCTTTCCTCATGATATTTAAAACAAAGAAAAACAGACTACAGGGATGTAAATCACACCATCGCCAAAACTCCTGTCAACCACAGAAATGTAATTAGGTGCCAAATTTTACGTACCCTTGCTGATATCTAAAGGAGACAGAACTTAAAGCACGGTTACTTATCATACTGCCACCTTCACCTTCTGAGATACATGAAAGAGAAATATAAAAAAAAACAAAAAAAATCAACTTTACTTAAAAAGTATGCAAATTGAAAAGATCTAATTGTGCTTTTAGTCAATGTATGGGTGTACGGGATTCTGACCTGGAACAGTATGTTACCCAGGGTAGTGGAGATGAAACCCACATGCATAAAAGTGTCCAAAAATAGATTAGAAGACCATTCTTAAAATTATATTGGTTTTTCTATACCAGGCAATAAACAATGACTTGCCGCCACTGACGATTTTAATGGCGGATTCCTTTGAATTATCCTTTGTTGTTCTAACTTTACATTTCTTCTCAAAACATCCGTCTCTCCACTGTTCACCATCCTCCTTACACTCATGTTCGTATGGACATCCTAAAAATAAAAACTTGTAGGGAGGAAAACGTTAAACCGGTTAACTAATTAATGTCTGATACTGTAAATAAACTTTATTTGCCGGCGAAAAAATATCTTCTAGTTTCGCAACATTCATTCACTCGCAAAAAATTTTTCGCTGCGAAACATTTATTTGTGTATTTATAAAGAATGTTTCCTCAGTCGCAAAAATTAAAAGTAGCGGATCGATTTCAAAGTGATAGACCGCAAATTAAAGTTGTCGTGAATAATAGTTGGTTTAAAGTAACAAGTTTCTTCAATCGGTATCTGATTGTTATAACTAAGTGGTCGGTCAAACATTAAATAATCGGTGACTAAAATCAGTTACCGGTCAGTTTTTATTTTTTCTTAATTATACGTATATGAAGAAAGAACTAAATAAAAACTTTCAGATTAGAATTGTGTGCTGTAAACGTAGAAAACAAAGGTAATCTGACGTCAGGTGTCATAATCTAAGATTTGTAGCTTTAATTATAGAAACAAGTATCAAGCAAATTTAATGACAACGAATGTCAAAGTGGAATATTAAAAAATAATGTTTTTGTATCAGAGTTTCAAAAGACTCATGTACCTAGCACGAAGACTGAGTTCATGTCACCGATTTCTTTTTAACCTAGATGATATGTTTGAATCATAGTCAGTTTTTCTATGATTTAGGCTGATACCATAAGATACCATACCTATATCCCTTGATACTATCATGTCAACGTCCCCGCTAGGTTTCTGGTTCATCGCACACGTGAAGATGGAGCAGCCTCGTTGTGACTTCCACTTGTCCCCGGGGCTGTAACATCTATCCACCCAGTAACAACCTGAAATTAAAAAATGTACTTATACTGAACTATAAAAAATAGAATACCGATCCAAGATGTATGATATTACTCTAAACATAGAGACAAGTAACTGAGACTAAATATGGAAGAAAAACACTTCAGAATATTGTCGGCTATAGAACGGTTCTAAGTCCAGAAATACCCTAGTTATGGTTAAGCTTTTTCATTACACTTACACTGATTAAGAATAGAGAAGTACAATAAGTATCAGGTTGTATTCGTGTATGAGGCATGTTTCTTTAGTCCTTGCTTAATTGCCGAGTTCCATGTACTCACCCCATTGTATTGGTAAAAGGAGTTCCATTACTTACTCCATTACATTGGTACATTAAGTTAAATGTACCTACCCCATTGTATTGGTACACTGATGTACTCACCCCATTGTATTGGAACAAACTTCCCACAGTTGTTTAGATTCTGACATTCATATACAGTACACCCGTCCTGTTTTCTCTGACCAAATGGATATAAGGTACCATTCATCATGCACCCTTTTACTGAAATAACAAACATTATTGTATTAATGAAGTAATCACTTACTAAAACAAGAAAACATTGATGTAACCATCAATTGTCGCCCGGGAAATAAATAAAGTAAACAATGGAAATGAGTCTTGATCATCAAACCGCTTCGATATGTGTGAAAAAGACATGCGTCTAAATGATGGAGACGATAGTCGAGAATATTTTGAAAACTTATAGTCGGATGAAAATCGAACAAAAACGATACCCTTGTAAACTTTATCAATTCCTCGAGTAAATGTTGGCTGCATAAAATATAATTTGAAACCAGACACATGCATCACCTATTTTCAAAAATGTCTTTCACTTTAAGAATATAAATACGAACTGTGTAAAGTACATTTTTACGTTTTTATGCGATAAGTAAAATTCGATGTTCTAAAAAAAGGGACCTGTCGTTTTTTCGATAGTAAATGATAAGCAACTTTATATATTAAATATGAAAAACATATATATTTTTACAAATTTACTTTATGGAAGTAAATATATTGTGTATCTCGTAATTTATAAAGGGAAAGAACATTCTGATTAACAATCTTTTTAATGTTTAGAAAACCTTTAATTCTGAATAACTTCTCCCACCTCAATCCCCATATACCAACACTTAAACTTATATGTATAGAGCAGCCCGGTCCTCCGGGCTGCAATAAAAGCAATAACCCATCTTCTCATTATTAAAAAAACTATACTCTTTGAAGTTCATATACTTTCGTTCATTCATATTATTTTTTCTTCAAATAATATTGATTTTCCAAAAGAATTCTAAATCATAATTGGAATACTAACAATATCAGCATAACTTTTTGTGATAAAAAATCGCCTTTTAAGTTTGCATTTTTAAAAGAGAATAATAATCATAATTCCCAGGAATGTGCATCTCTCTTTATTGAACCTTAAAATATTTGTCGTTCCTTTACAAAATTATCACTTTCACTTATAAAAATAAATTACAGGGCAAGCACATTTTTGAATTGGATATTAATATATCTTACATTTCTTAAAGAATAGAAAGCAGAGATATAGATTTTGCAAAGAAAAGAAAACAGAGATTTACATTTCTCAAGAAAAAGAAAACAGAGATATAAATTTCTCAAAGATAAAAAGCAGCAGAGGTACACTTTTCTGAAAGATTCTCATTATTTAGATACCAGCAATTTTCTATTCTGATTAAATTAAATAAATCATTTGAATAAATTGATTTTCTTTAAAAAGAATACTCGTATTTTCTATCTTGTCATTTTCTTGCCTTGAGTAAAAACAAGACAGGAGGAGCCGTCACACACACACTTATGGCTGGACCCATCTACTTCCTCAACTATGTCCCCAGGCTTCATACATTTCCCGTATTTATCAATGCAACCTTTATAAGATAAAATTTAATGCTATTTCCGTCATTTAAAAAATATATTGCTCTCCAAGTTTGTTTTTACAACATACAATTAAAATTGTTCTCTTGATACATCACTTTCTTATCATATTCATATATATCTGATTACATTTCAGATGGCCAACATGGATTTTAGAAAGATCATTAAATTACATTAAATAATATCAAATACAAGTAACCTGAATCAATGAGTTCTAGTGAGCCTCCCATTCCACATCGATATTTATTACAGCCAAAGCTGACCTCATCCATGACGTCATAACAATGTCCATGAGAGTCGAAGCACCCTGCATGAAAGGGAAATCACAGAGATTAATATCTGCACATCATAAAAATAAAATAAGATGTATGGAGATAACAAACACTATTCAAGCTCAAAGGTCCATTAAGCAATCCAAATTTTGGAGCAGAGCAAACACGGACCTCCAAAAAACATCAGAGGTGGGATTAGATGCCATGGAGGAGTGAGCATCAAATATATATCTTTAGAAGTAAGATGAACAGTTTTGAATAATAACATATTTCCCTCATATTTACCGTGAACAAACTGACATTTTCATTTCGGGAAAAAACTCATTATATAATGCATGTAACAAATCGATTGTTTACGGAGGAATAGATAACACCGTCAAGCTTTTATTAACTACAATAACATTTACCAGAACATGCTCTACTTGTTAGTAAATATAATTTTTCTTAGTCGTCCAATTTTCATCGTTAAAGCGTATTAATGCATATAGATCTATTGCACACAAGTATTCACGGGTTTCATGAGTATCGGATACCATATTAAATACACTTTAGATGGATATAAGGAAAGATGTAAAACGTGAAGAAAAGGGAATGTAGATGAATGCTTTTTATCACTATAACTTAACACTCGTACCAGAAACTGGACGATTTTGCAATAAACACTCTGGAAATAATTACAACTCTTATATTTCTAAAAGAAAACATTTTCATGTCAGGCTCTAAATACTTTGAAAATCTGCCGTATTTATATCAAATTTTTGAACACATTTAAAACTTCTGGGATTGCTACCTCGTAGTGAAAGATTTTTAATCCCACTTAGAATTTATTCTAAGCTTTCAAGTCATGTTTGTTCACGGTAGAATTGTCATATATACTGTATTATTCGTAAATGTGCATAAAGTTTACATGAAATATGGAGATAACGAACAGTATTCAAGCTCAAAGTCCATTAAAACAATACAATTCGGGAGCAAAGCAAACACGGACCTCTAAAAACATTAGAGTTGGGATCATGTGCCATAGAGGAGTGAGCATCCCCTGCCGACCGGTCACACCCACCGTGTGCTCCTCCTCATGACAGGGAAATAACGGAAAAATCTGGTGACAAATTCAGTGCGTAAATAATGGCCTAACAATTAGTATGAAAAAAGTCAGTCAGCATATGACTTCATGATAGCGTGTATTTGCTGAGTTCATCATATCGACCATAGAACTTAAGAAATGATGACTTTAAACAATTTGTACCCATGGGAATTTCAGTAGATTATTGGAAGACCTGATCTCCAAAAACCACATAGATATTGTCAATCAAAAACTAAAGCATCTTTTTAATATCAACTTCAGAGTACTTTTGTGTACGCTCAGAATGTTTTTTAACGAAATAATTTTGCAAATGACCAATGACAAGTATGTAAATTGACGAGTTCCATTTTTTTTTTTTTGAAAAAGCAGCCGTCATTGATGTCAAAAAGCCTGGACTTTAATTTATCATGGGGAATGTTTGTATATAAAGTTGAAAAGTTGTAAGTTTTTTTCTTATTGATTTTTATATTACTTTGTGATTACAAATTTTCCAAAAATTCCTTGGAATGTTTAAGTATCCGCATCTGAATTACACACTTCTCGAATATCAAATATATTGTTGCACAGTACTCCTGGAGTTTCTCCCTTACTGCTGTTAATATTTTAGTGAGGAGTAAAGAAAGGGGCTTGGTAGAACATTTACGGGAACCTGCTATGCATCTTTGTAAGGATTTTTATGAAGTTTTGGAATCCAATATAAATATAGTAATTCAAATTTATTTTGGTTGATGGGAATAATAAAATATGTAAAAGTGACATATGATTTTGAAGAATTTCCTCCTTAGGAAGGGAACTAAGGGTATACGTTGGATTGCCACTTGTAGAATTAAAGCCCAGTTCTTCTAAAATACAATTAAAATAATGAGCCTTACAAACAAAGACAATGTTGTTACCTTCTTTTTCAGTTGGGACAGTGCACACTGATCGTGTAGTCTATCTAATTCTATTTTCACTTCCGAATTGTTGAACACAGAAAGATATATGGTTTTCATATTGCCCCTCAATCGCTCAATGCCCCAATGCGAGATTTTAACATACAGCTGATACATTTAATATATTCTGACAAAGTGTCAAGGTCTTGTTTTTCATGTCTGGTGGCCCATCGTCTGGCGTAATCTTCCACAGAATTCATATTTATGAAATTATGATTCCAGTTGAAGGATCGGGGTTACCTAAATTTTGGCCCTTTTTAAATATGTGATTTAAGGTACTCATTATTAACTATATTTACGTCACCAATAATAACGTGTCCAGCAAGACTATAGTTGTAGTGTGAAGAAGAACATAAACACGATGGTGGATTATATTTCAGATGCTCAATATCCAGGCTCTTAAAAGTTTTCTTGCAATTAAAAAGTTGGAAGCAATGGTCGATGTATATTTATAGCAAAAACAGGGTGTAGTCTACATTTGGAAATATGGTGGAATACGAAACTGGACCCTTTTGTGATTCAGAATATTACTTATATTAACTGCGTCAATTTTTTTGTTGGCATATTGAAGTTTAAGGAAAAAACGGGTAGTTTAGCTGTATTTTCTTCTGCAAAACGTGACTGTTTAAAAAGCCATTGATTTGCAATATCCATAACCACAGATTCGAGCCTGTATTCTGATGTCGAGGAATCCAAATATGCACTTTCCTTGACTTTTACAAAAAGATTATTCAAAACTTTCAAAGAACATAGTAAAGTTTGGTGCGAATGTGAAGAAGGCCTAATTGTTTATTTACATAAGGTAGTATTGAACCAAAGGAGACATCATGTGTAATAGGTTTATTGTAAGACCGATGTCCATGACTACGCGTACCTCTCTTTTTACTATTAACAAGTCCCATCACATTCACATTGCCACACTGTGCGCTTGAAAGATTCCCAACACTATCGACATTGTCATTGCTACCATATGGAAAGGCCGTGCCCAGTTTTCTAATCCAGTATTCTTCTCGTTGTCTACGGAAAAGTCTACTTAGTGAAGGGCTATTAGTATGATGGTAATTTTTTTTTTTAGAATTCTAAGTTTCATCGACAAATTAGAACGATCAGGTAAATTAATATACTTGTATGGAAACTGCTGCCCCTGTTAATCTGAAACCTATGTCCCTATATTCTTTTAGTAAGTAAACCCTTGGTTTCACCAACATAAATAAGCCCACAAAGGGTACATTCTATTCCGTAGACAACATTAGAAGATTTTGCAATTCAGTTTTGGCATAGAAGCTCTGCCCAGTAAGATTACTAAAAAACGAAGAGCAAAACTGAACTCTTAGAGTCTATGACCCTTAAAGACTTAAAAGAGTGACGCCTTTTTATACTGGGCGACGCGTCTACCAGTATCCTTTCGTTATTCTGTGCTTTTCCTGAATGAATAAGTACCGGACGACAGATGTCCTGTTCGATGGTTAAAATGAAATATGGAGATAACGAACGGTATTCAAGCTCAAAGTCCATTAAAACAATACAATTCGGGAGCAAAGCAAACACGGACCTCTAAAAACATCAAAGGTGGGATCACGTGCCATAGAGGAGTGAGCATCCCCTGCCGACCGGTCACACCCACCGTGTGCTCCTTCTCATGACCGGGAAATAACGGGAAAATCTGGTAACAAATTCAGTGCGTAAATAATGGCCTAACAATTAGTATGAAAACGTCAGTCAGCCATTTGACTTCATGATAGAATGTATTTGCTGAGTTCATTGTATCGACCATAGATCTTACAAAATGATGACTTTAAACGAGACGAGACTGTTGATATTCGTGTTTCATCAACTTGTTTGTTAATAACTTACCTAGTATTAGAAATTGTTCATATGTAGAGCATGCTCCTGCATATCGAATCAACTGAGAGATATACACCCCATATGCAGGTTATAAGGGTATATTGCTGCATAAGAAAGGGATGTTGACGATTGAAAAGTTAAATTCATCACGTTTATGATAAAGCTTTGTTTTTAGATTTAGATTCTTCACCCTATGACTATAGTCCTGCTGGACACGTTATTACTGGTGCGTAAACATAGTTAATAATGGAGACCTTAGATCACTAAATATAGGGAACTCCAATCTTTTAACTGGCGTCGTGATTTCATATATAGTATGGATTCTGTAGAGGATTACAGCAGGCGTTGGATTAGACATGAAAAAGAAGACCTTGACACTTTGTCAGAATGGATTAAATGCATCAGATATATGTTAAAATCTATATTTAACGATTGAGGGGCAGTATAAAAACCAGCTATCCTTCTGTATTGAATAATTCGGAAGTGAAAAAAAGAATTAGATAGATTACACGATCAGTACGCACTGCTCCCTGCTGACAAAGCAGGTAACAACATTGTCTTTGTTTCTAAGGCGCATTATATAAATTGTATTTTAGAGGAACTGGAATTTAATTCTACAAGTGGAAATCCAACTTAAACCCATAGCTCCCTTTCTAAGGAGGAAATTCTTCAAAATCATATGTCAGTTTTGAATATTTTTTAATATTCGCAAAAACCAAAATGAATTGAATTACCATATCTATATTGGATTCCGAAACTTCATAAAAATCCTTACAAACAAAGATACATAGCGGGTTCCAGTATATGTTCTACCAAGCCTCTTTCTTTACTCCTCACTAAGATATTAAAAGTAGTGAAGGAGAAACTTCAAGAGTACTGTGCAACAATACATTCGAGAAGTGGTGTAAATCAGATGTGGATACTAAAAAAATCCAAGGAACTTTTGGAACATTTGAAATCGCAAAATTTTACCAAAATCAACAACATAAAAACTTACGACATTTCAACTTTATATACAACTATTCCCCATGATAAATTTAAGTCCAGGCTTTCTGACATCATTGACAGCTGCTTTTTTAATAAAAATGGAACTCGTAAATTTACTTACCTTGTCATTGATCATTTGCAAAATGAAAATCAAGTTTAAAGCAGCATATTTATTGGATGTTTCTATTTAAAATTTTCAATAAAAGCATATGTACTGTATGTTTCTGAAATAGGAAAAATCTATTTTAAAACAACAATAGTGATGACATAACAGTAGTTGATAATGTGATGTTATAATTGGTAATGCAATAAAGCCTTGAATATGGAACTACTCTATGACGTGTAAAATAAATTGAAACCAAAATAAAATTTTGATTTACTATAAATCCTAAATATAACGACCTCAAAGAAAAGCATTTCGACCTTGCTCTTCACACTTTGTTAATATATTCTTTCTAAGGTCAAAATATCTTGGGATTGACCACATCAAAAGGGTATATTTTGACATCATAGACAGCTGCTTTTTGAATAAAAACGGAACTCGTAAATATACTTACCTTGTCATTGGTCATTTACAAAATTATTTTGTTAAAAAAGCACTCTGATTGTACACACAAATACCCTGAAGTTGACATTAAAAAGATGCTCGAGTTTCTGATTGAAAATATCTATGTGGTTTTTGGAGATCAGGTCTTCCAACAATCTATTGGAATTCCCATGGGTACCTATTGCGCCCCGTTATTAGCAGACCTATTTTTGTACTCATATGAAGCAGAATTTGTTCAAAATCTTTTACGTAAAAAGAAGAAAACACTTGCTGTGGCCTTCAACTTGACATTTAGATTTATTGACGACGCATTGTCAATTAAGAATTGGTTATTTAAAGTCATTATTTCGTAAGTTCTATGGTCAATACAATGACCTTGTCAGCAAATACAATTTATCATTGAGTCAAATGCTCCATATATTCCATTCTTAAATCGACACGATATATCCCGGTGAGCTTGGGATATAAGATACCACAGAGTCTGACATATCTGTTTAATATTTAGATATTTTATTAGAAAAAGACGTTAATGGTAATCTAACAACAAAGCTTTATGATAAACGTGATGACTTTAACTTTTCAACCGTCTTACTTATGCAGTAATATACCCTTATCACCTGCATACGGGGTTTATATCTCTCAGTTGATTCGATACGCAAGAGCATGCTCTACATATGAACAATTTCTAATACTAGGTAAATTATTGACAAACAAGTTGATGAAACAAGAATATCAGCAGTCTCTTTTAATGTCATCATTTTGTAAGTTCTATGGTCGATACAATGACATTTTCAGCAAATACATTCTATCATAAAGTCAAATGCTGACTGACTTTTTCATACTAATTGTTAGACTATTATTTACACACTGAATTGTCGACGGATTTTTTCCGTTATTTCCCGATCATGACAAGGAGCACATGGCGGGTGTGACCGGTCGGCAGGGGATGCTTACTCTTCCATGGCACCTGATCCCACCTCTGATGTCTTAGAGGTCTGTTTTTGCTCTGCTCCTATTTTGTAATGTTTAATGGACTTCTGAGCTTTAATACTGTTCGTTATCTCCACATATTTCATCATTATCATTAACGTTTTTTTCTCGTAAAATATCCAAAAATGAAACAGATGTGTTATCTTTTATTTCAAGCTCACTGGGATATATCGTGTCGACATATGAATGAAATAACTTTTGTTAATTGATAATATCTAAATGTCGAGTTGAAGGCCACAGCAAGAGATTTTTTTTTCTCATGTATACGATTTTGAATAAATTCTGCTTCATATGAATACAAAAATAGGTCTGCTAACAACGGGGCGCAAGTTTGTTCTAAACAAATCTTTTGAGCCAAAAATTTTAAAACCACGTGTCTTTTTTATTTTCTCATGGGTTTGTCTAAATGACGTTATCTGAATTGTCAGAAGGATAAGCACCTTCGGACATAATTCCATTGTTTTACCTCTTTGCTGTAGCACTTCCGTTTGGACGTAATCTGGACCTTCCTGTGTAATAACACATCTGTAGTGAGTACAATTCCTTGTCCATGTGGTACCCACGTCTGCACACTCTCCGTCCCACTCACACGCAATCTTCTTGGGGATCAGCTGACCTCTCACAGTACACTTGTACTGGACACAATCTTTGTTTTGCAGGGTTCTTGAGCGCTTGCACTCACCAGATGATAGGGTACATCCTATGATTGGAGGAATAAAAAAGGTTTTGTGGTTACCACAATTTACCCTTTAGTTAATTCATGATTTTACATCTGAAAATAGTATCATACTAACCGACTGTTCTCTCAGTAATTTTAACATCATTGTCAGTTATATCTAAAGCACACGTATACCCTCGGCAGGACTCCTTGTCAAACCACTTAGAACCAACTGGTTTACAACCTCCCTTCCACTCGCACGCTATTAATCATAATTCAAAAGTTAATTTTATATAGCTTTTATTTGACCTTCACTTTTTGGTAAACACTTGGTAAACGCTTTTGAAAGCACATCTTATGCGGTAAAGGGACACTTCTACCATCAAAATCTCTTGACAATTAAAAAATTGAGATTGATTATAATACGTTTAACAAGAAAATTAAATGTTGAACTTCAAACTTTAGGGCTCACGACTGTCCCTATAAAATAGAGAAATTATTATTCTTCAACGCCTGGCAAACATTTCAAAATATTAACAATCATTAAACTTTATTTACGATTCATCATCCAAAAAAATATTATAAAGGAAATGAGACCATACAAGTTGATCCGTTTTACCTTTTTCCACAGGAACCATGCTTTTAGCTTCTCCATCACACACGTACTTGACACAGTTAACTTCTAATGTAGACCCAGTTGAGAGACACTGCCCATTAAAGCCCTTACAGCCTTTACATATACCAAATAAATTCTTATTATATATCTAAGAAATGCAGCACTTTTAATGCCTAAATAACATAATAATATTTTGTTTAATTCACCATTGTAAATGTTTATGATTTGAATCTACAGAATAAAATGTTCAATTCTTATGTGAAGATGAAATCACCATATTTTTAAATGAAATGCCAAACAATTGTTAATGCATAATAAATTAACCTTTTGGAAAAAAAAACTACCAGGGTATTATTAATTATTTTATTTACCAAACTGTGTTTCCTGCATGATCCCCCCAGCGGTGCACGTGAATTTTGAGCAATCTTCTACGAGTTCATCACCAACCTTGTAACATTTGCCATCATCACCAATACAACCTAGCACGACATTTACAACACATAGACAGATATTTTAGCAGTTTAATTTACACATGTATATTTTCAGTTGCTAAAAACCCAAGATTCTAAAAGTAATCGATTCAATGAAATGGTACCGTGAACTTCCTCTATGTTGGTCTGAACAAAGTTGGGACCCTTTGCGATCAGTTTACATGTGTAAGTAATGCATCCTTCTACCCAGTTACTGTCAATGGCTTTGCACTCTCCCTTAAACTCACAACCTATGGGGAAGTGGTGCAACATTTACTTTAATGATATGTCTGTAAGTAAAATATAAGGTTTTATTGAGGATTTTGTGGATCTGTGAAAAGTAACATACTCATTTTAATTGGCCGGAAGTTTGACTTTTTATTGCAGAGGAACTTATTACATCCTTCCACTTTTCTTTCACCAGTGGCAAAGCATCTCCCACCGTCATCTTTACAGCCTGTTAAAATGTAGTAAAAGTTTTAATTGCCATATTATAATATTAACAGTAAAAACATTATTGCAAAATTTTTATGTCAAAGTGAACCAACCTTTAAGTATTTTACTTATTTTTATGCTTTTCAGGCTCTTTACAAATATATTCATATTTCAGATGGTCGGTATAATTCAGACCTGTTTTCTCCACAATTGATATGTCTTTTGCTTCGCTATCGTAAACACAGGAGTAATCTGTACATGTTTCCGGATCAAACCAAGTGGAGTTCAGTGGTTTACATTCTCCGCCGTATGCACAACCTAATTTAATTAACTGACATAATTAATAAGGAATTTCATTTACATTCATACATATATCACAGCATTTGACAGACACGCATTCACACCTATTTGTAGACAAAAATACGGATTGTTTAAATATCATAAAATAAAATAACAATGTGCATTGTATACATCTTAGAAGATGTGTCTTACCTTCCTGGACAATGACAAGTCCTCCTCGATTGGGAATACACTGATACTTAGTACACCTTTTTTCCACAATCTGCCCTTCCTTTAGACACTCGTTAGAGAAACCGCGGCAACCTTGGATTCAAATAGAGTAAAAAAGTACTACAATAAACTCTTACACAATCTAAAATACTCGCAATTAAAGACTTCATTATGTCTACTAAGATCATAAAGTTTTCCAGACCAACCTGGATAGGATAGAGTGTGCATTTTGACACTGCTAGGTCCGACATTTTCTCGGATACATTTGTACAGGGCACATGTCCCATTTTGATCAGACCAGACGTCGCCTTCTTTCATACATTTACCCTGCCAGGGACAGCCTGAATATAAACTAACAATTAACAATTCGTAGTGAGGTTGGAACAGTTCCCATCTAGCTGAATCACTGTCTTTCATAGAATATTTCTAAATTAAAAAAAATGACTACAATTCAGATTATAATGATATATATACATACGTAAGCTATATCACACAAAGTGATTTCAAAAACTCAATATATACCCCTTAATTTTTTAATAGATTAAAACCAGGTTTTAATTTATGAAGATCCATTTATTTGTACATCTGACAAAAATTAAGACTTGGGTACTATGGATGAAATATATGGAGATAACGAACAATATTCAAGCTAAAGAGACTTAAAGGCTCAAAAGAAACCCAAACACTAAGTTGAAGCCTATTCATTTGTGTCTTGTTGAATTGAATGAATTTTATTTATCATAAGATGAAATCAGTAAAATGTTATAACTATCGTAAACCATACGTTCAGTTGCTAATGAACAGAAATTATACCTGTCTTAATAGGCGAGAAAATCTCAAATGGAGTGCATTTGTACTGGACACATTCGTTTTCTGAGTCCTTGGAGATATAACCAAATGGACGACATCTGTTCTTCATATCCCGGCATCCTGCAGATATAATATATTCCTATAATTATATCAAACAAACAAAAGGTCCATAGGTATTGATGGTCATCTAAGACTTAAAATTTCGACATCCTGCAGATATCAATATATTCTTATCATGATATAAAAAATGGACGACATCATCCCTGCATCCTGCAGATACCAATATACTCTTATCATTATATCAAACAAACAAAAGGTCCTTAGGTTTGATGGTCATCTAAGACTCAAGATCCCGACATCCTGCAGATATCAGTATATTCTTATCATTATATCAAATAAATAGACATCTGTTCCTCATATCCCAACATTTTGCAGATATCATTATATTCTTATTATGATATCAAACAAATGGACGACATCTGTTCCTCATATCCCGACATCTTGCAGATATCAATATATTCTTATCATGATATCAAAAAATGGACGACATCTGTTCCTCATATCCCGGCATCCTGCAGATATCAATATATTCTTATCATTATATCAAACAAACAAAAGGTCCATAGGTATTGATGGTCATCTAAGAATCAAGAGTTTCTCAAATTATGACCAACTCAACTCGTATAGGAAATAGATTACTGAACTTATGTGGAATGGATTGTTAAATCTTTGCACTGAACTTATACGACATTATTATTTCTGGGAATATCGATTATGTAAGTTCAATAAATGACCTGTTAAGTTCCACTCTGCATTCAGGGGATATAAATTTCACATTTTTCGTACGAAGATTAACTACTAGTATAATCATCTGACCAGCTAACGTGCTGAATTCCAGGAATTTTACACAAGTGCAATGAAGTTTCAAAATATTCTCCATTTAGCTCAACCCTGGGGCTTGACTCCTTAGCCCCGAAATCAGATTTTACAATTTGTACTAACTGCATATTAGAAGTATTATTATGCAAAGTTTTGTTGGTTCTCCAGAACAAAAAAGGCGATTTTCATAAATATAAGGGATTTTCAATATACGAAAACTTATCTGGAACCTGAACCGTAGACCAAGGACTAGTCAATTTCAAAATTTGGCATAATATAGACCTACAGATAGACGAAGAATTGTCGTGAAGAGACAAAAATGACAGCAATAGCCCACTTGAGTGACTCAGATGGCCTTTAAAAGAAAAGAAAAAAGTCACTAAAAATTGCAGCATACATTATTTAGCCATACCGTCAGAAACCACTCTCGGTCGATGCACAGGCTGCAATTTTTTAAATGTTAGGAACTTCACAATTAGTCGCAGCAAATCATCTCACATAATTCATCCTATGCAATTTGGAGTGTATATAACTCTCTGTGAACAACTATGTTGCAACTACTAGTAATAGCTAAATCTATAATTTGCCCCTCCAATTTTAAAAAAAAATTATTCACGTCCCTTCGAGAATTTTTACTTAGACCTGTACTTGGCACTTACGGCCCTTGAGCCGTAAAGGATCTTTTCGTGCTAGTACCTACTGTGACACGGAACGTCGGCTTATATGGTCTCAACCGAAGGACCGATCTCCACGTCCCCGCTGTAGGAATCCAACCCGTGTCTAATCTTTGTAAATAAAGTTGAATTGAAAAACAACGCATCCCAACATTCAGATTTTTCTAAGTGTTTCTTGTACCATAAATTCTAATGAGGCATAATTGGTTAGTTTTTTTGCATATTAACTAATTCGAGGTGTTTTGGTGATGATAAAGGCACACAACATTAACATGTGTTTACATAACCTGAACATTCTACACATAAAATTAATTTGTTTCAAAGGTCTGTTTTGTTACTGCTGAAAAGAACTGCTTTCAACTTCACTAAAAATAGGATAGTGTTCTATACTTGAAAAAATCTCAAGCGTCATCAAAATGTTCAATGCAACTAACATTTACGCAGTAAACACGCTTTAATTTGAGCTTAATTAAAAGGATGGTCATGAAACAAAAGTCGTTAAATAAATACCATAAGTAATATCATAATATGCTCAGTAAATTGGAGCTTGTACCGAGTAAATATAAACTGCATTCAACACATGAGATTTTTTCTGGAACTTCTATATTTGAAGTGAATTTGTAACGGATTCTAAAATGCATATGACGGCAAAGAGAAAAGACTTTGTATGTACCTTTCCTATAAAAAACGTGCTTTTAATACTGTGATATCAGATATGCAAGGTTGACCAAATGCTTCCTTCAGAGTATAGGGTTGACGCGTCTGCATGTTAAAATGTCGTTATTCTCCCAGCAATACGGCTTTGTTTACACACAATTTTGTGAAATAGAAGACAGGTATGCATTTAATTGCAGCTTGAGAATTGCAATCAATAAAAATGACTTGATATTAATTGGATAGGGTTAATTGTAGCGTGAGTAATGGACTGGTTTTCAGATTATTGTTTAATCATATGAAGAAATTAGATCTTTTTTCATTTGATATCAGCACATTTCTGAGGCAATTACTTTAGTTTCTTATTTCAGTTGCAAATCAATGCACTTCAATCTATAAAGACCATTCATTGGTATCCCATTCTTCCTGTCTGATTATAAAAGAGTATACCGTAGGGTGTGTTGACAATATCAGGAGACGTGGCCCCAGGGGCCCATTGACATGTCTGTTGGACACACCTCCGTCTGTTGATCCACGTGGAATCCAGCTTCCGGCAACGTCTTCTAAACTTGCATCCTGATAGAGAAACAATTAATAGACCAATATGTCATTGAACGTTTAATTAGTTTATTTCGGGAAAGAATGAATAAGTTAAGACCAAGGAGAGATAAATCCATTTCGTTTGAAGTAAATTTAGACAAAATGTACAGAACAGTTTGTTTCCAATGACATTATTGATGAGAAAAAAAACATATTCTTTGCAGATTGTAGGCCAGAAGTTAATGAGATATATTTAAAAGCCTTTTCTTTCACTTGTGAAAATTGGAGTTTGTATCTTAATATTCATGTACTACAACATATAATTTACCGCCTACTGGAACCTACCTATTTCCACGGGAAAGAAGAGGGGCCCCTCGGGTCGCAGTTGACATTTTGTCGTTACACATTTATCCGACTGAAGTCGTGTTCCGAACGGATGACAGGTGCCCGATTCATCCTTACAACCTGGTAATAAAAAAGATGTAATCGTCTAATGAAGCAAAAGATTAAATCAATTTGTCTACCACAATAGACATTACGATATATGTACTTTAAATAAAACTGGCGGCTTGTACCTTATTATTTCTTTGATGATCCATTGAAACAAAACATATCGGGAACAGAACAAACACGGACCTCTAATAACATCAGAGGTGGGATCAGGTGCCATGGAGGAGTAAGCATCCTCTGCCGACAGGTCACACCGTCGTGTGCTCCTTATCATGATCGGGAAAACGGAAAAAACCGTAGACAATTCTGTGTGTAAATAAAACAACTTCTAAAATAACATACTTACCCCAAAGGTTACTGGATACGCGGGCCAGACCTGTGGTCGAGTCCAGAACACACTTGTAGGTCAGACACTTAGAGGAATGTTCCCAGGTGGTATTAAGGGAGACGCATTTCCCCATCCACTCACACTCTGCAGTTAAAAGAAGGTTAAAGTAAAAAAAAAAAAACACTTTAAAATACCAATTCTCGTTTATATCTCGATAGAAAAAAACCTTGATGAAGTGATTCCTTGAAAATGTTTTCTAGCATATTAAAGTATCATTTTATACCAGATGAATCTAGAAAAGCACTTTGCATGTTCATCTTATTTTTCTATTGATTGCAACGACAAAACTTACTTAAAATAGTGATGCCATTGGTATTTGTTGAACCTCAAAAATATATGAGTTACCTGTATAAAGGACTGAAAACGACCGTGTTTTCGCCCTACACCTGTATGTGGTACAGTCCTCTGTCTTCTTACGGGTAGGCAGGTAACACTTATCATAATCCAAACAACCTTTAAACACAGTCAACAACTAGTCAACGAAAATCTATTTACGGGTTTAACACATCATAAACCAAACAACCAAAAATATAGTAAATAACTTATCCATGAATATCAATTCGCGCAAAACTATGTTTACAGCCATACTGTTAGAAATGATGACAACTGTTTACCCCATCTTTCCTTAAGCTGAGTGGAAATGGAACCCTCTGTTGTGTTTTTGACGACACAGGCATATTGCACACAATTCACCTTATCAAAATATCTCTTACGAGCGGCCAAGCAACCATCCTTAAATTCACATCCTGCAAAACGTTATTCTTAGATGTACCAAAGTAAAGATCTAATACTTTTAAAGTTTATGTACCAGATATATATCCATTTATGCTTGTGGATTAATATTAATTCATTAATTCATTTTAACAATTCTACAAGATTTAGAACTGTTTAATCACCCACCCATTGATAGAACCTGAAGTTTTCCATCGACACATTCATATTTGTTACATCCTTCACTGTGCTGGTTCCCTCCCTGTATACACTGACTGCTCTCGCTGGTACATCCTGAAATATTTGAAACATTCTTGTGACAGTTTTCTTAAATCATATCAAATTAATGAGATCATCCAATCATAACTTGCGTTAGTGACATCATTGGAAGACAGTTCAAATCGTGCTTTACTTCACTCCTGACGTCATTGGTATCTTAAAAATATCTTACCATATGTGACCTCGACCACATCCAGTCCGTCTTCGTCTTCATAACAACCATATTTTGTACAGGTCTGAGGATCAAACCAGGTTTCATCCTTTTCTTTGCAACCCCCCTTCCATGTACAAGCTGCAAAAAAAAGAGCAATATATATTTTTGACTATAAGGATATATTTTCTTCACTGAAAAGAATTTTTTCTAAAACCACGAAAAGAGGATTACCTGCTTTGATAACTTGGAAGCCCTCTCCTGCACCTTTACACTCGTAATCTTGACAGTCTCTGGTGATCTTGTAACCAGGTTCATGACAGACATTGTCCATAAAACATCCTTAAAGTATGATATCACAATAAAAAAAGCTGTAACTAAAAATTCAAAGCTCAGCCTGGTTTATCTCAAATCATCAGTGGTTTTGTAATACGTGTAATATGCAAGAAAATGTTATCACAAATAATCCTACAAGAAAAAGAAAGATAAATTTACAGGAATTTATGAGAAACAAATCCGATAAAAGCTTACCAAACGGAGCCGATTCTACAGCCGCATTCCCCGATCTGGGGTCACGAACGCACCGAACCGTGACACAGTCATCTTTGTCCACCCAAGTGGATCCGATTTCGTAGCAGGTATGTTTATACTCACATACTAGGAAAAAATATGAGTCTTATAATAAATTTTCATCGCCAAATTATATTTAGAGACTGATAAATGAAATAAATGTGATGGGATACTACAAAGAGTATACTGAAGAAAATTAAAGGCAAATTTCATCTGAAACAAATTTAATGTCCACCTTCAAGTCTCAGTATACGATCCTCATAACATTGGTAACGTAGACAGCTGTTCTCTATCTGTTTGGTGGCATTCTCAAGGTAACATTGTCCACTTTCATCTACACACCCTAAATGTAAAGAAATTGATGATAACTTAGCAGTTAAATATATTTTTAGGGATAGTAAAACTCTATGATATTTGTCATTTAAAGAACGGTTTTGTTGTATGATGGATATTGCAGACATGCACTCTTAAGCATGTCCGTATTGGTTTGCTCCTGTTTATCAGTAGGTCGGTAGACCAATTGTTGTTTGATCAATTTCTTGAGAATCTTGTGCCTTACAAACTTCAATACTGTCCCATTGACGCCAATTTAAGAGGAAATGATCCCTATTGATTTTGAAGGGCAGCGTCAAATTACTCTTGACGTGAGAATATATTGTCTCTCACTTTTTTTGAGAGACTACACACTTGGTACATGTAAATTGATTTCTCTTAAGAAATAAACGACTCTCCGTAATTTTAAGATCACAAGGTCATAGGTCAAGGGACGTAGAAAAATACTCAATATCTTGAGAACCCTTTGCTCGAAGGATATAAAATTTATAGACTTGCATCCCCTACAGGGTCAAACTACTTGAGATATCAAAAGATATTGTCCACTCAATATTTTGAGAATGATTTGTTTAACATTGAACTTGGTACACTTGTACCCCTAAACAAATGGATGATCGCTATTGATTTAGGTCATAGGGTCAAAGGTCAAGGGTCCTACTGGACATAAGAGGATATCAACCGCTCAATATTTTGAGAACTCTCTGTTTGACAGGAATCAAATTTTGTACCCCGTAAAGGAATTAAAAAACTCCCGTTATTTTTAGGGTCAAAGGTTAAGGGTCAAACTAATCTAGATATAGGAAAATATTGACCATTCATTTTAAGATACCTTTTGCTTGACAGACATCAACCATTGTACACTGGTTTTTCCCTAGAAATTGATGACCCTTGTAGATATTGAGGTCACGCCTTTCTTTTTTATAAACCCCGAAGTTTAAAACGATTTAAAAGTGATATAACCCTGAAGTTTAAAACGATTCAAAGTGATATAACTTATCTCACCTTTAAATCGTTTTAAACTTCAGGGATAACTAGTATAAAAAAAGAAACGCATGACCTCAAAATCCATTAAATATGATTTTTTTCTTATTTTAAAGATGTTGGTTTTACGATTTATCATACTTCCCTACGCTTTTGTAGCTTTGTACATAAAAATCTTGTTCTAGGTTTCCTTGCAGTCTTACCAATGTCGGTCCTTAGTATGACTGGGAACAATCCAGAGGGGCCCCCATTACATTTGAGTCGCTGGCAAGAGACGTCATCAATCCACTGAGCGCCTATGTCGTAACACCGCCCCTTGTATGAACACTCTATGAAGCAAAAACCGTGCAGTTTAAAATTTTTAGTTCAAATATAAATTTCAAGATATAGATTTCAAGTTGTGGATTTCAAAAATTGATATATTTTTAATATTACAATCCCCATAAATAAACCCTCCCAGATATATGCTGTCAGAATTTACAAAAATAGCAAAGTTGAATAATTTAAATATACAACAGGAAAAGATTAAGGCAGCTTTTATTTCAGAATTAACTCACTAGCGGCGATAGGTTCCAGATGTCCTCTAGCATCACACTGATAGGTGTTACATTTCTCCTTAACAGTCTGACCGACCTTGACACAGTTTCCATTGAAATCGTGACAGTCTGAAAAACAAGATACCTTACTTACCAGAGTCAAATAAAGGGACACTATGCGAAAACTTCACCTTTTAAAGGGTAATGGAAATGGATCGCAATTCGGCAAAATAAAACTAAAGAAAAAAACGCATCGAAATATATGCAGAATTAATGGAGTTATCGTCCTTTGAAAGTGCCTATTTTCACCTGTTTTGAAAATCCAATCAATCAGAATTTGATGCGGATTTTTTCCTTGGATTTATTTCACCGTAGTCTTTAATATATAAAAGAATTGTGAGCCATTTTCATTATCCTTATTCTTTGTTTGCTTTTGTTGAAAGTAAAATGTATCTTACAACTTTTGAGGAAGTGTAAATAAAATTTCGAGAGAAAGAATCAGGGATGACTCATGTGACCTATTGCTATCCGTTCTCGTCCGTCGGCTTGCGTCGTGTGTTAACATTTGAACATTTTTAGCTTTTTCTTTGAAACCGCTTAACCAATTTCAACCAAATTTTGCATATAGCATCTATGGGTGAAGGGGAACAAAAATTGTGAATTTCATGGTCCCTTCCCCCCTGGGGCCTGAGGGGTGGGGCTAAAACCACCAAAAATAATGCAATCTTTAAAAATCTTCTTCTTTACTCCTGGACATCAAGCAGTCAAACTGTTGAAATCATTGAAATAAGCATTGAGCCCTCTACCAAAATTGTGAAATTCATGGCCCCAGGGTCAGGGGTTCTGGCCCCAGAGCGGGGCTCTATTGATTTTATAGTGAAAAATGCATTAATTCTTCTTCTCTGCTACTGGAGATTATTTAAACAAACTGAGTGCATGATTATGATAGGCAAGGATGCCTCTTCCAAAATTTTAAATATATGGCCTCAGTTTTTGGGGTTCTTGAGGAGGGGGGGGGGGGTTCTATTGATTATATAGTGAAAAAGCATTAATTCTATTAATTAATCATTAATTAATCCTGTCTGCTCCTTATTGTTGAGCTGATAAATAAATTGCTTAGCTATGATGAAAATTGGAGCTTCGAACAGAATTTTTAAATCTTGTGATCCTAGGGTCAGGAGGTCTGGCATAACGAGGGGAGGGGGGGGGGGGCTTTTGATAATATAGTGGAAAAGTGTTAATTCTTTGAAGTCCATAGTTATGATGATGAGGGTAACTCATCCAAATTTGTAAATTTCTTGACCCTTGGTCTTGAATTCTGGTGTTAGGGTAAGGCTTTGTTGAATCTGTAGTGAAAATGCATTGTACCTGTGAAATTCTTCTCTGCTTCTGGGCATATCGGAAGCAAACTAGTAAAAGTTTGAATGATATAAGTAAGCGTATTTCTACCAGATTTTTGAACATCTGGACCATTTGTCTAAGCATTCTGGTCCTGGGCAGGGCTCCATTAATTTGTATTCTACTGAGAGAAGTTATTCCCCTTTTCCATTCACCTTTGATAATTAATCACTGTAAATAATGTATTTGAAAGGTTAATAGAATAAGATAATTATGCAAGAATGTTTATCGTATAATTCAAAAAGTACTTTCTTAGTTTTAATAATCAGTTAGATCTGTAAGTAATAGATAAATAAAAATGAGATAAAATAACTTATCTTATTAAAAGTTCTTCAAAGACCATAAGAGAGGTCAAGGCTAGAGGTCTTGATATGGGTTTAAAAATAGTACAGAAGCACTAATACTTTGTTAATAGTCTGCATGGTAATAGTGTTAAGTGGGGGACAGATTAGATCTTAATTTAAGTGTTTAAATGAGTTGAAACTGAATACGAGACTATTTATTTTGTTGATCCTGATCTTCCTACTTCTCTTGCTTTAGGGCAACAAAGCTTCATCTATCAGTGTATTTAACTTCTAAATTGTTGTATTATACTCAGGTGACCGTTAAGGCCCTTGGGCCTCTTGTTGTATATGGAAAATTTCAGGTTTATGTCCAACTTGAAGCAATTTTTCAAGGGCGAAAATAATTTACCCGCAACTAAAAGCAAAATCTACATAATAACATAACAATGTATATGGTAAACAATTATACAGCTTTACAAATATAAAGTAGTATTTAAGTCTTACCTTGCTCCTTCTGAACGTAGGCCGATGGGCTGCCGTCTTCAGCCGTTTCAGACAAACACACGTAGTTTGTACATTTATCTCCCGGAGTCTTCCAGGTCTCATTGACGGCTTTACACAAGCCACCAAACTCACACCCTAAACAAGACAATGAGAAAAGCAGGGTTAAATCAATTAACAAGGCTTGAATTTACAACCTGGAGAGGAAATACGAGAGAATCAAGCCACCGAACTCACATCCTGAACAAGAAAAATACGAAAAGCAGGTTTAAATCAATTAACAAGGACTGAATTGACAACATGGAGAGGAAATACAAGAGAATCAAGCCACCGAACTCACATCCTGAACAAGAAAATACGAAAAGCAGGATTATATCAATTAATAGGGCTTGAAATGACAACATGGAGAGGACTCACATCCTGAACAAGAAAAATAAGAAAAGCAAGGTTTAAATCAATTAACAAGGACTGAAATGAAAACCTGAACCGGAAAAACGGGAGAATTAAGTTTATTTTTAAACTGCCTTACAAAAGTCGATATACGTAGATCCCGAACAGATAATAAAATGCAGGTTTAAGTCAAGCATACTAGGGACTAAACTTACTATATGAACATGAAATTAGAAGAAATCATGTTAATTCCAATTTATTTGAAATGCAATTAGCTTTGCGATAGGAGCAAATTACGAACAGTGTATATCTTGCTAATATGTAGCAGAGTATCTTACTTTTTTTCATTACTGGGGTAACCAGGGGTCTGTATTGTTTGCCCTGTTCACGGATCATAATCTACAGATTGATGTTCATTAATATATATATATATATATATATATATATATATATATATATATATATATATATATATATATATATATATATATATATATATATATTGTAACCACCTATCATGTATATCAGCAAGTTGACAATCTGATCACTGCTAGGATACATATCGTTCACTATTGTTCTTCTATGGATGTAAAGATACAGAATTCCATCCTGGTCGACACATTTAAATAGCAATCTTACTTCTATTCCTTTCATTACTGTCAGAATCCTGGAAAAAAAATATGTCTGGCTGCCACAAAATAAACATGTTCCGATAGAAGAATACTACAATTTCTTAATTGGAACTTAACGCAATTCTTTAGGGCACATCAGCTAGGCCATCTCGAAAATCTTGGAATTCTGGGACATAAATGTCAAAATACTAGAGGAAAACCTAATGCAACAAATGACCCCCTTTGAATTTGTAGACAATAAAAATAATAATAGGATCAGAAACTTCACTTCGTTCCCATATGGTTGTAATGACCTAACCAAAAATGTAACAATATTTTTAAGCTCACAGTGTGCAACGTAACTGTGATTAGATTTTAAACAGTACACCTAGATGTAAGCGTAGTTATGGACATCTATCAACAATAAACAAAATATTAACAAAGTTTTGGATTCGCTGTTATCATTTGTCAAAAACAATTTAGATTGCACCAAATTTGCTTAAACCTATTCTACATTGTATATTCCCTTGGAATATTTAAATAGACAATTCAAGGAAGCTGATACAAGCCCACACTTTGATTCTTCGACGTCAGACTATAGGCTAGTGATTATGGATGCTGCCCAACACAGGCTTTTGAAACTGTCACATGCACGTGTTAAGTTAGTTCCGAATCAACTCGTCGGTTCCTTCAGCTTAAATTTGCCAAAAAGGTACAGATACTATAACTGTTAGTGACATTTTTAATCACAAAAATGTTCAGTCTTGTATTCCGTCATATTCTAAGACGTAGTCTACTTTGCATTTTATAGATATATAGTCCAAGGCCCGAGTAAGGCATTCAATCTTTTGTGTTATTACATACTCTTCAGTGTTGAGTGTATTACACAAAGTCCACATAAGTGTTCTTCTATTCATTGTAGTTTGGCTGGTAATGTAAAAATGGTAAGACGGTCTAAAAGAATTAGTTTAAAAGGTCTTAAGTTCAGGAAGGCCCTACCTTTCAACTGGCGTTAGAACTACATTTTTCTATGATATGCTAGACGGTGAGCTAAATAAAAAGGAGAAGACCTGTAAGAATTGATAAAGAGTTTAAGAATTATATCTAACAATCGCAATAGAAAATTCAAAAGCAAATTACATCGTCTTTGCTTATAATGGCTCTTCAGTACAACTGCATTTTCTAAGAAATTGGTTCTTAATCCATTTGGTATTCGGTTCATAAAATGCTCAAAGAAGCCTCTGACTTTACTCCTCGCCAAAATATTTTTCATCTGAGAAGAAACTTCTGACGTTTTTGTTGCAACATATTGTGTTGTAAATCAGATGTGACTCTCGAAAATTCAAAACTGTTGATGAAATGAAGAAGGGAATCTTCTGTGCTATGCTGGCTTTCAACTAAACATTTCGATATATCAACAGCGTTTTATAAATTAACAATGGTCATGTTTATTCATATGTCGACTGCATATATTCCAGTTAACTCGAGATTAGAAAAGCACCACAGATTCTACAACTATTATATACTATATTCTGAATATATGACAAGCGGGATGGCTTTAGTTTTTTCATCGTCAACTTTCCTTTGCCTAAATCACCTGCATATGATGATTACGCCTCCCAACTCATTTGGTACACAACAATAATGTTCTAAGTATAATCATTTTTTAAAACGAGGCAAGCTCTTGACGAATAATGTGAATTTTTGGTGCATACATAGTTTCATCTATCTCGTTTAGAGTCAGCATATCGCTATTGATTTAATAATATAATTTAACCTATCGCTGTTTTGTCCTATGTTTGATATTATTCCCTTGAATTGTTAGCCCATAGTTTCTGAAGCATTTCCTCAGAGGATAACTCTGTTAACCTGATCAATTTAGAGAGCCTGATTCTACCTGTCGACAGGGGGTTTATTCTAGCTCTCTGATCCCACCTGTCGACAGGGGGTTTCTCCTAGCTATCTGATCCTACCTGTCGACAGGGGATTTCTCCTAGCTCTCTGATCCCACCTGTCGACAGAGGGTTTCTCCTAGCTCTTTGATCCCACCTGTCGACAGGGGGTTTCTCCTAGCTCTCTGATCCCACCTGTCGACAGGGGGTTTCTCCTAGCTCTCTGATCCTTCCTGTCGACAGGGGGTTTCTCCTAGCTCTCTGATCCCACCGGTCGACAGGGTGTTTCTCCTAGCTCTCTGATCCCACCTGTCGACAGAGGGTTTCTCCTAGCTCTTTGATCCCACCTGTCGACAGGGGATTTCTCCTAGCTCTCTGATCCTCCTGTCAACAGGGGGTTTCTCCTAGCTCTCTGATCCCACCTGTCGACAGGGGGTTTCTCCTAGCTCTTTGATCCTACCTGTCGACAGGGGGTTTCTCCTAGCTCTCTGATCCAACCTGTGGACAGGGGGTTTCTCCTAGCTATCTGATTCTACCTGTCGACAGGGGGTTTCTCCTAGCTATCTGATCCTACCTGTCGACAGGGGGTTTCTCCTAGCTCTCTGATCCTACCTGTCGACAGGGGATTTCTCCTAGCTATCTGATCCCACCTGTCGACAGGGGGTTTCTCCTAGTTCTCTGATCCCACCTGTCGACAGGGGGTTTCTCCTAGCTCTCTGATCCTACCTGTCGACAGGGGGTTTCTCCTAGCTATCTGATCCCACCTGTCGACAGGGGGTTTCTCCTAGCTCTCTGATTCCACCTGTCGACAGGGGGTTTCTCCTAGCTCTCTGATCCTACCTGCAGTGTTTCTGTTCGGTCCCTGAACTGTGTTCTTAACAGGATTTATAAGATAAACATGTATCACTTAACGTTAACTTAACCTTTGACTTGTAATTAATACATGTACATTCCTTAACACTCAAATGCGTTACATGCAACCAATGAATTGTATCATTAAATCCGCTTTTTATTACAGTACTGTATTTTATTAGATTACTGTATTTGATTCAGCTCTCAGAACTTATATTGTTATATCTTACCAACAGAGAGTACCTCCAAGTCCCCCTTTTTGTTGCAGACGTATTTGATGCAGCCATCAACGCTTATTTCTGTTCCCTTCTTCACACAACCATTGTCAGCCTGACAGCCTTAAAGATATACATATGAAGCATAACCTCGTGTAAAAGGCCTCAAACCTTTTTATATAATTCATTTATATTAGGGATGGCAATCGATTACAGAATTGTTAATCGGTTAACCGCAAGACGTTCCGACCGATTAACCGGTTAATCGTGTCAAAATACACATTTTCTTGACTTTTTTTTCAAGTAGCTCTACTCGTAGTAAGATGTTAGAAACAATCTGTTTATCTTGATTAGGAAACTACAGGTACATATATTTTATTTCAATTTCAATAGATAAGAAAAAAATAAAATAAAAAAAACCCATGAAACATGCCTGAGAAATCAGACGTTGATAATTTTTAGTGCAGATGTCACACATTCTGTATTGTCGCCATAATCAAAACTAAGTCTGAACTTTCACTTAATATACAATGTTTGTCTAATAATATAATTTGATAGATAACTGCAAAAGATAGACATAATGATTCACAGTGCTCAACGGTGATTTATTTAACATCATTAAAGAATTACAGGACAGTCGGGGTAACTGTTTGTACACTAATTAACACTTCACAAACTGACCAATTACCCTGCGATTTCAATCAGGAGAGTCGCCCGCGTGGCGCAGTGGTTAGAGTGTCTGCTCTAGAGTCGCGAAGTAAGGAGTTGATCCTTACGTCGCGGGTTCGAATCCCACTGTGGGACGTGGAGACCGGTCCTTCGGATGAGACCGTATAAACCGATGCCCCGTGTCGCAGTAGGTGCTGGCACGAAAAAGACCCCTCACTGCTCAATGGCCGTAAGTGCCGAGTATAGGACAAAATTTGCAGCTCTCCACCGGCAAGTGGTGGCGTCTCCATATGAGTGAAAAATTCTCGAGAGGGACGTTAAACAACATACAATCAATCAATCAATCAGGAGAACAATAGCTACCTCCAAATCAGCTTAAATAGATATGTGAAAACGCTAAATTATCAAACGTTTATGTAAAAGTTTCATTTTAAAAAACGAATTGTAAGAAAATTGCGTTCAAATTTACATATATTTTTTTTTTCCGACTAACCGATTACAAATTTTCTAACCGATTACCATCGTTCCCACCGAGTAATCGGTTAACCGGTTGCAAATTGCCATCCCTAATATATATATTACAAGGATAGTGAATAAGACAAATATTTATAGTTACCCATCGACTGCTCCCTGATTACAACTCTTTGTTGTTTCTTGTTGTAATTACATCTGTATCGAATACACAGGTCTTTGTTTACCCAAACATCACCCACAGCGCGACATTTGCCGTTATCATTGCATCCTGATTTTGAAAAAGAACAAATTCAGCATACATTTATACACATGTAAGTCAAAATCATTTTTATTTTTATTTTTTTTTCAAAAATCTATATAAGACAAAAATAAATGGATAAATAAATTAATTAAAAGATAAAATCAAATCAAATCAAATCATTTTAACCGTCAGACTCATTATTGCATGTTGAGTTAAATAAACGATATTTCATGAAATAAAAAAAAAGATTAATGCTTTGAAATTTAGATATATGTTGTAGTTATAATATATGTTTTCTGAATATGTTACTAATAAACTGTGAATAATATATATAGTAGAGATAGACATGGTATCATCTGAACCTTGTGATTGTAGAATGAAGTCGTATCCCAGGGAAACATCGTCATAGGAACAGACCAACTGGTTACAGTCTTCCATAACAGTGGCCCCAAGGTTATAACATCCCCCATTGTAAGCACAGCCTATCAATATAAAAAACTCTATAATTAGGATTAGCGTTCAAAACTTTAAAAAATTTAAGAGCAGAAGAATATAACAAAAAGCATTTTAGACATATAACCAAGGCACGATATGATAAACTTGTATCCTATGATATAGCACTCCCGATTTTAACACTGTGGAAAAAAAAATAAACGTTATATTGTGTTAGTACAATCACTGTAAGGTACTGAGACAGTGTGGTATAATTGGACTGTGATGACATAAGGACTGTGAAAACTAAGAATGAGAAGTGAATTACATACAAACTGCAACAGTGTTCCTTGTCACCTCAAAGATTATATAGATTGCCTTCCTTCTAAAATCTGACATATATTACGATGTAACATCTTCCATTAAGCAAAGGACCCTTACTTCTTCATGGCACCTGATCCTGATGTTTTTGAAAGTCCATGTTTTCTCTGCTTCCTATTTGTGCTGTTTAAATGGACTTTGACTTTAAGGTTGAATACTGTTCGTTATCTCCATATTTCATCTTGTAATCTATACACGGACATTAGCAGCATTAGCAGGTAATTGAAAAGAACATGTAGATGTCACAAACTCATTAAGACCCCCATTGGTTATTCAATAATAGCCGATTTTATATCGACGGTCCATTGAAAACCAAGCAAAAGATACTAAGTGTATAATGTTTTTAAAAGCAAGATATATTATCAGCAAATATTTTACACAAAAAGGAAGGAATCCTGAGTCATTACCGATCACTGTTTCTCCACATTGCTTTTCACTGAAAGCATCTTCGATTTGAATTCCTCGATAAAGAAAAACCCATTTCAATACTTCTTTATAAATGACAGACTAATGATAGTACAACAAAATGAGAGGACAAGTAATAATTTTGTTCTAGTGTTACAACTAAGAATGATAAATATGGTAATTTTCCTCATTTAATCATTTCAATATTATTAAGAGTGTGTATACGGTAAAACCGTGCAAAATCTCATTAAAGTGTAATAAAATAAAATAATTTTTTTTTAATTGACTCTAGGTGATCTTTGATTAAATTTGTTTATGATGATCAAAAGTAGTGTAAAATTTTGAACCATATCCATCCACTTTTAGTAACAACATACTTTAATATTTTATTTATTTACCATTAGTTTAGTTGATTTTTTAATTCAGCTGAAAAATTTCAATTGAAATCACTAATATTTTTGTAAAGATATCTTTTAAAAATATCAAACTCTTTTTCCTGTCAATGACATACTTGGTCAAGCTCATTTTCATTTCACGTGATCTTTTTTTTGCACTTTTCCTGGTAGTTTGCAAGGTGTCGGTTTTTTCAAGTAAGCATTGTCAGTAAAGTACAATAGAAAAGTCATTTCAGAGATTATAACAATTTATTCTTGTACAGTATTTGTAAAGATTATGTCTATGTTTAAGGCTCATGGCGGATGTGACTGGTCGACAGGGGATGCTTTCTCTTCCTATGCACCTGATCCAACATCTGGTATTTCTGGGTTTTTTGTTTTATGTCCTGATTACAGATTTGAATTGTTTATTTTTTTTATCTTTTTTATTTTACCCAAACGTAAGCGTTTGCTGGGTAAATGATTACTTAGCCATTTGTAATGATTTCAAAATGTTCATTTTAAAGTAGTTTTTAAAAAAATAAATAAAAAGATTTTCATTGAATAAAAATTGGAGAAATTATGGAAAATATAGAAATAAACAGATATTTAATAAAACGATCTTACTATAAAAATTGCGTTTTGTTGATGGAAAGTTATAAAATCATTGTATTTATGTTTCTTTATTTCAATGTCAATTTAAGTATTAATCCTCATGTTTTCAACTCAAACGACGAAAAGATGTTTTGGAAAACAAAGAGTACAAGATTGACCATCTGATAACCAGATTTTTTTTATGCAAAAGCTATATCTGATAATTATACATAATTTTCCCGGAGCACACAGTGGGTGTGGCCAGTCGACAGGAAATGCTTACTCCTTCATGCACCTGATTACACCTCTGATGTTTTTAGAGGTCCGTGTTTTTGCTGGTTCCAATAAGTATTGTTTCAATTGACCCTTAAGCTCGATTACTGTTTGTTATCTCCATATTCCATATTTCATGTATATATTTAGTAGAAAGGCCAGCTTTGCTTCGTGTTTGCTAAAACAAAATTTACTTGCAAATGGATGAAAATTTGAATACAAACGAGAAAATTCGGAAACTGGCAATTTTTTTACCGTCCCATTAATCCTTTGTATCTTATCACTTTGGATCGCTACTTATTTAATAACAGGAATGAAAATAGGTATTTGATTATGAATTACTGCCTCACTTTAAGCAAACCATAGATTGTAGCCTATATCTTGTCTTTTTAAAGTTCTAGCATATGAAACTGTTATCTATCTTTTATGTTCATGTTTTAAAAATAACAGCCCTTAACATTGCGAAAAAAAAATTCTTGTTATTTGTGAAATTTAATTAACAGATAGCAATTAAGTAAAAAGGTTATATACAGGCCATCAGAGTTATTGTCCTTGACAAGCACTTTCTAGTGAGTGGAAATAGGAAAGACACAAAAGTTTCCCCATTTTCATTACATATGTAATCTATAAAATTTCTTGATTTTTAATTCATAATCTTCTGTTACTTACGATGAAATAATAACCAGTAAATGTTCATTTGAGTGCACACTTAAATGCAATGCATATGATTCTTCTGAAAGATAATTCTTTCATTCAATTTCGTGTGTGTAAAAGTTTCACAGTTTTGGATTGTGAATTTGAGAAGAAAAAAATCAGAGGTAATGTTTATCTTATATATATACATCTGAATGTTACCACGGACTAGCTCTCCTGTTTTGAATTATAACAGCTGCTGAAAACAGGGATGAGCCCAAAAACAATAGAGCTGAGAAGAGGGGAGACAAGCAAGACAAAAATGTCAAAATAGTTCAATGCAATGAGATAATGATTATAGGTGGGATAAACGGATTTGAAAAAAAAAAATGATTTCCATTGTACTCAGTAATTTTTAAAACTTTTTAAAACATACTAAATTGTTTTAAAATGCATTTTATTCCTCTGTTTATTAAATATGTAAATGACCTACCTCTTTAGCTTTTTAAAATACACAGCCGTATGTCATTTCAATGTTTAATAAAGTGCCAACATCCATTTCATTCATATTACTATAGTTTATCAAATCAAAGCATTACTTCGTGTGATACAGATATTTCAGTCTTTCATTTCTTGTACGAAGTGAAATACAACATGTATTAGCAAAATGACATATTTTCTGAGTTATCTTTCCCTTAGAGAGTTTAAAAATTTTATTTAAAAATATTGCAATTGATAAAAAAATATTTTTACAAGAATATATGTTCATACTTCAACTTATTTAAAATTTGCATTCATTATGACATCAAAAAGTAGTTATGGCGTCAGAAAATGACGTTAAATTAAACAAATTTATTAAATTTCAGAGGAATGCATTCACAATCCTGTATTGACTGTAAGACAAATTTTAGTATTCGTACCAGTGCGAATTGGTCTGAATTCCACCATGCCGTTGAACGCCTGACACTGATGGGTAACACAGTGCTCCGTATAGCTTCCACCGATTTCCACACACTTCCCATTTGGATCCAAACAATCTGCAAAAAGTGTATTTTTATGAGTCATGGCTTCTTTTTATCCAGTTACCAAATATCAAGTGGTAACTTAGTTTGTGAGAAAAATTTCTTTGAATATAAGGTATTTTAATTTTTTTTTATGAAATGTGAAAAAGCAAACAAAAGCAAGATCAAAACAAATGAACAAAACACGATTCGAACCATCTGACGTACCTTTTTGAATCATTTTATAAATTCCAGATTCACATTTAAAGGTCTCACAAACATTTTCTACTACAATTGCTGCTCCTTCCTCGATACACTTATCGTCGACCAGGCAACCTGACAATTTAAAGATATTAGTTTTTATTACTATTTCAAGTTTTAAAAAATGAGTAATATGACTTACAAGAAGTTGCCTGGGGAAATATGTGATAAAGCAATTTTTTAAATATATAAAAAAGTGATTTTTTCTTTCAGAGGAAACCGCTCTCTTACCGCAAATATATTTTAACACAGGTAAACAAATGTGTAGCAAAAGTTAAAAATTATATCCGACAGTAGTAAAATTAATATTTTTAACTTGCATTTTAATCAACACAATATGTTTCATTTTCGATAGTGTCATTACTATTTATGAATTAGATAATTTGCACACCATACCATCACTGACTTTTGAGACTCTGTAATGTTGACAGACGGCCTCCTGACAAGCACCGTCCTGGTAACATTTATACGTGTCACAGTCAATCTGTACCTGCTGGTTCCACGACAGGAATCGGCCTTTGTAGCAGCATCCTTAATGCATAAATTAACAAAAAGGTTTCATAAAACCTATTCAATTCTATCCTAGCCCTGGAAAACTGTTTTAATACATTTTCAGCAGCAAAAAGCTATAATTTATTTATTGAAAAAAGTAATAATATGTCACAGTGTAAAAGAATGTAATAGTTATAACTTGTCACAGTGTGAGAGAATATCAAAGTGATATTTTGTCGCAGTGTGAAAGAATATCAGAAGTGTTTGGCAAACTTTCTTATAAACCCTACTGTCGTACCATAGAATCCTACGTTTTGCCAGTCTCCATTGACACACTGTACCTTACGACATCGCTCCTTCTTCACCTCTTCTTCTTTACAATTCGCTGTAATAAATTTGATAAAATTATATATAATATATTTTATAAATTATTTGTACTTCTATGAAAACTGAAGATTTTTAGAATTGCAAGAAAGTAATGTAAAACTTACGTGGTTTTATAAAAGCTGAAAAAGAATTCAGAATTCATGTACATATATATGTCATTCTTTTTAACAACATTTGGTAAGATATCTGGTTTTCATATTGTAAATGTCTGTTCATATCTTGTTTATAATTTGGAAACTTACGGGTACACATTCTTTTGACAATGGTTTCCCTGAAAGGAATGAGATCATCATAGCGTTTCAGACGAACCAGTTTGTCGGGTTCTGAAACTATTGACTTCATCTCCTCTATGTTAATACTTTTGTCTGTTCCCACTGCGATTCCAAAAACATAGACCCCATTCTCCTTTAGTTTATTGGCATCCTGTATCGGATCACGGTCCACATTAGAGTTACCGTCTGTTATGATTACCGCCATATTCTGGACTTCCTCGCGATCACCATTTTTGTCCACGAACAAAGTGTCATGTGCCACGCGCAGAGCACCAGAAGTATTGGTGACACCCTTAGTGTAGACCAACTCGGCAATGTTGTTGAGAATTTCCATCCCGGGGTCATTTTTGTCAATGTGAGTGTTAAACAGGAACTCAACTACAGCTCTTTTGGAGAAGGTAAGAGCAGATACTCGGAGTGATGATACAAAATCTCCTTGTTTTAATGCTTCCGCCACAAATGACAACATTGTGGTGAATCTACGAGGGCCTATACTACCGGAGGCATCTATTATCAACCCTATATCCAGAGGTCCACATCTTGTTACATTGAAACCTAAGTGTAAGCAAGCCTTTACTTTAAAATATAATTTCATGACTATACTAGGAACCAGTATTTATTAACTATTCATGTACTAAATTTCATTTTTTTGCACCTTATACACTTTTTAATAGGACATGTGCAGAGCATAGAATTTTATTAATTGTTGTTAGCAATTAATTAATTAACCTTGAAACACACGCTAATTCTGACACAGAGCCTACCTACTGCCGATGGGTCATCTTCTAAATCTGTAAGAACAACAGAATAATGTAGAAGATGTTAAGATTGAAAAAAAGAATCGCCAGTTTACTGGATCGAAATTAATTATTTAAAAAATGGTTTAATTAAAAAGTGCAGCAAAATTTGATAGAATAAGCTAAAGCATATCTTTTACTTCAAAATAATCTACTTCAACTTTCATTAATCAAGAGCAATATAAATTTCTGGATTAATTATGAATCGCCAAGCTTTCATTACAACATCTGAGAAAAACAAAATAATCGATGATGTTTATCCTTGTTCATTAAACGACTGACTGACTTAAACATCCTGATCATTTGATCATTTTGCTTTATACTTACACGTCTGGGAGCTTCCGCAGGTGATAATGGCCGCCCATAGCAATAAGGATCCTACAATCATCTCAGTAATCGGAGACTGAAAAAAAAAATTTAAAATGCGACGGATTTTAACGAAATATATCAATATATAGAGAATTAGATTTTGAATTTAGAAATATTTTAAGCTTTATGCATGCAGCAAAATTCATCAAAACAAATGATGTTTTATTATTTAAATCTAGATTTAAGACAAAAAAATGTATTTAAGTGTGTGCCATTATGAAGCTAGAGAAAAATGTTAAACAATTGAAAATAGCATTACTATACTAAGGTACTTACTTTTCTACTTTTTTATTCGATATATTCAGCAATATTCTGTCTTGTACATAAAGTCTATAATCATTCTTAAGTAAGATAATGTAACACAGTATTTTGCTGCAGTATATATTTGCTACAGAGTATGAAAAACATATATTGTTTAGCGTTTGTTAACATCAAATGAATACATGAATTTTAGCAGTATGTTAGCTATTTGTTATAAACATATACTCTTTCTATAATTCAGAAATAATCATGTTGAACAAATTTTTTCATACATGTTAAATAAAAATAAACATGTACTTATGAGCATTTGTTGCAAATTTTGTTGTGGTAAACATGCCTTTAAAATATTTTGAACACACTTTACAGTTCAACTTATGTTGAATTCAAAAATGGTGTTAAGAACATAAATCGAAAATGGCCTTAGTTTTGGGGTTTCATTTCCTGTTTGAGTTTATGCATGAATGTCTGTTAAAAACACATTATTTTCGATAGGGTTTTGCATGTTAAACTTCGAAATAAACAATTCACATTTGAAAAAATGAAATAAATATATATTAATAAAGTTAAAAAAAACCCACTTCTGAAATGAAATGAAATCCTACAAACCTTTACCATCCGTGCAAAAGATGTAGAATGCAGTTGGTGATTTGTGCATATATGTATTATATAGATGGATGTAGTGTATAGGTCAATGGTATGACGGAGAACATGGGTGACAAAAGTTGATAATAGATATCTTCTGTCGGCTTAAGACAATCGCTAAGATGCTAGCCCATGTAACAGACGGGCACCATTCAATAGAGGTAAACATACTCGCTTTTTTTGTAGCTGTTTACACGTTTCAACATATTAATCATCCCTTGTTTCACATTGTGGAGGATTTTTACTTTGCGCAGTTCGATATAATCTCGTGTTAGGTAAGCTGATTTCTAAATGGTCAAAATGTTTCCTAAACAAAAAATCGATGCATCAAGGAAAAATTATTATAGTCACTAAAATGTTCAGCATTTTTATGATTTAAAATGCATAGGAAACAAGTAATCTGGTATTTTTACAGCAGCAGTACATGTTTTTTATCATCTCAAGAAGTATCCAGAATATCTAAATTCATAAACAGTTAGTCCTTTAGTACGCGCATTAATAATTCCAAAAGTGTACTTTCGACAGAAGTCACTCTATAAGTTTATACCCTCCATGTATGTAAAATCTATTTTTTTGTAATATGGGATAAAAATATAAAGCGAGAAATTGTCTGTTAAATCCCGTAAAACAGACATTACTTCTTCGAATGATTCTGTTGTTCAAAATTTGATAGAATCTGCGTTGCCGTTTATTTTGCGTTCACAGGTATATATATCTAGTTGACATATGAAGGAAAATGATATTGATAATTGATAAAACGTCATCGATATATGGAAATGTTGAATGAAAACCTCAGCAAAAGTTTTTTCATCTTCCAATATTGAAACGAAAGTAAAACACTGTCTTCTATTAAAGAAGCACAATTAGTACGAATGAATTTTAACAGATTGGTGGAAGCCCTAATCTCCAAAAAACTACAACTATGGAGATTGTCTCAACATTTGGTAAAATGAGCTAATTAGAAATTAATCTGTATTTATAACATTTTCTGGGTAAATAGTGTTGTTTCTGATAAATTAAGTAGTTCTGATGTGATTATTTGAAGAAAATTTGAGTCATTAGAATAGTAGTGTTACCGTTCCCTGCCACCGGGAGCAATATACAACGTCAGGAAAGATAAACGTCAGTGCTTAGAATTTTTGGGGAGAGGGGGGTGGGGTGATTCAGTTATTACCAGAATTAATTTTTCAATTTACCATAAAGATTACTAGCATATAAATTTATGAAGCGTCTTTTATTGTTTTGACATTATTTGACATTAAAATATACGAACAAAGTATGTACGTGTGCATGTATCCAATAAAAATAATTTTAGCCTTATTTCTAAGGTTTTTTCGCCTGTGTACTCAAATGGAGTTGCACAGTGTCACTTTGATAACGATTATTGTCCAATTCTTCAGCCGGACTTTTTTTTTTAGTTTTACTTCTTTTATTTCTATTGACATTTATTTCCAAGACCTATGACATCGAAGGTAATATAAGACAATTACCATGGACGGGGTCCTGGCTAAGCTCCCTCTGTTTAAGTAACAATATATTATAGTTAACCCTACAGCACCACGCAGGTTGCTTTATATCTAAATACAATCACACGCATATTTATTCATAAACATACATTAAATAAGTATATTGAATTGTATAAAATTTAGAAGCAAATAATAAAAATTTTGCTTCTTCACATACCTAGAAAAACCATTTCTATCATTTTAAAATACTAAGAACCAGAAACATTTCCTTGTGTCCCAGACATTGATATATTTTGCATTCCTATTGGAGTGAATTCAAATTCAAAACCATTGTGACGCCTGTTCCCAAGGCATCCGCCATTTTTCAACAAAGCAGATATCAAACCAGTTTATATAAAGCGTTATAAAATTCATATTAATTACACCACACAAGCAAAATTGCAGGAAAGATAGCTTACTCTTAAGAATTTATATTTCCAACCCCGAAATTTCTGATTACTTTCTCATATGATTCTAAATATTATATATTAATTTTTAATTGCAATCTTTTGGTATGCTCCGTCTTCTTATATCCAGAAATGAAACATTCTATTAAAATAGGGCTCATTTGTGAAATTCTTGACTCTCGGTTCCTACAAAACCACGCGTGTCCACGGAATTTTGGGACAACCCTCAGGTATTGTCAATGAGAAACTCCAGCATTTTCCCTTATCATCTTCAAAATCCATGGTATAGACTTATAATGAATTTTAAGAAAGTGGGTTTAAAGATGACCAATCACAAGATATGAAAATTGAAGAGTTCCAATTTTATTGATGAAAGTGTTGTCCACGATGTGAAAAAGCCTATTCTGTAATTGATTCACAATTATAAAGTCACATAGAAATTGTTCCTCCGTAGAACATGCTCTCGACTCAGTTGGGAGACATAAACTCTATATGCAGGTGATAATGGTATATACATGAAAACGGTAAAAGCAGTTGACGATAGAAAAATTGGAGTAATCACGTTTATTATAAAGTTGTTGTGTGTCATCAATGTTTTTCTTAAGCAAAATATCAAATATGAAACAGATGCGTCAGTCTCCGCAGTGTCTTTATTTCGAGTTCAAAGGCATATATCGAATCAACTTAGATATCATTAATTGACAAAACGTCGATATATCTAAATAGAGAGGAAACAGAGTTGCTCGAATCTGGTTCCACGATTTACATAATCAGATATGCGGAACTTTGAAATTGTTCTTTTTAGAAACTAAATTGGAACCATTCTAGATCGTATAATTTTATGCCAGTATTTTTTCTCAAGTCTTCCAAGGTAAAGTTTTGTACCTCGGGTATGGAAGACTACTTTTTATTTCTTTTAGTTACTTCACCGTATATGAAATACAAAAATGATAATGGTTAAAGAAAATAAAAGTATGAAATAAAAAAAAAGTCCCTCATTGTTAATATAATAACAATGTGATGTGGTGCATCATTTCAAACAGATGACATCTAAGGTTTATTTAAAAGCTCAAAGCCCCTAAGGAACATGAAAAAAATTGGTATTAAAAAGATCAAGTGCCAGCATAAATATAATGCATTCAGTCATCGTAGATTTGGTTCTTTGTGTATACTATTTAATTCTTTGTATTTTCTGTATATTGCTAGACGTATACGACTGAAGCATTCATTACCTCTATTGCGAAGAAGTAAAACACTGAACTGATCAGTCGGACGGCGGGTCCCAATTTTCACGTAATGCAGTCGTTGGAAAGTGGCAGGAATTACACAGCTACAAGAAATAATATGTAAAAAGTAAAAGGTACACATACTTTTCCTCATCATAGACACGCAATGAAAACATTTGTTTCGTTTGTACAAAAAAGACGCTAAAGAAGAATGAAATATGAAGATAACGAACAGTATTCAATCTCGAAAGTCCAATGAAATGATACGAATTTGGAGCAGAGCAAACACGGACCTCAAAATTGAGGGGTGGGATCAGGTGCCATGGAGGAGTGAGCATCCCCTGCTGACCGGTCGCATCCGCCGTGTGCTCCTTGTCATGATCGGGGAAAAAAACTGGAAATATCCGTAGACAGTTCAGTGTATAAATAATGGCCTAACAATTAGTATGAAAAACGTCAGTCAGCATTTGACTCAATGACAGGTTGTATATGCTGACAAGGTCATTGTATCGACCGAAGAACTTGCGAAAAGATGACTTCAAACGAGACTGTTGATATCTTTGTTTCGTCAACTTGTTTGTCAATAGCTTGCCTTTTAAGAAATTGTTCATACGTAGAGCATGCTCTTGCGTATCGAATCAACTGAGAGACATATACCCCATATGCAGGTGATAAGGATATATTGCTACATAAGTAAGGGAAGTTGACGATTGAAAAGTTGAAGTCATCACGTTTATCATAAAGCTTTGTTGTTAGGTTACCATTAACGTCTTTTTCTAGTAAATATCTAAGTATGAAACAGATGTGGCAGACTGTGTGGTGTCTTTTATTTCAAGTTCACTGGGATATATCGAGTCGACATGTGAATGAAAGTAACTATTGTTAATTGATAATACGTCGTCGATATATCTAAAGGTCGAGTTGAAGGCCACAGCAAGTGTTTCCTTCTTCTCATGTAGAAGTTTTTGAATAAATTCTGCTTCATATGAAAACAAGAATAGGTCTGCTAATAAGGAGGAGCAATTGGTACCCATGGGAATTCCAAAAGATTGTTGGAAGACCTGATCTCCAAAAACTACATAGATAATGTCAATCAAGTATCTTTTCCCCATTTTCGAAGTTGAGGCAAAACATATCCTTAAAATAGGACTAACGCTCAATAGAGTATGTCTTTACAGCACATGTAACGAACACAGGATACATGTTATGCACATTGGTTACTTTAATTTTTGCAGCCAAAACAACAAACAAACTAAATTTAATTTTTATTCAGTAAAAAAGTCATAGTTTATCAATACTATTTTTAAAGTTTCATATTGAGTCTGCAAAAACGAAACGTATGTAATTTGCAAGCGGTAATGAAAACCTGGGTTTGAAGCACACTCTTCTCATTTCCATGATAATTATTGCTGAAGAATTCCTTGATTCTAGTTTGCAGAATTAAAACATACTAGATGTGAAATTTGTTTTATTGTAAATGCGAAAGTAGAAAATGTTTGATTCATAAAAATATTAAAAAAATATCATGCCAGTGTATATTAAGCATTTTTAAATGACGTCATTTTTAAATTATCCTGCTTGTAGCTATATTGTTGTTCTCCTAATTGCTGACTTGTTGTGAAAATTTGGATGGTAGAAATGTTGTTTTTAAGCTATATTAGAAACGATTTATTTCAATAATATGAGTCTATTACGGAAAAAGTATATCATTTTGACAACACATATTCAGTTAGCTTGAACTCTTCTTTACTTACCAATGTCAAGGAAAAAATTTAATATAATATATTTTCAACAGGGAAAACTTACAATTATATTAAAATTGAAAAGTTCTGTACGCTGTGTCAGCTACATTGTATGGATTTATAAGAACATTTCCTTTCTCCTGAGTCACATATTTATTTTTCCATAGGCGCCGGAAGGCGTCAGCAAATTAAAAGTGGGGGGGGGGGGCTAATTAAAAGAGAAAAAAAAATCAAATCTGTAAAAAGCTTGGCCCCCCCCCCCCCAAAAAAAAAGAAAAAGAAAATTGAAAATTTTCCAAGCCCGAAAATCCTATTTCGGGGGAGGGGATATCACTTCTTTCAGTATCAATTCTCTTTGAAAAAAAAAGTGGGGAATTAAGCCCCCTTTAGCTCCTGGTTCCGACGCTTATGTTTCCTGTTAAGAGCTACATTCAATATTTGAAAGCTTTTACCTTTTGCTAAACAACACTTTTAAACTAGCCTGATTGTGAAGAAATCTATCTGAATATACATCATCGATCCTTCACATTGATTATTGAAAAACTTCTGTTTTGAGTTCAAATTTTAAATTGTTATGAAACTTAACTAGGTATATAGGACATATAAATGTACTAGTTTTGGAATTAATGCTTCAACACTTTGAATGTTATGGCTTGTGTAAGTACAAAAAGTCAAACGATACATGATGGATTAGAAACAAATAATGAAAATGCAAAAATGTAGTTGTTATTAACAAATCATTCGAACAGAGGGTTTTTGTTTTGAAGCTTCCAGCCAATAAGTCATCATTTCTCCTTTACCCTGCAATAAAGAAATAAAGTAAGACCTTGGTTTACCTGTAATAGCAATAGAGTCTGTAACCACAAGCATTTCTTTCTTTAAAAACTTTACCCCGTAATATTATGAAAATATTAATATACTTAAGAACCTTTAATCATAGAAACAAGCAACTTTGTTAACAACAAATAAATTTAAGATACAGCTTGAAATGTTTTAACAATAACACTGCCATGTATATTATTCAATTTAAGATTTCTTCTTTTTCCACTTATTGGTTATAAACCACTAAATGAAAAAGGTGGAAATAAACGAAAAGTGATCTTTAAAAAAACTTCAAACGATAGAAATGTATGAACATGGCATAAATCATGAACCCCAGGAAATTTCAGAAGTGGGGCTAGATGCCTTAAAGGAATAATCATCCCCTCTCGACTGTTCACTCGCTCTGCGAGTCCCTTGTATTGATCAGGTATACGGAATATTCCTTAATCAAATTTAGTATAAAAACACGCATAACAATTGGTATGAAACACGTCAGCCAAAATGATGGCTTATATTTGCTAACACAGTCATGAAAATGACCTTACAATTAGAAATTTTTGAAATGCTAATTTTAAATGAGGTAATTGAAATCTCTGTAACATCAAACAATATGTCAGTAGTCTTACCTGGTTTAAAAATTAATCGTACTCAGAGCATGCTCTTGAGTACCGACTAAGTTGGGAGACGTGAACACCATATGCAGGTGATACTTTCCATTAGAAATATTGAATTATCAACCCTTTTCGTGACAATTATGAATCAAATACCTGATCACAATCTTGAAAACATGCTTTGACCAGATAAAAATATGAAGTATGAATAATCAGTATGTTACCTTGATTTTAATAAATCCCCTGGCAGTATATTGAAAATAATCATATCTACTAATTATTTCACAAGTGGTGGAGCTCAATTGTATTCTTCCACCTGAAGAAAAGGGACATAATCAAAATTTTTAAGGCTCTATGAAAAACATTTCATATAACATATATTGAGCTAAATTCAGTGTAATGTTAGATGTATTCTCCATTATCAATAAGATATCTGTATTTCTTAAAAAGAATATTTTCTCCGTATACTATGAATCAATTTTTATTTGTGAGATCTTTATGTTCGCGTAAGTATGCGAGACTGCCTGCTCGAAAAAAAAAATCATTATCACGTACATTAGTAATATGTAAGATCATACAAAGACCAAATCTCGTGTAAAATGTCTCGCTTATAAATACCAAACAACAATAGCACGAAAATTAAGTGTCGCGAAAATTAAGCGAAGTACAGTAAAAACTATAAGAATTTCAACTGCTCGTACCTTGGCTGGTCGACTCCATTCTGGAGGCTGTATTGACGGTATCTCCAAACAAACAGTAACGAGGCATCTTTTTCCCTACCACCCCCGCCACACAGGGCCCTGAAATAGCATATATCGTAAGTAGCAAGTAGTGCATTCTAACAAATCCTTAGGGGAGTTTTAGCATAGTTACAGAAAGTCCTCAGCTCTCAGTATTATATCCTTTTAACAAAGTAGGAACACATGGATTGATTTCTTGTATATTATTTTATTACATTCTCAACAGTGATATATTGTAATTTATTTACTGAATATAAGTCATAATATGTCACAGTGTTTATGAATATGAAAGAGGTATTCTTTCACAGTGTAACAGAAGATCAAACTCTCGATTTTCTTTCCCTTCAGGAAAGTGTTGTAAAATAATTCCAGGTCTGCTCTGAGATAGCGTAACTAAACCATCTTGACAAAGAGACTGAACTGCCAAAGTTTCTCCAAATGTGTTGTTGAAGTCTAATGTTATCAACGTTTTCAATCTCACAAATGCTAAGCTATGACGTCTCAACTCTTCAATTATGATGTCACAGCATATGGCATTAGGTTACGAAAAAAAAAAAAAAAAAAAAAAAACAGAGGCTAAGATAAAATCAAAGAAAATGTAATAAACAGAAAATTCAATATTTTTTAGTTGGCTATGGAATTTATTTCACTCCTGAGACAGGAATTTTTGTAAAAATCCACTTGTGACGTCACTTTTTGTTTGAGCGCTCCATTACTTTTCAGAACATTAAAACGGTGTTTGTTACAAATTTCTACTTTCCATGCATCTACTTGGTCAAGAACTTAGAAAATTTTATATTCATAAAGTTATATTTTCATATTAAGAAGAAGTGTAGCACTTCTGGGAGTCGAACTCGGTAACTTTCCATTAGTATTCGAACACTCATCTTACTACGCTATTGAAGCTGTTGAGGGAGTGAGGGTTTAACTAACTACAAAACACTTTCTATGCTGTAATTTCTCTATTTATAATTAAATACTACTTACACTTTAAATGTATATTTAAATTGTATTGAATTTAAAGAATGTCTTTTTATATATATACTGACAAGCAATATTGTACAAACATTTACATCAGTGGATTTTAAGCGGGTGAATATACTCATAGCACTTCATTTATAAAATGGCAAAGGACCTAGGCCCGCTCGGGGCCTCGGCTCCATTACTTTAAAGGAATGGAGAGCTACTCGTACATTAACCCTTACATATAAAAACAATTCTGTCCCACTCGTGAAATAAACTCCATACGCAGCTATAAAACATTGAATATCCTCTATTTACGCCCAATTCGAGAATTTTTCACTCATATAGACGTCACCATATCAGGTCTCTAAGTGACCTCTAAAATTAAGGCGCCAGCTGGCTCCTAAAAAAATTAAGTCGCCAATGCAGAATTTTAATCGCCAGGCAAATTTACTTTAAAAGCTGATATTAGTAAATATAGGAACCCATGAGGGATAGTCATGGGAGGGGGTGTCCAGTGCTCCTTCCATTTTTGAAAGTGGAGGGACACAAGAGTATCTTTGTGCTCCCACCGCCTTGTCGAAATAGTAATGTAGGAAAAACAGTAACTAGAATATGATTTTCTCAGCTTAAAAATTTCTTTTCGCCCCTTCAGAAAAAGAAGTAAAAAAGATTGTTGAAAATGTTTATAGTTCCGGAATTCGACGATCGCCAAATCAATTTAAAATGGTGACCAATTTGGCGACTTATAGTAGAGAAATACTAGGTGCCAATCAAAACTTTTAGGCGCCATGGTGACTAAATTAGGGTCCTGCATATACCAGTGAAGGGCTCAAATTTAGACCTATACTCGGCACTCAGGTCCATTGAGCAGTGAGGGGTTTTATCGTGTGTACGCTTACTATGACACGGAACCTCAGTTTTTAATTAGGATCTCATCCGAAACATTCGTGAATTTCATTTCTAGTGCTGGGCGTATGGCGAAGGAATAGCTCTATGTTTACGTCTTAGGAAAATTTGGCGCGGCGAACGGGAATCGAACCCGGGCCTCCCGATTTCGAAGCGATCGCCCTCCAACTAGGCAACTGTGACCGGTAGGAAGATGTGTAACAAAAACAATTGTTAACTAAATATTTTATTTTAAAAAAGAGCGAATAAAAATATTGAGTTCCTTCTGAATTTGCACAACAAATATTGAAGATTAATTCTTTGGAAACGCATGATTGATGACGTTTGGGGACTGATAGTATTAATGGTGGAGATCAGCTGTACGAAGCTTGATTATTCAGTATGATTTTAGGTGACTGGTTTGGCGTTGTAATCAAGTGGATTGTATTGAACAGTCTATGTGCATTAGCCATTATAATTACCTTTTCAAAGTTTTTGTCCAAAATAAAACTACAAATATTGTAATAGCTTTTTAATCTCACAAAGGTATTTGCTCACCATGCACGTCACAGAACTGCATGCTTTCTCGCTGTGTTGCTTAGTAATACACTTTGCTGGGCTTGCTGAAATTTCTTATTATTGAAAAAAAAAATTATTGAATCAATGATCAGGTAGAAAATTCTCTGTTTTTTTTTTGTTTTGTTTATGATGATGCACAATCAGTTTGCTTGCGTGATAATTTTACGCATAAACGCCTTCGACATTTATGTAAATTATCACGATTGATCGCATAAAAAAATAGATAGTTTGAATATTGAAAGTGATTTTGAAAAGATACGAATAATAAGTGGTCTCCTTAGAAAAGAAAATGTACAGCGTTACCGTAGAATCTTTCATATACTGCTTCTTTTGTCAGTTTGTGTTTTAATTAAAGTTCTCAAAGGTATAATTTTTAGCAATATTCTTTTCTTATCACAATTTCATACACAGGTTTGATTTAAAAAAAATTATTTGCTTAATGACCTTTTCAAAATTTCTTGTAAGCTTTTCATACTCAGATTTAATCATCCATCTATCATTCTGAAACCTCTTAGGTCTATTATTCTTTTTTTTTTTTTTTTTTTTAAGTTAGATTGATTCCCGCGCCAGCGCAAGAAACCGAATAGATGCCATTGCTAACAAAACAATTCTATTTTCAAGGGATTTCTATTGACAATTTAGGAAGAAAAAATGTTATTCAATTTTTCTCATCAAACAAAGTCATTCTATGACTTTAAGAACAATGATCACAGAAGTAAATACTGGAATATGCTACCCGATAATTATATGATTTACTTCATTTTATATTCTGCTATTTAATTTAGAATTTCATTCCGCTTTTTAATATTAATTTGTTTTGAACGTATAGCGTAGAAACCTCAATTTTTTTTTTTTTTTTTTTTTTTTTTTTTTTAAAGTAATCATTCAGATTTAAAAAAAAAAAACTGCGTGCCATGTACCCTTTTTAAATGCAAAGTTCAACAGTACAAATGTATATAAAAAAATAAATCTCCTACTCCCCATTTGAAAATGTCTATAAGCGGCTCTGATGAGCATAAAGGCATCTGCAGCGTTGTGTTATAGTGTAAATAATCGGTATTTAATCTTTCAGACAGTAGCGACAGCGCATGTGCATGTACTATAGGTAATTAAATTGTCTTACATATACTGCTGGAAAAGTATTTTCTCCAATAATGTAGCCCCACTTTATTTTTTAAGGGGGGAATGTGCTTCAAATTTTCAGGATCTCCGTATTGGTGCAGACAGAGAGTAATTCGCTCCTTCAAAGATTTTGGCTTAGATACTAAATAATTGACTTTCTTATAAATACATTTATGTCTCACCTGAACAAAAAATTGTAGTTATGCAAGACGTAAATTGATACCAAAATAGGATGGATAGTTCATATGTTGTTTTTCTTCGTGCAAGTAAAGTTTCTTTGGAATGTATACATGTACCGACCTTGATCGATACGTTGTGAAAGCGCCAATGAGACATAAGCCATGGATCTCTAACTGAATAAAGAAACCATCTTATTTCAACACAAATAATAAAAAAAAACCCAACTTGAATGTATTTAGTTATTTTGTTTGTAACAATGAAAAAGGCAAAAATAACGAACAGTGATGGATCTTTAAAAAAACCTGAAAGCAAAACAAATATGTGAACTAGGCATAAAACATGGTATAAAACAAGGCCTAAAATTGGTACAGTTGGTATGATATATGTCAGTCAGAATACGATCTAACAAGGTCATTATAAGGACCATAGAATTTACGAAATGCTGACTTTAAAGAAGTTGTTGAAACCCATGTAATATCAACTTATCTGTCAGTAAACTGTCTCGGTTTAAGAATTGATCGTACTCAGAGCATATTCTTGAGAATGAAATATTTAGATAACGAACAATTAATATTCAAGTTCAAAGTCCATTACAATCGAATATGTTAAAAAACGTAAACACCATATATAGATGAAAGCGGAATATTTCTTCATAGTCCTCAATTAAGTTGTTAGTTGGCCCTAAGTAAAATATCCAGATATGAAACAGATGTGACAGACTCTGTGTGTCTTTGATTCGAGTTCTTTTTGATATATCGAGTCAACATATGTATGGAATTAATAATTGTTATTTGATAACACGTCGTTGATGTTTATGAATGTCGAGTTCAAGGCCACAGCACGTGTTTTTCTTCTCATGTAGAAGTTTTTGTTTCGATTTTGCTTCATAGGAATTTAAAAGCATGTCTGCTAATACTAGAGCTAAATGCATGTAAGTACCCATTGGAATTATAACAGTTTGTTGGAAGACAGTCTCCAAAAACTATAAAGATGTTGTCAATGAGGAACTTTAGCATGATTTTAGTATCAATTTCAAAAGTAGGAATATGTTGTGTGTATGGGGGGATGCATCTTAATTATGCATATACTTTTCATCCATCTATCTGACAGGAATTTCTAGACACCTAGGCAAAAATTAATATAGAATACCCAAAGAAAAAAAGTTGGAAAAAATTGATTTCATTCTCACGTTAGTATTTCCTTAAATAATGGAGACAATTTGAATGAAAAGGGCAACAGTGATCACATTCATTATTTCTGTAGACATGATGAATCGTGAACAGGGCATCAAAAGAAAACTCTGGAAACATACAAGGTGGAATCTTGTATTAAGGTAGAGTAGGAATCCCCTGTTAACTAATTAAATCCGTAATTAGTTTTCAGCATTGATCATGTAAACAGTGAAATCGGTAGACATTCGATCCTTGTTTTAAAACAATGGCATAACAATTGGTATAAAATATGTCAGTACAAATTTACCCAACGATAAGTTGAATTTGCAAACATGATCACCATGATGACAATAAAATTTGTGAAATACTGACTTTATACCAGACTATTAAAAGACCTACAATATCAACATGTTTTTCAATACCATGCCTCGGACTAAAAACTTATCTTTTTCAGAACATGCTCTTGTGTACCGAATCGGTTGGGGAACATGAAAACGCCGTATGCAGGTGATAGCAAAATATTCCTTCTGAAACAGATGAATTTGACGATAGAAAATCTGAAGCAATTCAGACTGTCATATATTTGTTAGTTTGCCTTTAATATCTAGATTCAGTTAAAAATCCTATTGTGAAACAGAGGCGGCACATTATTTCGAGTTCACTTGAATATACCAAGTCAGCACATGAATAAAGATAAATTGATGAAACGTCGTCGATATTTATCTCAATGTCGAATTGTCATATGTCAATGGCGTAAAGAAGGCTTAAAGCAAAAGATTTCTTCCTCTCATGCAGAAATTTTTGAATAAAGTCGGCTTCAAAAGTTGACTAGATAATACAATAAAAAAGATCATTTTCAGTTTGCTCGTTTAAATCAAATATCAACTAAAAGTATATCTTTAGTCCATGTTTTACTGTTACTTGAAGATTACACATCTCAAATCGGAAAACGAAATTTAATTTTATATAAACCTAAATACAGCTATTTGTCAACCACTTGTTCCAAAATGTAAATTGTCATACAATTAATGAAGCATCGTCATTTCTAGCAAGTAAGCTTAACTTAATGCCACTATTTAGGAGGAAAATTGCATTATTTATTCCAATCGTAGTGAAGACACGTATTTACATTTCTCAGTAAAGTAACAATATTGAATGTTGAGAAGAAATTAAAATTGAATTCATTAAAAAATACGTTAAAAATATATTACCTAGTGTATTTTGAATTACTTTCGTTTGGCAGATACCAAGATTATTGGCTTCTTGTGCAATACTTTGGACACTTATATATCTAAATGTAGTACTGTGACATAAGCAGATATTTCTAATTAGAAAATATGTATTTCCTGAGCAGAGGGGTTAATGGACTTTTCTGTGTGTGTTTTTTGAGTGACATTTTCCTTATGAATTGCTTTATATCAAATATGAAGTCATTCGCTTTTTTCTTTTATTAATTAAGAAGATAACTAATATTCAACAGAAGTCTGCCTTATAGATTCCTGCTTTGCTGACCTTTAACAAAACTGAAAAGCTCTGCATGCATTGAAGTAATAACGAAATTTAATAGTTATATGTTTTCGTTAATATCCAAGTAATTTCGATGTATTTGACCTAAAATGTTACGCTTAGACAAATCTGGTTAAAAACAACAATTATGTCTGTTCCAATTTAATCAATCTAATCAAATATGATATATATAAATAAGAACGATACAATTGGTGCATCTTTGAATGCTACTTTGAAGTTAAATATATGCTATAGATGATGCCAAAGACCTTATTTTATATTTTTACATATGGGTAACCCTGGTTTAAGTCAACGTATAGGACTTCCCATCTCATCACATCTGATATTTAAAGCAATCTTGTGCACATAAAATCTCTATGAAAATGCTAGATCTAATGATAATACTAGGTCTTGGATAATAAATGCTAACCAACGCCAGATAAGTCAAGCTCAAAATGTAGTTTCCAAGGCATAGGGCTACAATTTTAATCTGAGCGATTCTGCACCACTGTGTGATGCAACAATAGATTTTTTGTAGCTTGTATACAAAAAGTCCTGCATTTCACTAACATTTCATGCATTTTAAGTATCTCAATAAAAATTCCAGCATCGTTTTTCTGTGATGACATGATAGAAAAATTAGAAAACAGAGCTAACTGATACTAGGGTTCTTTAGTTCATGCAATACTCTATGGCACAACTTCAGTTGTTATTCAAATTTTGAAAATGAAATCAAAGGTTTTGGAAATTTTTCATTTGGTTTCAATTCCTCTATTAGCTCACCTGAATGTATACCAATGCGTATTTTGATAACCTCAGAGGAGTGAACAGGGGACCGGAAGTTAGTCATACTGTCCCGGATATCCAGAGCCATGTTACAGATATGGAGCGCATGCGCATGTCCATTTGAGACTGGAATCCCGCTTGTAACCATGTAGGCATCCCCAATGGTCTCCACTTTGTACACGTCATACTTATCAATACAGTTATCAAACAGGCTATCGGAGAAAAGGAAGTAGAAAAGGATACCATTCCAGATAATGTAGATAATACAAGAATAATCTTTAAAGGATAGAGTATACATGTATTTACATTAATAGAATAATTGATAGAAATTTGTGACTCAAAATGAAATATAATAAAGATTTATTTCTACTGCATTGTGTTGGTGATATTGCCTATCTGTTTGTATTTCTATTATAAATTCTTTTTAAAGTTATATTTAAATTAATTGTCAGGAAAGTGGACAGAATCTTTCATTTTGAAAGAAATGTTTACGGAACAAAAACGGACATAGTTCACTATTGAAATATTGAAGAATTAAAAGATGAAAAATATATTCGGATAAACTTACGAATATATTTCGTTAAGTAGGTCTATAACCTGCAAAGGTGAGCTTCTACTGCACAGTGAAGTGAAATCAACGATGTCACTGAAATAGACAGAAGCCTGAGAAAATTCTTCAGCGGGTACAAATCCCTTTGATTTCAACTGCATTGCAATTTTCCTAGGTAGCATCCGGTATAGAAGTTTCTCTGTAAGTCTCTTTTCTTCGGCTAATTCCTTGGTTTTGGATTTGATGTCGCTTGCATACCTTGCGATTCGTAACGTCATTTTGTTAACACACGATATATACCAAACCAGCAATGTAAAGCTTGCTAATGCCACAATCACCTGTAGGCATATGAATAAAACAAAACGGAACTGAGCCTCGCTTCGGATGTCTGAGAGATTTTCCTTTAGTAGTCTGGAAGAATTGTGATGAATGAGAAAGGAGAAGTCTATAATCATTGTCATGTTCCTAAACCATTCTACACTCATAGCAAACCTTTCCTCCTCAGTCTGGTTTTGGCAATCGTAAGAATTATTAGCCCACAGTTTCAAGCTTACTTCGTGAAGGTATCTTTCCGCATTAAAGTCGCTTTCTGTGTATGTATTGGCAATGCTGGAATCATAGGTAACCACAATTTCTAAGTACGATTTTGCTTTACCTTCAGTGTATCGGTACATTTGAAATTCATGGTTTGTGAATCCACATATTGTGAAAAGATAGGCTATTCTAGCTCTTTGAAGGCCAATAAGGTCAATGTGACGTAGAAGTGCCACTAACACAAACAATTTGGAGTAAAGATGCTTTCCTTCGGGTATTTGTACACCCACTAGCATTTCATCCATCAATGCGTTATTTATATTTGTATAAAATTCTAAGACTTCTAGGACTGTTACTTCGGTGTTCCAGATTTTATTTCTAGTTTCTCTTATACTAGAAATTATATCCTTTTTGGTGTATGTTGTAGTATTTATAGAAAACATTCTGTTTCCAAAGGCGATGTTTTGTATGCCGGCGTCAGTGTTCTGCTGTGCTTCCTGGAGTAGGCTCTGAGCCTCAGACGCATTTCCATTTACAGTTAAAAATGTGGCAGACCTTCCCCTTTCTCGTTGAAGCATCTGAATTAAATTCGCGAACATCTGAGCAGAGTTTATTTGTGATGTAGCAGCATCTGTGTCCTCCATCAGCTGAATAGCATTACTAAGGTTAAAGGTCGAGAAAACGATCATAGCGACGATTGGGATGATGATGACAAGAATCATTCTCCAGTGTTCGACGACTCTCCGACATCCACCTGTGTCCCGGAGATTTTTTTGCAGGAGATCTTGATAACTTCCTCCAACTTGTAGGGATTTTCCGGACATAGGAGATATGATTTCCCTGTCCGGATATTCAGGAGTAACCGCCCCTCTCTTCATAGCCTGTTAATAAACCTAGAGAAATGATGTCAATAATCATAAGAAAGTTACTGCAATTTTATTTATATATACACATATGTATATAAAATGACCAACTATACGAACAATAGAAATTGCTTATATATATATATATATATATATATATATATATATATATATATATATATATATATATATATATATATATTTTTTTTTTTTTTTTTTTTTTTTTTTCAGACCTCTATTGTTCCTGTTTTTTGTCATCTTTAGTGCTTTGTATAAAATTCCCTTTTGTGACCTTGTACCTATTTATTTAGAAGATCCGACACATTAGGATAGATGGTCTTGTTGGTATTCTAGTGCATGCTTACTCCTCCCAGACCCCGAATCCCAACTCAGGAATTCTCAGAGGTCCGTGTTTTATGTTCTCTATACAGTATTGTATTGTTTATAGTTTTTGTGAGATCTATCAATGTTCGTTATTTACAGTTATTTTCAATCTTTTCATTATATATATATATATATATATATATATATATATATATATATATACCCGCTATATATCTTTTTAGGAATCCAGTATAGGTATGGTAATTCTAATTCAATTTGATAGTTGGGAAAAATATTAAAAACTGAGATGATTTTGAAAAATTTCCTCCTAAGTAGGGAAATATGGATCTAAAATAGACTAACACTTGTAGAATTAAATCCCAGCTCTTCTGAAATACAGTTTTGATATTGAGCCTTACAAAGACAACGTTGTTACATGCTTTGTCAGCTGGTACCAGTAGACATTGATAGTGTTATCTATTTTATTCTTTTTTCACTTCTGAATTATTGAATACAGAAGGAAAAATGGTTTTGTATCATTAATTTAACTATCATTATATACATACTAGATTTCCAGAATTTAATTACTAACATGATTTAAACATTTTGAATGTTGAAATTAAGTGACATTTCATGACCTAATAACTTCTATGTCACTGAATGTGACAATATCGTGATAAGATAGGTTGTTCGTAATATTCCGTTTGAATATTTGTCTCAAATGTAAATATAATGTAACATGGAGATAATGAACAGCACTCAAGCTCAAACTTCCACTCAAACAATACAAATCAGGAGCAGAGCAAATACATGCCTCTAGAACATCAGAGGTGGGATCAGGTGTCATGGAGGAGTGAGCATCCCCTGCCGCCAGGCACACCCGTCGTGTGCTGCTTGTCAAGATCGGTAAAAACGAAACATTCGTAGACAATTCAGTGTGTAAATAATGGCCTAACAATTAGGATGAAAAAAGTCAGTCAGCATTTGACTTAAGAATGGATTGCATTAGCTGATAAGGTCATTGTATCTACCATATAACTTGCGAAAGGATGAATTTAAACGAGTCTGTTGATATTCTTGTTTCATCAACTTGTTTTTCAATAGTTTTCCTCGTTTTAGAAATTGTTAACGTAGAGCATTCTCTTGCGTATCAAATAAACTGAGAGACATAAATCCCATATGCAGGTGATAACGGTATATTGCTACATATATATGTTAGGGAAGTTGACGATTGAAAAGTGATATATCGAATCAACGCATGAATGAAAATGGATTCTGTTTATAGATAAAACATCGTCGATATTTTTAAGATGTCGAATTGACGACCATAGTAGGAGACTTTTAGAAGTTTTGAATTCTGCTTCATGTGGATACAAAAACAGGTGTGCTTATAATGGGGCTTAATTATTACAAATTGAAATTCCAACAGATTGATGAAAGACCTATTCTCCAAAAACTACATAGATATTATTATTCAAAAACCCCAGCATTTCGGTGAATCAACTTTGGAGTACATGTGTGTAGAATCAGAATTTTTTTAACAAAATAATTTTGCAAATGACAATAATGAATTTTAATTGACTGTGTAATTTTATCGAATAATTGTTAAAAAATATTGATATCTTTTATGAAAGAAATCAATTTAGTACACATTATGCCGTGTCACTGTATGTATGCATGAACCTGTACAAATGAAATAGAGAAGATAATTTATATATTGATTAATTGAAGTATTAAATAATTAAATTTTACACATTCTGAAATAAGTTATAAATAAGTGATACCGAAGATACAACCTAGAAAATATTTAAATAAAGTTCATTGGCGTGCTACAGGCTCGGATGCAGTCAGGCACTATCCCTCAGAGAGAGAGAGAGAGAGAGAGAGAGAGAGAGAGAGAGAGAAAAAAAAAAAAAAAGAGAGAGAGAGAGAGAGAGAGAGAGAGAGAGAGAGAGAGAGAGAATGTTACATGGGGGACAAACAACAAATAAGGGCCTTTGTTTTTACACTTAATTTGACTACGAATTGTTCCGTCTACCTGATGAATACATGATGCTCACGGTTGTGAAGTGTCAGGGTGTGACCGGTCAACAGGGGATGCCTACTCCTACTAGGCACCTGATCCCATCTCTGGAATTTCCGGGGATCCGTACTCTATTCCATATTCACAGATTTGTATTGTTTGTAGATTTTTTTTAGATCGTTCCCTGCTCATTATTTTAATTTTTTTTCATTACATAAAGTTAAGATACATAGTGTATAATTGGTTTATAGTAAGACCGATATATATGACTTGTCTTTTTAGTCTTTTTGAATTGTAATAAACGTCAGAATCCAAAGACATAATGGGAAGTAAGAAATCAATGTTTATCGAGAAGTTTACGATGTTTACGTATCTTGAGAATGTTTTTGTGACTGTTTTTCTGAAATTAAAAATAAATTTCTTTTAAGACGCATTGATTTTTTTTTTAATCTTTGATTTAAACAAAATATATTCAGAAACAGAAATCAAAATATGTAATGAATTGATGTTGGTAAAATTGCTTGAAACTGCGGAATACGCACTCAGTTTCATTTGGTGAAACATGAAATTTAAATTCCTCAAACAAAATAATGTGTTTTTCTTCTCCAAATTGAAACAAAAGAGAAGGGACCCCCTCCCCCGCCTTAACTGTCCATGTGATAAGTAAGTTTGATAAAATATTTGATAAAATATTCTTAAACCTATTTCTTTCCTAAGGACCAACAATTATGCTATGCATAAAGAAAGCAGAAATCACGATCCTAGAAAATCATTTATCTAACAAAAATGAAATATATAACTATTGCAAGTATACAACAAAGCTTAAGAATATTTCTTATTGAGAGTTATGGAGAGAAAAGGGCCATCATAAAGGGTTGTTCATTAATACGTATTTTTGTAGGTAATTATATAATGAGTGTTATGGCTCATTAGACTTTTGGGATCATTATAAGCTATAGTTTAATTATACTTCCGTCGTCCAATTATCTAAAGACATCGTTCAAAGCCTGAACATGGTTACATAACTTTGTGTAAAGGAAAATTAGAGTGCAAATGATGGCCCCACGGTCGCTTTTTGTTGTACATAAATATAGTCTACTGAGCTGAGTTTTATGTGACAGAAAATATTAATTTTATATTCATTTTCTAAAGAACGAAGCCAAAATAAATAAATTTATTCTTCCAATTAGAATTGTTCGAATTAATTCTAGCCTAAACATGTTTTGACAAAATGAGTTTTTAATTAAAAACAAATCCCGCTGTAACATAAATATAAACTAACATTGAGGATAGGACGCGACCCTCACAATGTGACCAATATTTAGATACAAATTCAACCCTTTGGACTTGTATGTTACAGGGAATATTCTACAAAAATATGTTACAGCAACTCTGTTTACTTTTTTGGTTGTGTTTGAGAAGCATGGCAAACGGGTAACATTTTCAGGAGTCTGTTTTTCTGCCTAACTTGTTTTGGGATCACAAAAAAAAAAAAAAAAAAAAAAAAAAAAAAAACAAAAAAAAAAAACAAAAACAAAAAAACAAAAAAACAAAAAAAAAAAACCGAGAAAAAAAAAACAAAAAACAAAACCCCCCCCCCACCCCCCCCCCAAAAAAAAAACCAGCAAAGAACAAAAAAAAAAAAAAAAAAAAAAAAAAAAAAAAAAAAAAAAAAAAACCAACTAGTTTTTGTTATTTTTTTAAAGAAGAAAAGAGGATTTTTAAAAGTGTTGAGATCGATGTACTTATACTAATCCTGACATATTTGATATTTTTATAATGTGAGTAAGTCATATAAAAACAAATTAATGTTATTGCTACATAATTTAACTTATTCGTGGCTAACAGGTACAATTATTTAAATGACTGTTTTATTATTAATAAATTCATCAGAATCAATTGGTTATTGAAAACATTTAGCAGAAGAGACTGTTGTTTAATAAGCTACGGAAAATTACAAATTGACAAAAAGTTAATATGCAGATGTTGAGTTAAAAAGGGGGTTTCATTTCACTGATGAGCAAAACATTGAAAGAGCCTTGGACACATGTTCAAGTAAATATAAAAATATATGCAATATTCTCAGTTGTTTCTTATATGACACGAATCTGATAAAATCCAATTTTCACATTCAACAAACATATGATAAATTTCAAAATGATAAATGTCGCTTTTTGAACTTTAAATAAAACTCGAAATGGGGTGACTGACAGAAAACTTATCCTTATTTGACGTAAGGCAGGAGACTAAATCATACATGTATATTTATTACTTTTCCCGAGCTTTCATGATATAATTATTTCTTCTGGTAGGTTTTATGGAGAATTCAAAAAATAAGGTTCTATACTTTTAAAAAACAATTAACACACATTTAATGAAAACAAAATTAAATGGAAAACACTGGACACCAGAAGTTGGATCGGGAGGTTGTAACATAAAGGTTACTAAGGTTTTTACTTAAGTACGGTCAAAAGTATGTTTTTGGCGCAATCTTAGGACCTGCCTAAGTACTACTTAATTATGTCTTAAACGAACTAAGCGAGGTCTAAGCGAACTCAACATTATGTTCACAATATTTTTTATGAATCACACTAGTTTTTTTTTTTCAATTTATTCAATTGTGTTTAAAAATACTCAGTTATGCATGTAATTATATAAAAATTCGACG